AGATTGTAAAATTTTAACTTTGGTTCCCGTAACTCACGCCACTACGAATTGATTCTGTTTTACCCCAAACACCACATACATGTATATACAACAAGAAACGCTGATTTAAAGCACAGGCAGGCACCAGATTATTCCTCACTTGCAGACGTGTCCACAAATGTTGGATATGCAAATGATCCAATACCAGGGTGAGAGAGCAGGTAGTGGTGGGAGCGTACTGCTCTACACCCTGGGAACGAGGGTGCCCATTGCTCTGAATCGTACCCTAATGCTCCCCTAGGCTTTGTCAAAGTTGTTGCATATTTTTCGATGTAATGTATGTTATACCTACGTTTTAATTGTACTCTGGGAAATCAATTTTCATGTAATTTTTAGCATGACAATAAATAAATCTAATCTAATCTAATCTAAACTCTGCGCGCCCTATAATTGCAATATCACCAAGGTCGGCTGATTTGATTGATCAACTGTTGTAGTTGTGATGCCTTGCCATTACATTCAAGAAACACATACGTGTAACTGTACGTGCGTACACCTGGTGCACGTGCATGTAGGTTAATCACAGAGCTCCGGGCCGAGATCGACTGGCGTGTGCCGTCAGCGTTTGTGTGATAGATTTCGACAGAAGTCAGACTTGAGTGCAGTCTAGAAACTCGCCCACGTATATCACCTGTGCGTGAGTGGGACATCGGCGTTTTCGCATTCGCGTGAAACGCTGAATCGAATAAGCAAAAACTTTACACTCCTCAGTGCTAGTTTTTTTCAAGCTCAAGTCTGGCTAATTGGTAAAACACTAAACCTTTCGTGAAAGCAAAGTTATGTAGATTGTTTGCCTTTTCTAGTTTCCGAAAACAGGTGATCGAGGCGATAGTCCTCGTTCGCTATAAGCACAATGATCCATTAGGCCCCGGGGGAGGGGATGGACAGGAGAGGAGGCGGTCAATCGCAGCCTTGATTGCACGTGCGCAACCAAAAATGCGAAAGAAAAACATCCAACGCGAACGGTTGGAGCTAAAGATATATGAAGAATTATTCTTCGTGAATATCATGTCTATTCACTACGGTTTGCACGGTTTACTTTAAACTCAGCTTTAATGAATGAGTTCCTTGGGTGCTTTTCTTTTCATCATTACCTTTTCCCCCACAACTTTTACATTTTTGTGTTGTTGTCACGATGACAGGAGGTTGTCATGATCGACAGTACATAATCGGGGGTTGATGCTATGGGCCATAACACACAATCCAGTCGGAGGAGGCTCAAGTGGCAGACGTGCTGCTTGGAAACAAATGCCGCAATGTAACTCCCTTTGCGAAAGCTTAGACTTGGTCTCAAGCCAACAGACAACACCAATTTGGTACAATACAGTGTTTTTTAAGTGACAGGACTACTAGGACTATTTGAAGTACATTGTAACTGAAATATACTCGACGGTTGGGCCCATCAATGGTGCGCTATCCCTATATAATGGTGCATAACCATACGATTTGTCGAGGTTGTACTTAACATCAATTGTTTTATGAGTATGCAAGTAGAAGTCAGTCATAATAATATAGAATGACAACTTTCCATTTGAGATAACATAAATCTTTTGTGACGTGGTCTTGAAATATTAAAAAAAGAAGAAGACACAATCATGTCATACTGATCAAGCGGAGGATGCCATCAACATCAGGAATGTAAGTAGGCTCTGAAACTTTTGCAAGATATCAGGGAAAAGAAGTATATCCTGTAATTGAACACTGTGGCCAGGATACACATTTTGACCCGCACGACGAGTTAATTGGTTGATGGCTATCTAAACTGTGACTTATTATGGAGCATCCCGTGCAAAAAATAATAATTCGACACCCAGGTTTTTACGGGGTGCCGACTAATGCGGAAAGTGCTCTGCCTGGCGGACTGTGACCATACCAATGCAACGGCATCGGGGGAAGCAACTACAAGATAAATTGTACATAAAACTTTCTTTTGGTACTTCACAGCTATATTCCAGCAAGCTGCTGGCAACTATCAACGACCATAAATACTGCAAAACTTAAAGACGAGCTCACGTGCACCTATACACACAATTGATAGACAATACATGTACGTACACTGAAAGGACATTCATCCCTAAAGGCATAAATGAACCGTTGGCCACGGGGCAATAAATGTATATGTTAATTGATAAAGCAAAATGGTGGTTGAAACTCCAAACAAAATATATATTTACCAAATGATGACCCTTTACCCGCAGTTTCACCATAAAATATTAAAAGTTCCCAATGGGCTCCGTGCACCGACCAAGAGGGCGCCCTTATACCTTGCAACGACGTCCCATGGGCGGGACATTTCGCTGGTTGACGCGCACCGTTCCTTGTGTGTGACGCACGCACACCAGGGGATTTGTACTATTTACACACAGTGGCCGCGCTTCGCGGCAAATAAATTGGTCGGTCACACCCAACTGTACTCTCTTTGCCGGTGAGGGGGTACTTGTGAACCGAGCGGATAGGCCACTGTACATGGAGTGGTACATAAATGTTGCGTTGCGTCTTTAATGCACAACGCCCCCATAATCATACAACGCCAAAACATTCAACAGTTTGTCGAAGGGCGTCGCCAGACCAATAAGTAGGGGGGGGGGGTCAAAAGACAGACCCTGCATGCTGAAAGGTACCCAGGAATTTTCTTCCTGTCACGGACGCAGAATCCAGCGCTGGATACCATCTTATTAATTATTGAGGGCGCTGTTTCAAGCGGACGATCTTGGACACTATCGGACAAAAAGTGGCGCTAGCCGTTCCGTCTTACCTGCCGACAGACGCGATATTTTGCAAACAAAACGATTTATGTGGTTCGGCCCCTCTCCCTTAGGTGACTGAATAATTTATATCGGACAAGCCCTTATTCTGTAATTTGATTTGGAAGTTAATATGCCGATTGAGGCTCTAAATGCAGACTGAGGGAAACTATTAGGGGGATGTCACAACCCAAACACACCCTCCCCGTTCTCGACGGCCCTGGATATGTCAATTATTGCTCGCAATCCAAACGGCATTTACGACGCGACGCCATTAGGCCAAAAAATACCAGTTGGTCGTCTGGGTTTTTTTCAAAAAGGGGAGTAAGAGGGCCTTCTTACTCTCTATTTATTTTTCCAAGATGGCCGCCGGTAGCTTTTATATTCAAATTGGTCGACAACTTTTCAGTTCAAAATGACTGCCAGGTTTTTTTTATCAAGCATTCTACCAATAATCTTCACATGTTCAATTGTATCTTAACCCAATATGCTTGTTCTTTGTTATTGTATTTTCACTTCAACAAAACTAACAAAGATCACCATTCAGGTATAATGGTCCCAAAGATCGACGATGTCGAATAAATGAACTTGTTTTCATGTTGGGGGACCAAAAAGCTCAATTTCCTTCTCAACAAAATGGGTAAAATGTTTATCAAAAGATTTTGAATTTTCAACGTAAGAGGGGGCAAGTCTTCAAAGGAAACTTCAAAAGAAAGCGTCGACAACTTCCCATTTCTCGATCCGTATGTACGTGCGTGTGAGTCCCTGTAGACACGAACACGCGCGATGGAGTAGATCGTATAAAGTGATTGGTCAGGTTTTGGCGAATGTGAACAGATCGGCCAATGAGAGGATTAGTTTCATACCGCGTCAGACGGTCTGCTATTGGTGGGTTGAAGGTCAAACATCATTGACTTGAGGTCTGGTCCCAGTCGCAAATGTAATTGTACACGCGTGTACATGATGTAGTGGTGCCATACGACAACCGAGGCTCCTTTTGTTATCAAATTTGTACAGAGTGACACACCTTTGATTTAATATCGCATGATGTGTCAATATTGTAAGCGAAAATATGGACATTGGGGATTCAAATTATTAAAAGGATGCGGGCGGGGACGCGTACGATCAACTGGTATTTTTTTTTACTTGGCCTTTATATAGCGCAATGCACTATCAAACATCACTAAAAAATATATAAAGATTGTCCATATAAAATCACTGCAACACCTCGTGGTTATAAGAAAGGAAACCAGTATCGAAAACAATAATAAACCAACCATTTCTTAGGGGTTTCATTACAGGTTTTACTTGCGGCGAGGGAAAAGCACAAACGGCAACGGGCCGCAAAGGTGGGCAAATCACCCACTGTGTATTATTCCGCCAATCGTAAAATACTCTTTGTCTCCGAATTGCGCATCTTAGTTCCAAAAAAAAGTATAACAAATAACATTGAGATAATCCTTAAGAGGATCTCCACAGTGCAATAACCCGGCAATTCACTTCCTATGAGTAATTTAAAGACTGGTACGTACGGCCCGTAGATGAACGACCGCAGCCGATATAACGTTCTGTTTAACACCACGGCGATGCAGACAATGCGATTAGTTTCCGATTCGATGTACTCATAAGGGAGGAAATTGTAATCACTTTGGCTAGTGTAGAGTGAAAATAAGGACCAGTTTTTTGTCTAATCAAGAAATGCTACATGAAGATGATGAAGAAAAGTTGCTATCAGTTAGAAAGATTACTTAAATTTCATTCATTGTATTAACTGCTCGTGAACGAGTAATAAAAACAAATTTCGCAATTTTCTGGCAAGATTTAAATTAATGAGAAAAGAAAGAATGAATAAAATACACATATTAAACTATGTTCAAGCAACCATTACACATATTCTTCGTGATCTTGTCCAGAATAAAAACGTTGTTTATTCGAACAAGTAAACTTACTTTAAATTAACATATTTCATGTCCTGTTGACATGGAAGCCTTCAAAATAAATTGTGAATAATTAATGAAGAAAAATACATATTAATAAAAAAAAATAGCTTGCACATGCACACGCACTAAATCCTCGTGTGACTCTGTTGCCATAGTGACCCTTCACGCATATTCGATGAAGTTATATAGATGGCCAATGAAATGGCACGTTTGGTGATTATGCAGATATCTTCTTTCTCCAGCTTTTCTGTCCACGCGTCCAGCGATATAACCGGCATTTTCGCTGAGAAGGTCCTCATCAACATTGGAACGTGGTTGATATCACACTTGCATCGCTCGCTCTAATAAAATACACCCTTAAATCTCAATCCAGGTGTAAGAGAAAGTCTTACTTTGGTTGTTTAGCTCTGCGGTTATTTTCTCAACACAACATATAGTTCTAGCCATGTTCCAAGCACGAATTTATCCCGTGTCTGCTTCGCCGAGGTGTGCTACTCCGTCCACTGAACTCGAAACCGTCGCGGTGAAACGAAACATTGGATGTCGACTTGGACTATGCATTGGTCTCCAACAAGACACAGTGCTGAAGAAACAACAGCGTCGCCAAGTGTGGATAATGGTGGTGATGACACTTATTCCCATCATAACTCTGGCAATCCTGGCAGTTGTTCTGATGACAAACTCCAGCGTGTACACCGTCCGGCTGCAATGGCTGAGGAACGAGGTCGGTGGAAGCGTGGAGAACGCCGGTCAGTTGATCCACCGCCTGCAGATCGAGAGGGGAATGACCGCCTTCTACCTGTCTTCCGGCAACAGAGAAGAGCTGGACAAACTCCTGGGCATCTACGAGCAGACCGACTCGGCCATCGATAACATCTCCTGGGTAAACGACAATCCCCGTGAGGTGCCTGATTTTTTTGAAAGCAAGGAGCGCTACCGGGCTCATCTTGTCCTATTCCGTGAGAGGTTTGTGTCAACAGGTGGATCCAACACGAGCATCCCCGACATCATGACCTTCTATACCACTGATATAGATGTAATCATCGGTTGGCTCTCGGAGGGGATACAACTGCATGATCCCGCCGGTGGGCTCTGGTCCAAACTCATCTCTTACCAGCTACTGCTTCTAGCCAAAGAGCACACCGGCAAAGAGAGAGCCATCGGAAGCATATTCTACTCGCGCGGGGGTTTCAGCCAAAACGATGACTTCATCTGGTTCATGAATGAGAGTGTCGCGGGGAAGAGGTTCCTGGACATAGCCTTACAATTCTCATCGTTTCTACAACAGGCCTTGAAGGAGGCAATCGACAACAATGTGACAAGTCAAATTGAGAACATGCGATCCGAGATCCATCTCAATAATCACCAGTTGCTGGAACCGTCACTAGCCAAGGGTGACAGGTGGTTCCAAAATATGACCCATTTCATCAACGACCTCCTCCAATTACAGACTAAACTGGGCAACTCGATCATAGAGGAGCTGAACTCCGACATGAAATGGAGCTTGTCGTACGTGGTGGCCTACGCCTTTCTGCTCTTCACTGTTCTCATCACGGGCCCACTGATCATCCGGGGCATCATCCGCCAGACCCATCACATCCAACACGTGGGCGACTCCCTGCATCGCAAGACGCTGGAACTCCGAGAAGAAAAGAGGAAATCGGACTCGCTGCTGCATGAGATGCTACCCAAGGTGGTAGCTGAGCAACTCAAGCTGACGGGCCAAACACCCGCTGAGAGCTACGACGAAGTGACGGTTTTCTTTTCAGATGTGGTCAACTTCACTGCTATGTCGGCTATCAGTTCACCTATGCAGGTACGATCATAATCGATTGGAAATCCCAGCTGTCTGCATTAAACGGCCCGCAAAAAGGTATAAAACAATTTTTTTTTTTAGAATCAGATAGGGCCTAAGCTTTTGAGTGTAGTGATTTCTGCTCATGACACCATTTTCAAAGGTCCTATAAAGAATGGATGAGCGAAAATACTCGATTCAAGAAAGTGAAAAATGTTTTCCTTCATTTAAAAACAGTGAACATTGAAATGCGTTTATTTTAATGAAGCTATTTATTTCAAATAAAATAGCTTTATTCAACACAGACATAGGCATTCAGAATGTTTGGTGTGCTGATCTTTCAAATTCCTCAGTTCAGTTACTGCGGTAACAGAAGGGACTTTTCCCAAAAGAAGTCAATGCCGTTTTAAAATTTCTTCCACTTTCGTAGGTTTTGGACACACCACCTTAATCTAAAAGACGGAAGTTGCATATAATAGACCTACCAATATTTCGAATCCTAAAAATGATTTTGTGAGACAAGCGTTTCACAACATTCTCTATTGTGCCTATGAGCCACCAAACGAAGTGCATATTTTTAACTTCAAGATTGACATCGTACTTATCCGACAATGGCTTTTTGCTGACCGTCATTGTTTACTATAGTAAGCCTATTCTTCACAAACCCAAATGCATTTTGAAGCGTCGTAAATAAATCATCGTTATTTATACACAAAAATGTTCTTGCGTAAAGGAGTACCATTTTGCCGCATGGATGTCGACTTGTTCGTCGGCAAAAGAAGTCCTCGCTTCCGTAACCTCTGAAAGGCGCATTGTGACTCATCCTGTTACGTCAATCCAAGTTACGAATCCAAACATTTCCATGACACAAAACCAAAACCCAGTGTCAACAAATATAACAAAGCATATGGGAGTTTTGCATAATAGAAATATCTCGAGTACAGTGTGCTGCGTAAGGATTGTCCAAGAAGTCGCCTATGTTGATTTTGCTGAATATACGAACGTAATTATCCCTGCTGAGGTTGAAGAAGGATGCCGATTCATGTTAATTAAATTGTTGGACTGAACTACAGGCTTGATTTGCTCACCCCACAGTATCAGCCATGAAATGTCGGATCCAATCATGTAAATGACAGTTCGATAATAGTGGGCGGTATGTGGTTTTGAGTTTCATCATGCCTTTGTGTTGAACGTCTGTGAGTCCCGTAAATTGAAAGTAAAGTAGTTTTTATAAAATTAATGCCCCCCCCCCGGTTTACCCCTGAAAACGAGAAATCACTATGGAGCTCCGTTTTCCGTGATGTATTCACATTTATGCCTACACATGAAAGGGGCAACTTTACTCGGATACTAGGAAAATGCGGGAGCGCCCTCTGCTGTTCCTGCACAGAGCCGATAGAAAGTCCTCTTAAATTGACTGGTGAATAATAAATAATTGACTTCGTTCAACAATTTAACCGCAAACCTTTCTTGTCAAACCTCTTTAATGAACGACGTAGAATAACGGGTTAAAGTAAACCTTTTTTAAACAGTATTTAAAGATGGTATTTTGTTAAAAATTGATGACGGTACCGGTAAAGAATTAGTCGTTGTTAACGTAGATGCCGAAATAATAACGACGTGACCTCTTCAATCCATTATTTACTGTCTTATAGTGTCCCCCAATAATTAAGTTTCTGGATATCCTGTGCCCTCTTCTCTTGCATTTATTCATTTTTTTGGCAGAACTGCCTGACGCTGTACATGAATATTATATGAAACCTAAAACAGGCCAAAGGTTTTTAAATTAGTTTTTAATTTATTGATATGTTTATATGATCCTCTAACGATGTTCGGAGCAATAGGAACACCCAAGAAAGAGAGCAGAGTGTCGAAAACAAATTAATGTCGTTTAGTATGGAAATGTCACGGACGACTGTGGGGTATAGTGTAATGTGTACCAAGACATAACAATAGGTCCGCTCAAATAATTTGATAAGTGGTTTCAAGGCAAAAATACCATTAAAATGTGGGCTGCATGAAAAAGCCTATACAATATGTTTAAGCGGTCAAAATGAAATGTCACGTAGACGTGTATCACAAAATAAGGAGTACTGATTCGGTGCAAACTCCTACTGGGACTCACGAAATAGCAGACGAAATCAGCCCCACGCTTACACTTTTAAATGGTATAACGGAATTAGAAAAAAAAAATGATATCCATTTTAACCAAACCTTATGTGTGTGATATAATTCCAATTTTGCTGCCGAGTTCATATTTCAAGTTATAATTCCACGTCTCGTTTGAATTCACCAACCGTCTATATTAGGTTACGCGAAATCATCTGCTAATATATAAACACAATGCAACGTGGTTTCCACGGTATGAATTTGGAGCCGGATCGGATATCCCCGTGTTTTGTTCCCTAAAAAATTGGTGTTTGCTGGGTTTTCGCCCATCCCGTGATCAGTTATTCATGCCTTATTGAATAGTTTAATGAATTTGTGTTGTATATTACGGCTTTATTTCTGTAATATTTCTGAAGTACTTGTATCTGTAAATATTAATGGTCGTCGTATGTTTCACCAATGCACCTCCTTATGAGGTGAACTTTACTTGACATTATTCAATCATTTGTAATGTACGCAGGGCCCCAATGGAAACCAGTTTTTAAACTGTTTGGGTATACCCTGGGTAATAATAATAGTAATAATAATAATGTAATAATGCATAATGCGCCTTTTGCGTACTAATGATCAAAAGCGCATTAAAGTGCCTACATTGAAAGTAGACAGAAGAGCATTACGTTGTCGACGAGTATTAAATGGAATAAAGAAATAAATAAAAACCGCAAGGCCAGAAATTGCGACAAGCAAATGTAAGACATAGGGTACATGAAAGGCAAAATGCATGTCCAACATGAAACAATCACGGTAAATTTCTATAGCATGATGACTCGCACATGAAACTTCACAACCTATTACAGAATTAATCACCTCAAAATAACGCATTTTAACAGTGAAGTATGGACTAAAAAGCTAAGCCAGCAGGAGCAGGAGTAATGTCCACGGCAATATATTCTGTGGCAAGTCCTGCTTGTTTATAGTTAGATAAGAAAGTAAGTTTGGAAACAAATAATATTCTTCAATACTCACAAAACCGAGCGTAGATCTCGATTTAGCACGAAGCACTTTCCAAGTCGGCAAATCAAAATTTCAGAAGATACGCAATCCTCTTTGATTGAAATTAAACAAGAATTTACCGTTAACTGATGTATAAGACTGTGATAATTTCCAACAATTATCCTCGTTATATTTAATTATCAGTTACATATTAATTACGGAAAAGGGTACCTTATAGGGAGACACTCCCATAAGGTTATGCACAACAGTTTGTTCAACTCTAATGAGCCCCCAGCTAACCCCAATTCCCTTATCCTACGCCCACGAATATTGATATATTTATGTTTTGAACCACGAGCTGTAACCCTAGCCTATTTTGCGACAAATCTGGCCTCTAAATTGGTGTTGTGACAGTATGTCTCCCTTATGTCCGATGTCCCCTATTCAACCTTGGCGTTCTCGGATTGTACTTTATTATCATCCTCGTTCTTAATACATGTAGTAGACTATGGGATGAATAATATATCGTGTGGGAATGGCATACAATTCGTCACGCACTCTTCTGCATATCGTGTTATACAGGGAGAAATTTGGTTGTCAATGTACTGGCGTGTACATTGAGTGGCAGCCAGAAAAATGGACAGATGACAGATAAGGAATTTCAAAGAGTCTTGTAGACAGCCCTTGCATGTGGCATCATTCTTTTGCACGGTTTTCTGAAGACAATATTCACGAAGCCTGATGGCTGACTCAACCATTGATGGAAATTTAAAAAAAAAAATCCAGTCGGGAAGAAGTGTAAGAAGAATTCGTACAGTAATCAGTGGGTCGACCGGGTCTTCGGTATCTACGGTATATCTAGGTATTGTGCAAACCCGCTCACCCCTAATACGAATCAAATCAAACATGAAATAGCCGTCTAAATCAGATAAAAACAGTTCGAGTCACGACACTACGTGACAAAACTTCACACGGCATAAAACAAATCAAAAGCCACGTCTAAAATAATAGATTCCTTCATGAAAGAAATTCGTGGTCGGTTTAATAAAATGCCAAGTTCCTTTTGAGAAAGTGTTTTGTAATTATATTGACTACCACACTGGAGCGTCAGGTAACTGATGGGAACAAATCTAACAGGAAGTTTTCATGCTAAAATCCAAGTTGAATTTCATCTCTGTTCATTTGGCACATTAGGCCTCCCATAAGGGAATAAACAACATTTGCAAACATCAAAAACAAAACTACCAGATTATTATGAAATACCTTACTGGACTGTTAGTGAATGACATTCTAAATAATCCTGTAAAATCGTGGCACCTGGTGTGCTGTCATTTCCAAAAACGTGGTATTTTTGTATCATTTTCCAACGCTGGTCGACCGACCAGCGTTGGAAAAAAAATGGCCAGCTAGACTGGTTCCCTGACTTTACGATTACCGTTTCATCTTAAGTGTGTCAGGGAACTAGACTACAGGAACATGATTGTTTTTCTTGGTTTTCCTAGCATTTACGAACACAAAACCTCAAACAAGTCAGTGTAACAATATTTGCTTTAAAATACTAACCCCCCAAATCCATGATTCTCAAAATTACAGAAAAAGGTACATGTGGACATCAATGGGCTATGAAATATTTTACTCGCAAAATAATAAAAACTTCAATAGTATTGCAATTATCGCGTGGAAGGATTTCAGGTGCAAAATGCTGGTCCCATAAAACGTCCGTGTGCAAATCTATAGATACACAGTTAATTTTGTTTTCGGAAATGTTGCTTCAAAAACAAGTATACTTTCACTTTTGTTGGACCAGAACTCTTACATGCAGTGCATTGTTAGTTACGGCCTAGGGTCCATGAAGTGATTTTTTTTCTAAGGAACATATTTAATGCAACTTTCTACTCCTCTTAAATGTATTGAAACTATGTGACATTCCTTTTTGGTTAATTTTACATGATTTTTAATTTTTCGGCCATGCTTTTCCGGACAACTGAGGGCACTATTGCAGTGATGTCATTTCAGGAAGTCACTGTAAGTCACTGTAGGGATTTTCTGTTCGAATTGCGAACCAAAAAAGTCGCTGCTTGAAAATATTCATGAGAAAAGTTTGTTCATTTGCTTATTGCCGTATACTAGCACAACAACAAATCGCCAAAGAAAATAAATATACGACAGCGAACTGTCCAAAATTCTGGCAAATGCTGGTGCTAAAATGGCTGTCAGATTGAGGTTTCTGCCTGAAATGACATCATACTTTTGCTCATGATTATGGAAACTAGCACTAGCATAAAAACCAAAAAAAGGCACCAAATTACCCTTGAAAATGGCAAAACGTAAATTTAAAATAGGGTTAAAACTAATGGGACACAAAGGTGCGTTTCCAAGGATCACGTTAAAAAAAAATTCATTGCATGGCCCTTTAATGCGATGTCAGTCTGAATATGACACTTTTTTGTAATTTTTGGGGTTTTTTTTCTGCAGAAAAAGATCCGCATCAAAAAGTGTGTTCCCTTGCACATAATATGCAAGAGCTGTTGAGTGTTGGTATAGTGTCCTATTTTTGTGAACGAGTCATGAATACCCTTAAATCTTTATCCGTCGCAGTGTGGATAGACGGAATTAACTCAGTACTTAAAATTTTTCGGGTCGCACTGGGAGAGCATCAACAAAAAGTTCATTAACGATATTTGCAAATGCATTTCTGTGTGTGAGGTTCTGCACGTACACAATGAAGGACCCGCGAATAAGTATGTCGCCCGTTAGGTTAAAAAGTGGCACTAAGTTCTTCATACAACTTATGCACGAGTCGGCCATATTGAATTGAAAGTGAGGTAAAATCGTAATTTTTGGAACTTGCGAAGAGAAATGATAGCAGGTCAGTTACTAATTAATTCCAGTCTGCTTCAATGAATAATTAAAGATTTGTGACTGAACTTTCCCTAATATTTAAAGCCAGATTAAAAAAAATGACAATAAAATAAGGCTGCATTATGCCTTCATATTATAGTCTGGCGCCATCCCATTCAACAATTAACAATTAATGAAATGCATTCAGGGAACTCGACCAAAATAGGCAACTCGAGCATAAGACCCATACCTTTTAAAGCTACCACTGATGCCGGTAGACTGGCTATTCAACGGAGGCCAATCGCTATCTCCGTATATCCTGTCAAAGAGAAGTCTCTGAAAGCATGTCACGACGCAGAAGGCTTTATCCCCCTTCCCATTATTTCTACTCTATGTAGATAGGCATTTTTGCGGTGACTTATTTCTCGACCTTTCCGGTGCTTCTTTGATTTGCAAGAAGGTATTAGCAGAAGGGCAAGGTCGCTTAAGTTTTCATATATGTGGACTACACAATAATGACACATTCGTTAGTTGCATGTGTGATGTATGTCAAGTACGATAAAATCACCAGAGGATAGAAACTTGCTGTCAAGTCACGTAGCACGAATTTGCTCTTCAGCTGAAAGAGCGTCGGCCCTGATTTACGTTCACTTATTAAATTTCGACACTTGTCCCAGTCAGTTGCACTCAACCTTAATAGCTGAATTTTCGTTCCAGCCGTGTCGGGAACAGGGTACAACAACGGAGGAATATCGAGCTAAACGGAAGATTGAGGATTTTTGGAAGGGGAATGCACCAGTTGATGCTTCCGCCCTATATACCTTTATCATGCTGCCACCATTTCAGTCATGTTTCCTGTATCCAATAACAGTACCAGGCTATTTTTCCGTCCAGCCTCGCTATGGTTACGTTGATTTGATCGAATGGGAAAAATCAAGATGGCCGCGCATCATGATAATGGTCTATTAGTTCAAGGAGTCCGACTCCGTTCTAATACGCCGTTTTTTAAGTTTGGTTCCCGGTCCCTCCATTGTCCTTCGGATCTTGGAAGCTGCGGGCCACCTAATTCGTGTTCATGCATGAGTCAAGTGATTTTGCCATGCAATTTCTGGAAGTAGTGTTTTGAGTTAAAAAAAAAAATTACTAAAAGGTTTTGACCCCAGTGGTCAATGATGACCTTTGATGCCAGTTTGGTCATGTGACATGTTGGGCCGGGCGACTGATACTTTTGACAAAGTTTGGTTGAAATCGGTCAAAACGTGCAGGACCAACAGACAATTTCAACATTTGTTACTTAACTAAATAACTATTGGACTTTTAACGGAGAGACATGATGATTCGTTGGGCTGCTATCCCGTAGCTAAAAGTTGCCCTACGCTCAGTATAAAACAGATGAAAAGCTTATATATATATAACAAAGACAAACAAACTAACAAACAAACAAACAATAGTTTTGGTTTCAGACGGACTGTGGAGTTAAGGCAGAGCTTTCAAAACGTTCATCCCGATCTTGTCGGCAAGGAGAAGTCCACTTAATTATGTTGTTTTTACGGATTAAGATGAGTCAATAGTCAATACTGCCACCATGGAAGAGCAAACAGTTTCGAAGTAGGTATATATTTCTAAGTTCCACGCCAACGCAGAGAGTTAAATGTCACCCTCGCAGCTACCACAATAAAAGCCCATCCGTTGAATAGTTGACCGTGACATTTTACAAACAGGGAAATATCTTGAACAGGACATCTTGACTGTAATCGGTCTTATAATTTGTACACACAAATTGACTGCCGTTACAGCTCCACGCATTTTTGAGGGGAATTGATCCCGGAGATGAGACTAGTTTTAGAACCATCTATAGGCTTTTATCAGGTTGAAAAGTTCTACCTCACGTAAGACAAGACGACCTTTTTGAATGGAATAGTTTTCTGTTTTGTTGCGTTAATGAAACAATATCACGAAACCTCACGCGTCCGAGCTCTTACGTTGCAGTTATTAGGACTTCCTTTATAAAAAGGTCCTACTTGACGTTTGTCAGAAGAAAATGAATAACCAAAAGATAGCATATTGCCCTGTGTCGTTGTTTAAGTGAAACAAAAACAGGATTTCGCACGCGTCCGTGCTCTTTGGTAGCAGTTTGCCTTGAGAAACTTGCTCAACAATGGTATACTTGGTATTTAGTATCGAGGTTTCATAAACAACACACAAATCCCCATAAAACGAGCAATACAATGATGCTCAGTCTATATATACACGTCTTTTATTGTGGAATCGCGTTAAAACACAGTTGGTCATTGTGAAATGAATGAAAGGATCAAAACAGACAAAATGTAAGAACAAGAAGAAGCAAGGGTATAAGGATTACATGAACGGATGAAACGAGAAAACAAGCCATGCAATGCCACATCGAATAAGCCTATACATCACGAAGGGAGCATCGCTGGACACAATGACATTATGTGGCATGTTTTTCTAGTTTTTTTTCTAACGAGTAATTTTTCCACACAAAACGAATTTGGGTGCGTCTAAAAGCGACGCCCTTGCGTAATGGTTTTGCTGTAAAGGAAGCTACGTGCTAACACTGTCATTTCCTTTGGGGGGGGGGGTGGCAAAGTCGGCAGGAGGGACAAGTACCCCCCCCCCCCCTCCGTTTTGATACGCCAACGCATTGGCGGTGTAGCATGAATTTAGGTTTAATGAAATACGGACTCATTGGTAATACTGCGCATGCTCATGCATAGATAATTAGGAGAGGGACCGGTCACATGAAAGGGTATAACCAATAAAAGGGAAAAAGAGTCCAATTTTCATACGAGTCCGATTTTCATATGACAGCGGATCCAGAGAGGGGGAGGGGCCAAAGGGCTCCCCCCTTCAAACGATTTTTTATTAATCGGAGGCGTAAAGACGCCCTTTTTGTCTTAAATTTTTAGGAAATAGATTAAAACGTTGCATGTCTCCCTCGCAAGCCATTATAGCTACATATACCTTTTAGTTTTAATATTATCAATGTGGAAATAGTACACGATATTATAAAAACCCCTTCCTTTTTTGAACAAAAAAAATGCTCGAGCTCTCTCGCCCCTTCTCCCGAAAATTTGGTTTTTGATCAGCCCTTGCGCCGCTGCAGAAATGACATTAATTGAATAACAACACGATCGACCGAAAACGATAAGTCGCCGGATGATGACACAGCTGCATAAAAATGGTATACGACAGCAAGGGCGAACAAACACAACAGGATGCGCTCACCTAAATGTTAAAACAACATAATCGGATCAAAACATACAAGAAAAACACCGCCCAATGATAAACAAAATTTGTATGACACATATCGGCAGGACGCAATGTAAAACAGCTGAGTTCGGAGTGACTAAAAATAAACATCACCAAGGCCTTTTTTTGCGTTCCATACAAAGTCATATAAGCCCTTTTAGATGAGTGACAATTAAATGAGCTGTATTTCCAATTTCTTGTTGTCCAGGTAATAGTGATGCTGAACACTTTGTACCAATCTTTGGACGCCCTCATCGACCGTTATGATGTCTACAAGGTGGAGACAATTGGGGACGCATACATGGTTGTTTCAGGTAGACTTATAGCCGTTTGTCTAATTTGAAAGATCTACTATTAAGCGAAGTTTTAAAAGCTTTTGACATTATTTTGAACCCCAATCAACAGCCACTGCATCTATTCTTAACATATTTGGCGCAAACTACTGTTTTATAGACGTTTTTATACCGAGGAGCATTTAAGGCCTCATGTTTTGAAGCCGTTTCGTGAACAGCGTGATGTCGTCATCATTCATTAACATGTAATGAATAATGCATTTCAGATACGCGACGTCACTGGTTGTAGTTATTGGCAAAGGTTGATATTTCGTAAACGTAGGCAATTGGGAATTTTCATGGCTTAGGAATATTTTGCAAACCAAAGTTTGGTATGAAGGACAACATTATCAGGTTACATGGTTGGTTAATTATTGTTTAAGGTTTTTTTTCCAAATTTTGTTTCAGTATATAGCTATAAAATCCAAACAACAAACACATTGACAATAATTATTATGGTCATTCCCGTTTCCCTGCGCTATTTTGGTAAATGAGAATGACTAAAACTGACCATCTTTGTTGTATCATTCCAAAACATGTTTTGATCGTACGGCGAAAGGCATGCTCACTTGATTTAACTCTCTTGAGCTAAATTTATTAATTGCACCTCCCCCCCCCCCCCAAAAAAATAAAATCCTCCAAAAGTCAAAACCTGTTAACTCAAAAACTCTTCAAACTCAAAGTAAAACCTTATTCCCGTCACTTGTTGGTGAATAGAAAATCCATTGGATAACTCAAAACTCTGCTTAACTCAAAATTTGAAGCACTTCCCCTAAGGTGTGACTTATCGAGATTCTACTGTGTTCATACAATTGCTTCATATATGTATATACATACCAAGACAAAGCGTTTGAACAGATGCTCAGTGCAAGAAAATGTCTCTGGAAGACTGTTTGAAATTGACAGGAAATTGAAAGAAAAATCCACGGAAATGAAATGGCTACACGATATTATAAAGATGCGGCAGGTGCGGTTGAAGAGCCAATATTTTGGGGGCTAGCAGATCGGATCCAGAATTTTTTTCAGGTAGGCGTGCTGATATGTATATCGGTTATTTTCTCCGGACACTTAGACCTCCGAAAATCAATAGGTGGGGGAGGGGGGGGGGTGGTCGTGCCAATTTTTTAATGGGGACCGCTGATAAAATCCTACAATCAGGCACACTATATTAACTAAAAGTGTACAAATGTACCCTTCTCGTGACTATTTATTTAGGGGAGACCGTTCGGATGTACGTCACATTCTTATATTTTGCTAGTGCAATTCTTTTACCAACTTGATTCAGTGAAAGAAGAAATTGATATATAATACAAACGTTACCGATTTTGACAGCAATTTAGGCATGGATTTTGAGGTTTATATTGTACAGGGGATGAACACTGACAAAGAAATGGTCACAGCTCACTTATAATGATTAGCTGGTGACAGGACTTCGAGGACTCTGAAGACTATTTTTTTTTTTACATCCTTTTGGCTTATCGTCATTTTCTTGTACCCCACCAGGGGCTCCAAATCGCAATGGCAGGCGCCATGCACCAGAAATGGCCAAGCTAGCTCTGGCCATCTACCGAGAGATGGCTACTCTACACATCCCCCATCTGCCGGACCACACATTCCAGCTCCGCATCGGCATTCACACGGGTAAGGAAAAGAAACACCGAAGTTCACAAAGTTTTTCGGGGTTTGACCCATCAAAATGCTCATCATTCGTTGACGAATTGTCGATTAATGATGACCATTTTGGCACTGTGTTATCAACCTTAAGACCCAAGGGGAGCTCCACATCAAGAATTCCGGATCTCAACTCAACACGTTTTCCGAAACCGTGAAACTATTGGTAACAATTTAACTTATTTAAGTTGGTATAACTATTCTGCGGACCTGAAACTATAATATAGAAACTATACTTTACACATGTCATTCAGTATGACCTTGTATATGTGGCGTGTAGATAGAGTATAGACCTTAATCATGCTGCCACCATTTCAGTCGTGTTCCCTGTATCAAATAACAGTGCTGAATGATAATTTGTTTGTGCAAAAAGGAACCAGACTATTTTCCCTTCCAGCCTCGCTTTGGTTAGGTTGATTTGAATGGGAAAAAAATCAAGATGGCCGCAACATGAAACTGATCTATAATAAAATGACAATGTGTATGTAAATACTGAATAGCGAATCATCCCAAACGGAGTCTGACGGTGTCGAACGAAACATAGCAATTAGGGGGGCCTAGTTGTTTCATTGAGTACGTCCAATGTTTATATTTCTTTTGATATTTTTTAAGTCACTCGATTGTAAATGGACTAATTTCCAGTCTTCAGAAACTCATCGCGATGTGAATGATATAGACGGTGTTAATTTTTGGCGAACGAAATGTGTATTTCCTTTTCAGGTCCGTGTGCCGCGGGCGTAGCTGGCTCAACAAGACCGCGTTATTGCCTGTTTGGAGATACAATCAATACGGCGTCTCGAATGGAGTCTACTGGAGAACGTTTGTACTGTTTTTAAAACTTGCATTAATAGTTTAGGACTAAGGCTCCGTTAGTAACTTGTAATATCGATCCGCAAATTTCGAGTTAATCTATGTTTTTTCACATTCTCTGTCACTAAAAAAAGGAAATATCTCCCGTTCATTCTATTAGGAGAAATAGCTTCACGAAGCTGTCAGATTCTAATACGTTTTCTTTTGTAAGCGATAAGGGAAGGGCCTTGGTCGGGTACGAGCCAATAATTGAGAATTGTAGGCTCTAATAATAATATGTTGAGTCAGCTCACAACTCAGGTAATATGGCTATTTTTACAGAGTAAGCTTTTCCGGTCATTAGAAGCCGTGTAGGCCTAAAAGGTTATACGTTTGAACGTTTTTGAATGGGTTGGACGTAATTTTTCGCACTAAATTGAATTATTAACAGCAATGTCTTTCCAACTCTAACGAACTCCCACGGATCCTTAGTCCTGATTCAGCGGTTGTCTACTTCATCACCTTCAAGATTGTGACGGATGTATGTTTTATTTACTTTTCTACAGCTGGACGAATTCATATCAGTCAGGCCACACGGGAGGCCTTACTCCGTGTGAACAACGACGAAGGTGAAGATGAGGAGTTTTACGTTACACTGCGCGGTACATTAGACATCAAGGTTAGTCCATAAGACCATATGGCAGTATTGTTGTCATGAGTACTCAGGAAATCGGGTCAATTATAGGGTTGTATCACTAAAAAACTGTATTTGGATTGGATTTTAATCATTTCATCACCTGTTTTGTGCCCGGAGTTGGTAAGAATCAATATCTACACAATAGGTGATGGAAAAGTTGTGCGAACCATTTGTAAAAAAAAATAAGTTGTATTGGTGATCACCTCTGATGCCCCGTTTCAGAAAAGTTATTAATTCGTTTCAACATTCCTACAATTTTCCTTTTGCCCTTTTTAATAATTATGTCAGTGGTAATGTTAAATACCGTCGCTCGAGTGGGACAAGATTATGGTCTCATAAATGATACCAAGAACTTGTCACAGCAGTTGGTCGTACCATACTCTGGCATCAGTCCGTTACCAAAAAAGTAGCTTAATTTTTTTTAATTTTTTTTTTTATATTTGTTTGTTTTATTGAGAGGAATAAATGAGTAAGCTTGGCCGGTTTTAAACACCACGTTTAAGACCGGTTTTGTGTCTAAACGCTAATAATGGCATGAGCCGAAGGCGAGCCTCATTAGGCTAGCAGCGTCCCGTTCATAAATACCGTTTAGGTCCAAAAATCAAAACTTTTCGGTCCAAGACTCAAAACAAGCCAAATTTATATATTCCCAACGAATTTGTTAACAGTTTTACTTCATGTTTTTTTTTAAACACCCCTCTAGCTTTGTTTGGTATGTCCCTCTCCCGAGTATCCGGTTAGTTTGACGTCATGTCAATTCAACCATCAGTGGTCAGTGGTGCCTGCGCGTGTATGACTTTTTTTACTAACGAACCGAATAGTTGAGTAAACAACTCATTATATGAAGAATGGCGCACGCGTCGCGCGTACTGCGCGATGTGGCGCAAAACGCAGCTGTGCCGGTGTTGTGTGAATTTAGGACTATGAATACCGAATCACTGGTAGTATTGCGCATGCACTCACTGGTAGTATTGTGCATGCAATATAAGGGCGGGACCAGATTTCATAGGAGTCCACATTTCATGCGACACTGGAAAAGTGTTTTAAGACCAGCCTGCCGGTGTTTTAGCCACGTGACGGGCTCGCGACCAATGGGAAAGGGTAAACTCTCTAAGGTATTTATGATTGTTTTTGTGTGTGTGGTATTTTCAGGGGAAAGGTGCGATGACAACATACTGGTTATTAGAGAGGCCTGCCGTGGAAAACCAACAACCGACGTAGTGAGCACCGCACGGAAATAGACATATCAGGCAAAGAATATTTTATATTAAAAGGTGTGCATTGTCAGATGATAAACTATCATTCCGTAACCTATTACACGAAGAAAAAAAAAAAGGAGTCTAACTCAAGGATTGTGGGGTTATGTTATTCGTAAACTAGCAGTGCGTTCGATTACTTCCCCCGCGCTTACTCGTGCAAGCGCGACAGCGTTCGATTTACCTCTCACGTGACTTCTCGCGCTTACTCGAGCCTGGCCCAAGTGACCGACTCGCCGAGCCGGTTACTTGGGAAAGTATCCTATAAGGCCATGCAACGTCCGGCGGGCGCCTCAGGCCGTGTCCGAAACGGGCTTCCACGGAGCATACAAACGCTATGTAGCTCTATGCACGGAGCTACGGCTACGAATTATTGTCAGCGCGTCCCCTGGAAAAGCAAAAAAAAAAAAAAAAAAGAAGAAGAAGAAGAAAAAAGAGAAGACGCGAGAAGTCATATTGGTGCAAATTTAAGAGAAAGTCATATTGGTACAATCTAATGGGTGGGGGCCCCAACTCCATGTGGGGGCCCCGCCCATCCTGTCCCTACCCTCCTCTAAAACTGATAAATCGAGAATATGTTGACTGGATTTTTTTTTGGAAAGTATGTTTTGCCCCCCTCTAGAAAAAATCCTGGCGACGCCTATGTTTCCAGCTCTTGCATAAAACTTTACTTGAAACCGTTCGTTTATTTAGCTCCACTGTGCATGCCTGTCATTACGCGAGGAGCCAGGCGCGAGTAAGCTGGGGGAAGTTATCGAACGCACTCTAGCTGATCTGTTGAGACGGGGGAAAACTGCTGACGCAAATGAATAATTTGCGAGTGACGCAAGCCCTAAGATCTAAGGAGTGTTGATTGTTGCTCAGATTCACCCTTTTTTTGTAATAAAATAAAGATGGTAACAATTCCTTATGATCTGACTGTGACTGTAGTTGGTTTACCAATACTACGTTGTTGCACTGATGCAGAGAACTCGACATAAAACAAAATTACATCATCCTCGAACGTCCCAGTGTTAGTTAAGATTATACTTACTTTGTAATCACGTCCATGCACTGGGAAATGTCGCCCATCATTGATCATTCACAGAAATAACCAGACTGTTTTTCTTTATAATTGGATAATTGTATTATTTCATTATGGGAAAACATTCTCGTAAAAATGTGATCAGACACTTCACGTGTGCACAATTTGATTATATTTCTTTTGCTTTGTACGTTTGTAGACGCGAGGTGTTTGGATAACTAGGTGCCAATAGGCCTATGTGTCATTTGAAATGCGTTATTTGCGATGCCACAATTTGTGATTTAATTTGATTTAGGCTTCGTTTCGTCGCGTACGGTGGGGCATTTTATAATCTCGAATGATGTGTATTAACAGGCTTAAAACTATACAATTGCGGTTTTTTCCCGAACCCCTATTAAGACTGCTTGCTATTCTCTTGGGACATATCAATCTCAGGACATCAACCCCGTACTTTATTGACAAAAATTAACATAATAGGTAGTGTGATGTTTCATAAACCATGATTCATTGGTGCAGAATGAAAACTCTGTAAAAAGCGCTCAGTGGAAATGTGCGCCAGTATAAAAAAAGCTCTTGATCACAAATCATGCGGGTAAATGCCAATTTGGCAATTTTGTGGCCTTTATGTCTTTCTATAAGTAAGCAGCCAGAATCCATTAGCCTATGAATTATATTAATCAAATACATCTATAAAAAAATAATGTTTATGCTCTGAATTTACACTTAATTTTCTTCAAGTTACATAAAGACAAAAGCAGTGATCGTTTATGGGAGAATAAAAATATTTGGTTTCATGCGCCGATGTGACGCCATTGTGTAATTTGACTGACAATTGTAAATTCATCTGTCAAGAATAACTCTCAAAGTAATTTCCTTCGCTTTTCCATTTTGTAATATGCTGTGACAGTTTCGTTCCAAAGCCTCGGATGAAGATAAGCATTGTGTGCTTACAACATGTACAAGGAGACAATCTTTTAAGGATTTCTTCAATTTCCTTGAGCGGGTGCGTATTATCTTCACGAGATCCTTGTTGTCCTTGGACGTGGGGCAAGGTTGTTTTTTTCTGTGCCACTCATCACGTTCTTAAACAATTTAGCCTAAGGGCCCCGGAAAATTTTGGATTCTAGATGCTCTGTGGTGCAATTTGAGGCGACGCCTGGTCACTTTCCCCTGATTTTTTTTGAGCAGAAGTTTTTAAAATTAGAAGAAGAAATTTGGTTTTGTTTCAAATACATACTCTCTTGCTCTTGTAAAGTTTCTTCTGTTTTCAAATTTAGAGCATGTATATAATGTATAAATTGTTCCAAGATCGTGCTTTCTGATGTTTAACCATTTTTAACAGTTCCTAAATGTCTCATCAAATGTTAAGATTTAGTATATCAATATTAAGTGCGAGAACAAATTGCATGAACGTTTCATATTCATGTAACTATTCATTTAATTCAAGTTTGAAATCGGCGTAATTTGACCAATCTAAAACCAAAACAGTGAGTAATTAGGCCTATATGTACATTGCACCTGCGGCAGCTAATTAGTCTCGTGAGTCATGACAGTCCGAACATTAAATCATGCGATCCTCTTCAATAAGCCCTTCACATCTATAAAGGTAATTACGCCTACCATCTCATTCCCATGAGACACTGACAGCCCGACGTCCGAAAATTTAATCACGTGGTCCTCTAAGTAGACAGAAAATGTCAGACGTGTGACTGTCATGTCAAGATCCCAACAATAATTACAGTCGTAATAAAAACGTAAAGTAATCATCACTCATTGTTACTGTCAAGGCTTTGGGTTAAGTTCAAATCACTTCTAAATCTACAAGGTATATATACCTGAAAAGAAATGGAAGAGCCGCGGGGGGGGGGGGGGGGAGTACATGAATGTCGAATATGCTGGTGACTCAATGCAGTCAGCCCTCTGTCCACTCGGCTGGGCAGTGCCACTTAGGGACGCGGTTCCTGTGCCCTACAGTTGCAAGCAGTGGATGACTGACAACTCCATGCAGTGAGAGTACGATAGACAAGATTTTTTTAATGTTTGGTCGAGCGTACACAACCAGACTACTATGTACGGTTGTATGTATGGTTGTATCATTATTCTGTCAAAAATTATAGCCAGAGAAAGGGCAACCCCGTGTAAAATGCCCGTAGAAGGGCCGCGCGAGGAGTCCGCAAGCGCAAAGACAAAATGGCGTATTTTCAGGCTCTAAACTAATACATTTTATTTAACCTATAACTTCGAGTGCCATGGGTTTCATTTCATAGTCGCAAGTTATTTAGATTGTTTGTTCCTGTTATAATAATGACAACGATTTATTTTGTTCATTCTTGTGAATAAGATTATTTAATATATCTGTTGTATAATAATGCACAGGGTGAGTCAAAAAGAAAGTGGCCGAATTACAATTTTTTTGAAATAAAAAAATTGTGGCTCGCTCCATTTCATAAAAATAACATAGTTGTTGACTTTTTAGTAACTGATAATTTCTCGTCATTTGCATACTCTATTCCCAAGTTGTGTCTATTTTAATACAAGATTACAAATGCCAGCTGTCCACCTCTGATCATTTACCGTTCTGATGAATACCCATTGAATACAATGAAACATGGACGTTTTCCCACCTCCATGAACGAACGAAAACTTGCAAAGAAGAAAAGACAAATCGCCATCAATATTTCAGGGAGAAAAAACATAATTAAGTTGTTAAGTCATATTCAAACCGCATAATTCGACAGTAAAAAATAAAGGTTCGCTCATTACTCATGATTATAAACTCACTTGTGTTTGAATGCGTGTGTAATGTGTATTTCTCACTTAGTTTTATAGCGTCCAGTGGCATTCCATGAACAGCTATAAACATGGGTTCTTTTAGTAAACCATGTATAATTATAACTGCTTGCATTAATCAATTTCAGCGTTTCTTTTTCTCAGCCGAGTAGAAAAACATGCTCTTTACGTACTTCTGTGGTATATCAAACTTGATGGTTTTTAAGGGGAAACAGATGATTGATCTAGGTCACTTTCTTACAGAAGCAGTGACTTGGGTTGCTATCGTCAAACGCCGTAGATATGTGCAAGTCATACAGTAATACCACACCACCATATTTCGACTTTGTAAATTGGCAATTTCATTGTGCGCCCAAGAGCTAAACCAATGTCGTGAACTCAACCAGCTTCAAAACTGAGGCTCCAAAAACGCAGCCAAATCGACTGGCCTTTCTACCGGGACTGGAAAACGTACACGGAAGAACGAGTTATTGCTATAATGGTCATAATCAGCATCAGTGGCAAGTACAGGTACTTTATGTTTCGCAAACAAGTGGCGATGCAGCGGGAACGATTAAGGTCGATATAACCATGATTATGAAACGCAAATCAATGTAAAGAAGGCTCTTTCTATTGAAGTACGTACCCTTCTCCCTCAGTCACTCAACTTTAGCCTTTTCACCTTTGTGACGGAGGATGCTTCGATAAAGATCTACCATAGGGCAAAACAACAGTTTCCTGACTCTAAGATCTAAATCCTTGGCCGTTATGAAGGCCAAGGGTGACACGCACCTTGTTTTTCTTGCGTGTTATCACTACATGCTAGTGCGGAGGTACATGTAGGTAGGGCGGGTTAACGAGAAGTAAAACTCGTAGTTCTGTCAACACCTATCGATAACCACCACACATCTATTGCAACGCCTATGCTTGTTGCCACTTGACCATGACAGCTTTGCGCATTTTGATGATGTATCAGATATGGTATTCGTTTTTCTGTCAGGTTTCAAGTCCCCCTGTTGGTCTACAGTTTATACGAACTGAGAGAGGTGGTGGAGGACCATACAGAATTGCACAGTAATGAATAAAGTATATTTAAAGAGGGCGTTACGGTCTGAAATCCCCGATAATTTCATGTTTTGGATTGTTTACTGTTTGGAGTGTAGAAGGCTTTAAAAACAAGAAAATCCTTCATTTATCACCATGAAGTGCAAATATCACGATGGCCCTTCACAGCATTACCGGCTTACTCTACACAAGATATTTTATCACATCTGCCAGGCAGTTGCGCAAAGGGAACGCTTTCCCTTCGGTATCTTGTTGTCAGACTTTCTCTCTTTTTCAAATGCCGAAAATGTGGCCAAAGGGACATGGTGCGAACCGCCATGTTTTTAAATAATTTAAGTTGTTATTACTGATGAGGCCACCCTGCTTAAAGTTGGTGTTTACGTGCTTTTTGGGTGTGGCACCTTGAAAAAATAGTTTTTTCAAATTGAATGGATAATTTTCTAGTCAAACGGCCCACTACAAATAATCAATTAATTGATTTCAAGTTTGGAATTAAGAGCGGGACGCTCCTAATTTGTTTCTGAATAGTGTGCGCAATTTCTGAACTGGAGCGCGCCATTTAAAACCACTTTTTAAAGCTGTATAAAGGCCTGCAAAAATAAACAAGCAAATTTATTTGTTGCAGGACATTATATTCCTTTAAACTTTGTTCGGAAAAGAAAATTCGACCTTTCAAATTCCAAAACCTATACAATCACGCGCTGCATGTTCGTCAAGCTTTTTAAAAGCTTCTCCGTAGGTGATATTTGCCACACGCTTCACATCAAAGCAACAATACCTTTTCATTGAAAACAACTCAAATGACATCATTAGTCATCCTTCTATGTACCGCTTCAGATGTGGAAAGGAAATAGACGAGCAGACGTTTTGCATATTTTATGAACATCAACAAAAGAGACAACCATTATTTCCCTCTGCGCGACGCATTTTGATAACATTTTCAGACTCGGAGTCGGGTAGTTTCTAGCAATGCTATTCAATAATTTAGATATATCAAGTCAGTTTGCGAAAATAATTTACACGTTTCAAAGTGTATCACAAACGTATTAACATTCAATATACCTGTTTACATGTAGGCCTACTTTTACATGTCTTTGTTTGTGTTTACTCGACTAAACCACGGATGTCCCCGGTTCGATGCCCCATGAGTTTGTAAGCTGGATAAACACAATCTACAAAGAAATAAACTCAGAAACCTAACCATTTGGATCCAGAGAGTATAGACTCACGGACTCATTGACTGTCACTGATGGGCTGGGCAGTGCTATTGTATAGGATTACCCCGTAACGCCACATGAATGGGCTATTGTGTACACAGAGGCACACAAAGGCCTACAGTGAATAGCCATTCGGAACCGGTTGAATATATATATTTTTTTGTGATTTGGGAACAGCTTGGCTAGGCTTGCCTTGTCTTTCTTTATTGCCACTATATGAAGATTTCCATTTTACCTCAAAATGAGTCATCTGACTATTTTTTTTTTTACATCATTATGATGTCATCAAAATATAAAACAACAAACAAAATTCGAAGTCCAAAAAGTCACAAAAATTGGAGCAATCCGATTAAGTACCACGTGCATATTTTATTTTGCTTTCTGGAAGATCAATTAAAATCTTTGGAGTCAAGTGAAATGTCATACGATCTTTACTTCTGTGTACAGAAGATTCAGATTCCGCGGTTACCATTTGTATGATGTCGACCACAACAAGAGAGGTTTTTGGGGGACACTATTCTGCAAAAAAAAAATGGCGATAAAGCCTGGTGGAAAAGGGTAGTTTTTGCCATGAAGTGGACCTTTTCACCATAAAGCCATAAAGTGGACCTTTTCAACAACGAATGTATGTTACCCCCCCGCTCCCCATTTAAAATCTTAAAATGAACAAAAATATGTCATTTGCCTTCCGTGCCCCATTGAAAATTATGTGCACCCAGGTGCCCCCCCCCCGGCCCACCAGAATTAGGTTTAACCCTAGTCACGCCACTGACTGTAAATACCAAGTAAACAAAATAATTACTCTCTTTTTTAACGTTTTTATTTTTTCCGATTTCTATCGTCGAGGAGGAATGATCTTTAACTTAATAATGGGGACACTGTTTAGGTTCTTGGGAAGGTTCTTTCAACCTGGAGCCAATATAAGACCCTGGTATGGTAACTTGCTTCCTTTATTCTGATTCGATCCCGAAATAGCAAGCGATGGATTTATATCGTGTACATGGTGACTGTATTCTCAACGGGTATAGATCGGGGCGGAGTGACGTCATCCAATGAACACATCTTTTCATTGGCAAACTAGTTTTCGTCGGTTGCTATGTGTTACCATTCAGCACTCCAGACCCAAGAACCATTGAGTTTCAAGAACATAGGTCTGGGAGCTAGATAAGCCAATGTAAAAAAAATCCCAGATCCAAAGGTGCTTCAAACAGTGAAACATGTTACTGTTCGCCCACTGTGCAATTGTCTTTCTTGAAGTGCAATTTCTGTAATATTTTGACTTATTTATGATGCTGAAAATGTTTAAAATAGGACTAAAAAGGATAAGATACATGTTCAGGTGGAAAATAACAGGTATTTCAATCAAATTCATTTGTACTCTTGACATATTATGTACTGTGTTGTTTGTAAGGATTAGGACACAATGCACCACATGCAATTCATACGCAAATAGGTACATTGTAAATCCCTTAACTGTGGTAATGCCATTGGAATGGACCAAGAAAGAGTTTTGTTACCAAATGGGCATTTTCTCACCAAATGGGCATTTTCTCAGCAACCCAATATGCTGTTTTCATGCTTTTTTCAGCATTGGAAAAAAAAGCTCTCAGCTTTCATCGGATATCCAACACATAAAAACTCACAGATCACGTTTTTGAAAAAAAAAGGCAAATGTTTTAGAGTTGCATTTTTTGGGCACCCCGTACATGTCTAATCGTATTTGGTGTAAAATTGCAAGTTGGATGGGTATCAGTCTAAAATTACAACTTTGACAAAATTATGTAATTTTTTTTTTATGTCACGCCACAACGAAGGTTTGTATACGAAAACCAAGTTCTGATGATTGGGCTCAGGTCCACAGAGTTTATTGTTCCAATCCCTCAGACGTATTTAAGGATAACCAGGTAGGACTACCAAAAAACATACAAACAGACCCCTATCAAATATAATTTGTTCGAATATTAAAGCTTTCTTCCTTGCCTGGTCTATTGTGAAAGCTAACAAATGCCAAAAGATTTGCCCCACCCAAAAATTAATGTCTCTGAAATCTGTGTCGCGCTCCCATTATGTATACTTGTTAGCGTTGAATGACTGTTGCATTGCAACTTGGATTTACTGTCAAATAAATGCTCAAGACCAAGTAAAATAAGTAACATAACTAAGTAAAATAATATCCTGGAAATATCAACCACCAAAAAACAAGGTTGCCAGCGTCCAGAGTCGCCACTATATTTTAAATTTAAATTTGTCATCACATACATTCGAGACTTTGCTTCACTGTTGACATTTCTAACATGACACTGGTTTAAAATCAATCCCGCAATATTCCTCGGAGGCATTAGAGAAACAAGGTATTAAACAGACATTGCTTCAAAATTAGGTTTTGCCCTTCAATGGCATGATTGGAAATTGCCCATATAAAACACAAACATGTATCTAACATTGAGCTTATGGGGGGGGGATTGTCCTGTAAGATATTGATTGATAAAAAGAGACAAACAAGGTTATTTTGGGAAACATTATTAGACTGATCAATAGCACTATGATAAATAACTGTGGTAAAGTACATTCTTGTAAAAACGTTACTGTGCAGGACTACATGTTTGTTCAATTCTTCGCCTACATATATGGCCAAACCAACACTCACTGCTAGGATAGGTGTGTTAAGTCATAAATGAACAAAAAATACGAGTACCCCCTCGACTGTGTAAAAGCAGAGGGGCATGAAAGGGTCATGTTGGAAAGAATGTAGTATCCACACGCCACTTCAGCGCTTGTGTACAAAGTCTACGGAGAGTCAAGAATATTTTCAAAGTATATTCCTAACACATTGGAAATGTTTCTCAGTCCCATGCAGATTCATGTCTCATCATCCTTTTTCGCAATGAATGACCTTCATTGAGATGAAGTAAAAAGCAGCGTCAGGATGCAATGTTCTTTCCCATGTGGGCACCATCTTGTCTGCAATGTGTCATGTACACGCATCTCATTCAACACAGACAGGTAACTCTCCAGACTGGTTCCTGCCTCTATAATCGTTCTAAGAACGATGGTGGAGGGGCTTGGAACCAGTCTACTTGTCTCACTTACGAGCCATAGATCTGATCAAAACAATGAGTAGTGTGTATGAACCAGGGAAGCGCAAGAGTCCATCAACTGTAGTTGAGACTGTGGTAAAGTGCAACGGCGCCCTCTGCTGTTCACACATGAGGTGAATTTCCCTTTTAAAATCCTAGGCCCTTTTCATACCAGGCTTTCGATGTTTATCTTTGACTGAGCCCAGTGTAACATTATTTGTTAATCCCTTAAGGCAATCAGTTACACCACAGGAGGCCAGTCCACAAACAGTACAGTTTACTTCCTGCTGGATCTACCTTTTTGAAACCCCATACATGTTACATGTACAGGAATAGTCTGACAACTTCATGATTTCCATTGTTTGTGCATCAATTTCAATGATCAAAGAAAGAAAACATGGTTTCATTACCCGACAAAAACGAATATTACGTTTGATTTAATTTATGAAAAATCTAGGTGCACTTAGGCAGAAGAAGGATTCAGGCATGCCATACTAGTCGTTAAGTCAAGTGATACTAATTGTTCCCTGATGGTGGTAGGCATTCATCTGGTGCTGAACTGCCTCAACGAGATAAAATCTTGAGATAAGAGAGATCCCTAACCCTGATTCAGTCTTGATGAAAAACCCAAATTAAAGGCCGCTGGTCGGGTTTTCTTTTATTGGAGGCATGGCATGCAGGGGTTAGTGTACGTAGGTACATTTCTGGAGAAGACCATGATAAAAGACAAATACTACGAACATCCCCCACCCAAAAACTGTACAGCCAAAAAACTTAGCTCTGTAAAACCTAATCATGCATCATCGTTTAAATTGCAAAGGGATATGATGCATTGCTTGATCTTTCCTCATGTTGCCTCTGTGTCGACCGTCATCTTCGATTCCACATATTCAAGGGCTTTCCGCTTGACTTCAGCCACGTCCGCCTCAGTGCCGCACTTCTTCTCAAACTCCAAGTAGCGCTTGAAGAAGAACTTCATCTTTTTGGCCGAGAGACTGAGGTGGATGACTCTTTCAAAGAGGTGTCTGGTGGGAACACGAAAAGATCAGAAGTCAGGGTGCGATATCACACATAAAGACTGTGGGCTCCGTGCGCGAACAAGAGTTGGGGCTATCCCGAATATACCAAAATTTGAATATTCGATCATCAATCGAATATTCGAATAGCTTTTTGCCGGTTTGAATATTCGAAAAGAGAAAACTGTGCATATGTGCAAGTGATTGTAGCGTTATTTTCATTGTAAACTTACCTTTTTTATTTTCAGATGATACTTTTTGTCAACGATAACTTTCTTGTCCACACATGCATGTGTTTATTGGTCCTATTAAAGTACTCAATTTTCACAGAAAGTAACAACCACTAGCATAACTTTTTCTCAATGGAGCACATCACTTCAAACAGCTTTAGCATGGAATTTGTTAATTTCACACTGCAGAAAAAACACAAACTTGGGCTTTTCAGAAAAGCAGAAGTCTGGTACCTGATGGCCTGCACATCTGCTTGCTTGATCATCATGTCAAGGTAGACTGACCAGATGTCGGTTCGCTTGGGGTAGTTGCTCAGGACATTCTCAAACATGGTTTTGCCGCGCTCGGCCTCGCCAAATTTGAACTCCATCTGTGCAAACTTGACAATCACATCAATGTCTGCAAAAATGAAAAAAAGTACTGATAAGTAAAAATTCCCTTTTGAGACACTTGGGAGGCATCCAACAAGAAAATATTTGTAGAACAGGCTTAAGGGAAACAACCGACCCATGGTTATTAAGCTCAAATAAATTTCCTGCACAAAAGTCCTGTTACAATGGGAGCTTTGTATCAAACTGAAGTATAGATGTTACCCATTCTTCTTACGTTCTTTGGGAGTCAGGCTCTTGAAGCTTCTCTGCATGAGTTTGTGCGCGGCGTCTTGGCGTCCGTTTTGCATCAGGAAGTTACCATAGCTGATCCACACGTCCTTGTTCAGATTGAAGCGTTTCACCATGGTATTGTACAGTTGCTCTGCTGACTGTGTCAACAAATTAAAAAAAACCAACAAATTTAAAGAAGGTGTGCGTCTGTGATTTTTGGTTGCAGCACCTCCCCCAACAAAAAAATAAATCAAATTAAGTTTTCAAATTAAATTGTAACTTTTTCAGCGTTGCCTTCACCACACAGAAAAAATAGCCCATAGTAAGGTTAATTGACCTATTGCAGTAGAATCACGTTAGAATCACATCAATGCAGCTTGTGAAATATTGTCCAATTACATGATAAACAAATAGACGAGGAACGCGCAAAATCTGAGACAAACAAAAGTTAGTGTACAAAGATTCCATAGAGTTGTCTAAGGGGCATGGTTAACTCACAAACGGCGATAGGTGAATTAAAAATGTAAACCTTATAGACTAATTCGGCGACAGCCATTTTCTGCGGTGGCACCAGGCCCACGTGAGTTGCACTCAGGTAAATCGCACACACTCCACGTTCCTTGACCAATAGGGCTACCAGAATGCGCATGTGCCTTGTCTTTAAGAATGCGTACGGCATGCACGCAAAAATTGCTTCTGATTTTGTTCGGTGAATTACATGTATACAAACATACATGTACATAATGACAAGAATTTTTTAGAATGCCAATAAGGGTGCAGAGGTGATGCCCTTACTTAGCTTTCAAATTAAAATAAAGTGCTTTCAACAGTTCAGCTTATAACTCGATATCAGTTTCTTTTTACTGAATCTCTTTAAATCACTGCACTACATGTAACTAGTCAGTAAATAATATCAACAGTGCCATTATAGGAATGGATTTTGACCTCAAACTTTGAGAGTGTAATGTGCAATACCTAAAGGTATGTTGCATAGAAATTTTAGGAAGTAAACATAATAAATACATGGTTTATTCATATTTATAGCACAGGTTCCACAGAATAGGTTGAAATGCCCTTTGCATCACCCACATAGGAGAAAACTTCATTGAAATTTGAGACTCACAACTAAGTTCTTACTTTACTTTTCTTGGGTTTTAGACGTAATATACTACTTACGGGTAGACAACTAGATTTTTCTGCAATGTCCCAATGATAAGAAAAGTTCTGATTAACGTTTAGGAAATCCTAACAACATGAAGCCCACCTCGAGTTTGCCAGTGCGGGAGTAAATGCTGACAAGATTCTGGAAGACTTTGAGCGAGTCGCAGTTTTGCAGGGCCCTCTCAAACACCTTGAGTAACGTCTCCTCTGTGCCGTACAGGTTCTCAAGGTTCAGGTAGGCCACCCAGACATTCAACTTCTCTCGCTCCTCTCTGTAAAAAAAAAAAAAATCAAGACCAAATGACACTGGTTCAGAACTGCAGACAGGGCAACAGTTATTGATTGTAGTACCTGCTACAAGTTCGTACTGGCCAGACGACCCCGGCAAGCTCGGTGGCAAAGTGGTTAAGACATCTGCCCTAAGCAGCAGGTAATGGGTTCAAGTCACACCAAAGTAAATTTGTCAATTGCTTTAGCAAACTACTGGACGGCACAAAATATACAGTGCTAAGTATGCTGCACTTAGAACATTTGGAATATAATGCAATCCGGCCGTACCCCGCAGTGGAGATTCTAATGAAAGGGGATACTTGGAGAACAATGCAAGTACCCGGCAGACACCATCTGTAAGGGTGGCCTCAGGTTGACCAGCGATTTGCTTGCACCACGATGGAGCCGTCGGCCTGTAGCAGGTCACAATGCTCATGTCACAAAACTAAGAAATTGCATGATTCTTGTGGAAAAAGCGGCATCTCAACACAAAATGATTGCAACCAAGCTCACGTCACAAAGGGCATAGACGTGATCATGTGTAGTCTTCAAAATGGCAGTGCGCGTGTTGATAACAATCTTCCATGGCCATGTGCGTTCATTCAACCATTTTTGTCACACACTGATTGGCTACACAGTGAAATAAGATGATCCGGATGCGCGCAAGGTGTTGTAACTTCTCACAGGTCGACTGTGCATAATTTCCTTCTTTCGGGAACACGTTCCGTCGCTGCGCAGAAGTTGAAAGCCTAGGGTTGGATGGGTGGGTAAGGTGAGTTTTAGCAGCCAATTTCTCAACTGCATAGCTACTAAAATTGATCATAACAAAATGACATTTATTAGTACACAACAGCAACAGCATGCAAGTGTGTGCTACCATTAAGGAGGAACATACGCACATGGGAGTTCATTCTTTTCACCAACCTGAAACTGATGGTTTTCAGAGCCCTCTCTGCCACCGCCCGGGCCTTTTCCGTCTCGGCCGAGTGCAGATGGAATGCCATGTAGCGCACCCAGACTAGCGAGGAGTCGGGCGAGCTCAAGACCAAACGATCAAACTCGTCGGCGGTCTCCGGCGTCCGGTCATCGTCCATCAACTCACGCTCCATCTGAACACGGAAGAGACAGTCTCCAGATTAAACTACATGTAAACCATTTATCAGATATTTTTCAAACCGCAATATTGTCTCAGTCTTTTTGCTTCAGGCTCTGATGTCCTGACTTTCAACCCAATTTCGGTCCCAATTTTGAGTATGAAAATGTAGAGCTCCTAACATTTAGGCCTACCATTTCAAAATTGAGAATTTCAATTACAAACGTTCAAACTTTCAATTCTGTAATACCAAATGGTTTTGACAGTATAGTTCCTGACTCATGACTGGTCTTTGCACTATGTATGTACATGCTAATAGCCTGACTTGGGACCAAAGCAGGGTTGTTAATAAAGATATTGTGTCCTAAAGTTGTTGAAACAAGTATTCTGTGTCATTTTCTTTTAGCATTTTTGTTTTGCTAATTTAGTTCCAAACAGTCAGAACACTATTGCTTTTTTGGACGAAACTGATTTTAGGGTTACTTCGTTTAAATAGTGATAAAGTTTTAACGTATAGCACAATTGAAACAATTTTCTCACCTAAAAGTAGTTTAATAAATGGGCTTTCAAGTCATAATTAAATTTGGCGCTGCATAGTTTTTTTATATAAAGTATATTTCTTTGTTTTGGGGTTCTGCTTTTTTTGGACCCGCCGTATATAACTGCATTACTTTGTAAAAACTGTATTATACCATGCATAACTCTGTTGTACAAAGGGCGATTATCAAACAAAAAGGTCACCTTGTAGAGTAAATCTTCTTCCGCCTTCTCCTCTGCTTGTTTCTCTTTCTTGCTTTTCTTCTGTGGGGGCTGAGAATGAAAAAGATAAGACATTCTTATATTCCTGTATATTTCCTATGAATAGATGTCTTCATTAGAGAACATGATCCGGCCCACGCCTATTTATCAAACTAATGAGATCTCAGAAAAGTTCTCAACTACAGCACTGTCACAATGACTCGCAACAGACTTTTACTTCCTTATAGCCTTGTTTCAAACTGACCTCCTTCAGAGAAGTCTGTTCCTCCTCCACCTCACTCTCATCACTGCCGGAGTCCTCCTGGTTGCCCAGCAACACTGTCATGCTCGTCTCCTCCTTTGTCTTCAGGCTGCTGTCCCAGGTGAAACCTGAAGCAACCTGTAGTCTGGCCACCGGGACATCCTCTTGTGGTCTGTGTACAACCTGCAACGTTGTTGAGAGGCCATGCATTATAACTCTGACACTTTTAAAGGGCAATGAAATAGGTTTTACTTAAATGCAATACATGAAAGCGTACCTTTGTGTCCCATTAAACCTTATTTTTGATCTTCATATGTGAGTCGTTGTGGCAAAATGAGACATAACTGGGCACAAACCCTAAAAGAGAAAATGCAAAAACTAAAAGGACGTGTTTTTTCCCCCGATTTTCAGATTGATTGATGTTTGTAATCTCTGAGAGATTTGAGGTTTACAGGAAATTTATTAATTTTTTATTTTTTTCACAAATCTGGCTTACCTCCACCTCCGAGTCACTCAGCGTTTCTGGTTCTTCTAAGCCGCTGTCAGAATCGTCACCCTGTGAATCTTGACGTCTTCTCTTCCTAGCCTGTGGTTCTTTTAATTAAACAAAGAAAAGACTTGTCTGATGAGGTACGTTAAAGAAATCATTCACTGAAAATGTTCATATACCCTATAATTTGTCAACATAAATAAAACTATCCGTTTTCAAAATTCCCATCGAAGAAGGCACCGTTGCTAGGCCAAAAAGCGCCCTCCATTGGTCATGCATGGAGCTCATAGACATTATTAACCCCAACTCCCTAGCATGATTTACTAGGAACCATACCCATCCAGGCAAATTCCAACACCATACGGGAAACTGCACTCACATATTTCTGACTTTGATTCTGGAGGTGTGACAACCCAATGTAAAAGACTATCAGTTTAGGGATACTGTACCCATCCTGACAGATTCCAACAAAAACATGCCATTGGGGTTTGATGGGTTGAGTTCTGTTAGAGTTAAAGTGGTAAGATTCTCCATGCAAAAAGGACTTCTGTGCACCTAATATAGAATTTGTTAAAGTATACCATGTATACTGCATCAGAACTTTCCGACAGAAATTTTCTGGTGAACTGCAATAGGTTGGGTTTTCGGAAAGAGAAAGAAGCACAACAATGCAAAACTTAAAGAAAAGTATAGCAAATCGATCAAAATAATAACTAGCAAAAAATATGACCTCAACTTCTAATAGATTGATAATGCACATTGCTACTGTGTAAAGACAAAGAAATAAGTCTAGGGCACGACTTTGGGACAGTGGTGTTTAGGTAAATGCTGTGCATTGTGAAAGCCACATGCTCATTTCTTTAGTATCCCTTCAGGAGGAAGAACAAAACTCCTTGACATACTTGGTGTCCCACTTTCCTTGGGTACGGGGTCCTTTGCACCAGTGTCTGCACTTGAGGAAGACAGCTCTATCTTACTGGACTTCTTATCAATGCTGTAAGTAGAGAAAAAGGACGCTGAGTAAGGATGTAGGTTTTAATTCAGAACTAATTCAAAAGTACATCGTACAGTATGCAAGGCCATTGTTGAGGATTTTCAGACTGTCCAGATAAGGGATTCCAGAACATGTCCAGTTCGCTGTTTGTATTGCAACATCTTGTGGTTTATCTTGTATGCATCCATAATTTAAAAATCTACGGATGTGCATTTTCACATACTTGGAGTGCTCAAAAAGTGTTATCAGATCTTTAGACTGTTAGCCGTTGGTGTAAAATGTTGCTGTCTTGTAACAATTAATACCAGTACATGAAATAGAAATCAAAAAATAATTATTTCTTAAGCTCAAATTTTGATACACAAAGATCTTACAATTTTTCCCACTAACAATTCCTGTTTTCCAAACAACGACAGTATTCCATATTAAATCAATCCATTAAACTAAGTATGCTTTGTAAATAAGAAAATATCCCAATTTCTGGAATAATTAAAAACAGTGCGCATTTTTAGAAATGAAGGGAAAATGTGGGGAAAATCATATAGCACACACTGCAACAAGTAAACTCATAAAAGGGCAAAAGAGTATACAAGTATCTCGTCTTAAGTTCAACGTCAATCCACATGAGTTGGAAACATTGCAATTATAGCGAGCATGTGCAATCATGTTTTTTGCTTGACTGAGATCACTTACCTTAGAACTCTAACTGTGAGGAGTTTGCCTTTAGGGAAGAGAGGTTCTGGATCTTTGATGTACGACGCTGACAGGTTCTTCAGCTGAATTCGCCCCTGCAACTTTCTTGATAAGCTGCAATATTATTTTAAAAATGCGAAAATGTGAGGAAATTAATTGAGAGATTACTAACAGTAACCAAGAAGTAAGTCTGTCTTGAGCCAATGTGGCCCATCAGGCCGGCATTTATCTCTGGTTCCCTTGGCATGAAACGACTTACAATATTTCTATTCCCCCTGGATGGGATGCCAGTCCATCGCAGGTTACTCCCCAGCTAATGCCGGTACCCATTTATACTCCTGGGTGGCGAAATCAGGCAAAGTGGCGTAAAGTGCCTTGCCCAAGGACACAATTATGTCCTGTTGGCTGGATTCGAATCCCTGACCCTCTGATCATGAGTCACGAACCCTAACCACTAGGCCACATTCCCCACACTAACAGTAACCAAAGCTACATCTTTAAATTGTAATATTGATATTACTTTGTTAACACACAAAACACTGTCTTTCAGTTTTTCAATCTCACAACACATTCAGAATTTCAATAAAAAAAAACCACCAAATACATATCAACTATCATATTATTGTATTTCTTATGTAATTTCTACATGTTTGTACATTTGTAAAGAATGACATCATTGAAATAAATGTTACAGAATAAAAAAAAAAATAACAGATCTATAAATCCTTCATAAACACTAATAGTAAAAAAATGTTTATGTCAAAATGAATTTCGAACAATGACATGTAGATTTAAGTTCCCATAAAAAAAGATGTGAAGCAATGGAATTAAGGCACACTAACCTGACAAAGACGCCCACTTTGGTGAAGTTCTTGACGTAACCTTTGACTACATCTCCTACTGAGAGGTCTTGAATGGACGATATATCCCGATCAATGGTGGGATCATGGTGCTTACTGACTGTTGACGGTCGCATGGACAAAGCAACGTTGTCTTTGCTTGTCACTTCCAGAACACAGCACCTGATATATTGCACGGAATATTCTCAATTGTAGGAAAAATATTCACTCAATTTAAGAAGAGATTTAAGCAGTTCTAGTTGTTGTTTTTTTCATTTTTTTTTAAACAGGCAGGCAAAGGTCTGCAGGCCAATGTGACATAATGAAATTATGAAATTTCAACTGAGAAATGTTGATTGGTTTAACAAATATTTGGGATTTTTCAACATGAACAAATCCAAAGGTTTGTACGGTGGGGAAAAAGCCCTTGTTACTAAAATATCAGGCGTTCTGGCAAAATGAGACAGAACTGGGCAGAGGTCGAAATGAGGGTTTGTAGGTATTACGAAAGAGAAAAAAACTTTCCTTAAATAATACTGTTTGTAGCTCTTCAATCTGACATTCAGTTGACAAGTTATGGCCTTTGAAGTGCTGATTTATCAACATGTCAAAAAAAGTAAAATACTGAGAAAAAAGGCCAGTTTTGAGTTTTCAAGTCGTGAAAATGAATGATGCCAATTGTTTCACTTAAAAAAACACTAATATTCCACAATGTTTATACTATTTCTTTACAACATGTGTAGCAGACAAAGGTTACAAATGTCAATAAATCTGAACAAAAATCACCTCCATTCAGTTTTTCTTTTGCATTTTTCTCCACTACAATCAAAGCATTTTTAGTACATCTCCTTGTAACCATGCAAAAAGCATAATGACATGCTACCACACTCTCCTGAATAAATGCTTTATGCATGCACATAAAAGTATAGCTATCTATGCTTTAAATTGTAGAAACCATACAATTGTTGAGGTGAATACCCCTTATATAGTTATCACAACTTGTTGACGTCTTACCTAACAAACTGTTTCTCTCTGTACCCCTTCAGTGCAGCGTCTGTGTAGTGGTCTCTCAGATCTGTCAGAAAGACTCGCCCGCGATAGCCACAGGGTAGCTGAATGACCAGGCCAATACCATGCAATACCTTCATAATCCGGCCGTTGGTGACCATGCCTGGGTTCAGCTCAGTGGAACCACTCCCTAAATAAGGAGGAGACACAAAAGAACTTATAGACTAATTTGGCGAGCAAAATTAGAAGCCATTATTAGAGATAGAACCATGTCTTTGTGCATGCCGCAAGCATTCTTAAATACAAGGCGCAGCACGCATTTCATGAACCCTACTGGACTAAGGAGCCCGAAGTGAGCGCGAATATGACTCCAACTCTACAGATGGCTTCTAATTTTGTTTGCTAATAAGTTTGTTATTGTGTGCTTGGATGTTATCACAGCAGTAAACGATTGTTAACTATACCACTATGGACTGTGCACAACATTAGATAGCGCTTTGTGACACAAGCCAAGACATCCAGAAAATATCTCCATGTTCTATATCGCCATTTACTTTTTTTGAATTATATACTTCATTAATCTGGTTTACTGCTATTGTATTGGTCATAATATGAATTTGCATCGGCTGGTGTAAATCAATATTAGGTTTTCACCGACGTATAAACACTGTACACTCAGTGTGTTACCTCCCGAGTGAAAGATGGAAAAAAAATCACTCGGGTGGGACTCCAACCCACGACCTCCTGCTTTCTAGGGCAGACGTCTTACCACTCAACCACCAAACTTTCAGGATCAGTTGGCTGGTTCGAATCTGATGTTCATGTAGCAGCGGAAACTACAATTAAACTAGTCAAAAGATGAACTTGCGTCTGGGTGACGTAATTCAATATTAGGTTTTGCCCTTCACCGACGTATATTTCTTCCATCTTTCACTTGAGAGGTAACACACTGAGTATACAGTTCTTTAACTCTATTTCTCACCGACTAGTGTCAGTTCCAGAACATGATGCTTGTGGTCGACACTGACGACTTTGGCTTGTCGCACGGACCCCGGCGTGAAGAACTTGGCGGGTTGCTCCAAGACGCCGAGATTCTTGGACAGATTTAACTGGTAGACCTTGCCCTGCAGGAAACCGGTCACCAATACCCACAGGATATTGTCTGCATACTGTTGGAAATCATGTTAAAATGAATACAATCAGCTTAACGATATGGATTTGCATGTTTATACCTAAAAAAACAACTATTTAACCCATGACCACCTGTATAAAATTTTATCTTCAAGTAAATTTGAAACCCTGATCCTGACTGGTCGATCCATAGCAACAAGCCGTGCTACATATAACCATGTAGCACGGCCATGGTCCATACCTCACTTCGTGTATGGTGTAATACTAAGATGGGCACGCCATTCCGTACAATACGCACGTGTAATAGGATAACTACTGAAAAATTTGTGTACAGTGTGCGATTTCCATCTTTACTGTGCGTCAAGTAGATAAATTCGTCATCGCGCTCATGGAACATGGAAAATGAAGTGCTTCTGTGTCCCACAAACCACTCGGCCTTCGGCCTTGTGGCATGTGGGACACAGATGCACTACATTATTCCGTGTTCCACTTGTACTTGGGGGACAACTAATAGTATTGCATTGTGCTTATTCACGGATGAATCCATAAAACCCAGAGGGTGCTCGGGTGGTTTTGGCCGCTACCGAAAGTAAAAGGGAGGGCGTTTTTGTTTAAACTTTTTTTTACCTTTTGTACTACACAACTGATGGTCTGTCCAGCTTGGTATGTCTCTAGCTGTTTCTCCAGTGATTCGTCTTCACCACTGTAGCTATCATTGTTCAGTTTACTGCAATTCCAAAATAATAACCAAGGTTTAATGACTGGGTAACCATCCTGCTATCTGAAAAATCACAGAGATTCAAAAATTCAATTCTGTTCCCCTGCTATGCCTTAAATTTTTACACAGGCTAGTCACAAACAGGCAGATTTTCAAGCAAGCACTGTGGCTAGTCAAAATTCAGTCAACCAACAAGAGCAGGCAAGTGGTGGGCACAGCCTGCTTATCAATCACCTACAGTAGTTTGTATCAAGTTACATAAACAGTCACAGCCAGTCATTCCTGCCTTATGTAGGCCGGCCGGAGCTCTTAACCGTCACTTGACTGATTTTGACTGAAAGGACAACTTGGCACAGAATGTATGTTTGCATATGAGGGCCAATCCTCCCATTTGCTTGATCAGTCACAGACAGTCAAAATGTTTTTTCACTTTCCCTGTCATGCATTTGTATACAGACTAGTAAAACTAACCCTTTTTAGATTACATGTGTGTTAACACCATGACTAATCAAATCACATCAACGGGCAAAACGGGTAACTAGAAGGTACAGCTGGCATATCAATCACCTCCAGTCAATATCAAATTAACAAAAGAATTCTTAACTGTTCAAAAGACAGTCACCTCATTGATTTTGACTGCTGTATGGCATAGCTGAATTGTCAGCCAGAGAGGGAGGTTTTAATCGTATACCTTGGTCTTATTGTCAAGTCCAACGCCAGTCTGGTGAAGTTGGTGTGTGTAATGGGTAGGTAGCGGTGATCCTTGACCTCACGGTGACCTATGACCTTGGCCTCCACCTTCATGCCTTCTTTGAATCGGTTCAGTGGGAACTTGTTCTGTAGTTTAAAAACAAATAATATCATTCAACCCTTTTTTTTTGACATGAGAGCAAAAATCCATCGAAAATCAATCATCATGGAACACTTAACATGAGTGAAGGGCTCACTATGGAAAATGAAATGTTCAAGTGTTTAAGAGCTATTTCTGTTCAAACAATGAAGATTTGCTGATTGTGCATGTAAGTACATTGTACTTAATGATGTACTGTCTTGACACTGCTTCTTTAAACCCTCTTTAGGAATTTGTAACGTGCCTTGCATTCATCCATGAATCAACAATTTGCATACAACATAGCCAACGAGAACATATCAACTGCAAGGAGAGCATACATCAGTGTATTAAAATTGGGTTAAAGTCTTTAAAAGCCCTTTATCTACGAGCGTATCATGTCATTTCTAAACTTTAACATGACACTTGTTTTTTTTTAATGATTTAAAAAAAATTCCCACTGATTTAAAATAGTGATTTTAATCAAGGATTTAAATCAAATTATTTAAATCAACCAACCCTGCAAGGCACACCTAACATAGTGATGCTGCGATTCCAAAAAACTTGACTTCATCAGAAGTGTTTGATTAATAAAGTCACGAGCATGCAAAATTTCGTAATTTTATAAGCACCGAATATTCAGTGCAATGAGATCTTGGACATGTTGGATAGCACTTAGAATATAATCACATTAGGGAAGAAAAACGCTACATTAAAATGAAGTATGTTTTAATGTACTCACAGGGACCATCTTGTCTGTGATCTCCGTAACATGGATTCTGCCAGGAACAACATGATTCACCTTGACATTCAATTGGCATTCCTGTATGGATCTTATTCTGAAACAAAAACAAACAATGGACAAAATACAATGTCAGATTGTTGTGTAACAAGACTAGACAAGTCTAGTAATGATTTTCTCAGACTGCACAAAATTCTATCCATGACTGGGTATAGTTTGCAGGATTCAATGACCACTGGGCCTTCACGAAACACTCCAGAAATGCAATGTTGACAAAATTGGTAGGAACTCTCTGATAAGTTGAATGGGCAGGCTATTCATATACCAAGAAGACCACTAGCAAGTGACTGCAGTTATAAATGCAGACCAAGGAGCAAATTGGGGCATATTCCAAATGTATCCTTTAGCTTGTATCACACAAAAAATTGTAGGCTTAATTTTTTTTTAAGTTCGGTTCCAAATATCCGGTTTCTAAAATAGAAGCCAAACCAAAATAGAAATTCAAAAACGCGAATGTTAAACAATCCAGATTTAAATCCCACCACTAGTACAGATTGTCGGTGTTCTCCATGAGTTGCTAAACTAGTCCAGGTAGCTCACTGCCAAAATTATTATCAACTCAGGAAGATTAAGCACAAGACGGAAAACAGACAGTGGATTTTTATGTTCTATCATACTTACATGGCAGTAACCTTTTGACCGACTTGCAAGCTGGGAGATTGAATTAATTCCTGGGGTGTCTTCTTTGTTTTCTCTTTTCTCTCTGCTTTCGGGGTGTCTTCTGCATCTTCAATCTTTTTGACGACTTTCTTTTGTTCCTTCTTGTTGCTGACAAACTCGTTGGCCAGGATGCGGTTGTTGATCGTTCTACAAAACGAGATCATCAAAACTGGGAATCATGGCTGTGTTCCACTTGTGTAAACTTTCCCAACGTTTGTGATCGTTTTTCTGCATGTCCGACAAGAAATTGTTTGCAAACAATGGCAAATGTTTGCATTGTTAATACAAAGCAGTCAGGTTGGTGCAGTGGTTACTTTCCTCGCCTTCCACGGTTATGGCCGGGTTTGGTCCCGATTCCGTAGGTTTTCCCAGAATATTCCTCAAAGGTTTTCCTCCCACCTATGAAACTGTAATTTCTTCTCACTGTTTTTTCTCTACGGGTTTCTTCAGGCTTGCGAGCTACAGTGCCTAGGGCACTTTTGAGGGATCCTTGGTTTCATTACCCAGAAAGACATATAACTGGAAAGCTTTCCAGCAAGGCACAGAAAATAGCTACAAGCTTCACACAATGAAAACATTGTTTAGTTCACCAACAATAATATACATTTGAGAAAAAAACTGGCCTATTGAGAATTTGAGAATCTACTTACTGTTGCTGGATGTCTTTTATTGTCCGACCAAGAGCTAGTGTTCATCTCATTGCTCAGTGCAAATGCTACACGTTTTAGGTTAAAATAAAGCCTACTTGATAATCTACTTACTTTTGTTTGACAACTTTTATCGTCTGGCCAACCATTAGTACATCATCCCCTGTCCGAATGTCGTTAAGATGCTGTTGGAAGAGAAAAATAAAGTCACTGATCAGAGTGAACTCGGGGTTAGCATAGAATCTATCGCTCTTTGCACAGAATGGCGATTGTAAGTGCTGGATTCTATGGTTAACCATTTAACAGAGCTATGAAATTGGTCACAGCTCGAAATTTTGGATTTAATAATTAAAAAAAAAAATTAATCTCACCCTTCTCGAAGGAATGTAGGCCAACTTTCCCGAAGCTTTCAGACACACCAGGATGAAGTCGTCTTTTACCAGGACGACTCTCGCCTCTCCGTCTTCAGTACTTCGCTCCTTTTTGGGCGTCTTTCTCTTGGAATCCGTTGCCATGAGGCGAATGGTTTCGGGATCCAGGCAAAGTTCGACCATTTTGGCACCAAGGTCTATGTGAAGGACATAGGCTGTGACCCTCGAGCCTACCTCAATGTCTTGCTCTGGGTATCAAACAAACAAAAATATGGCTAGATTTATAGGAAATTATGCGTATTCTGTAGTTTGATCAGTAGGTCTAAAGTTAAAGTAATGGCCAGATTACATTCAAAGTGTCAGTGCAACAAGGCCGTAACTACCAATTTTTTTCAAAATCCACCTTTTCCGTGTATTTTTGCGTGCATTTTTGCGTGCGGTTTTCATCCCAGTCAGGTTCATGGATGGCCCTATGGGACCGCGGACAAATGCATACTGCTGTGCGCAGTGCAAAGGCTGTACCGTCGTGAATTACCCTAACAACTTCTTGCAACAAGACTAGTGTAACATACATATCTTTCAATTATAAAGATACAACCATTGTTTTTCCTCAACTGATGATGAATGGTATTGGGAATCTTGAATGGTCTCAACTAGCACTGTTAAATTACCTCCGATATCAGTATCTGGGATGTATCCACGCAGTTTGTTGGACAATTCACATAGCACACCTCCTTCTACTTTGTGGGTTATCTTGGCCGCGACTTCGCAACCAATCTGAATCTCCAACAGTTTCTTCCAACCTAACACAGAAAACAGAGAAATCCAAGAACTCAGAATATATCAAATAGAAGAAGCACATGTTAGTAAAATTCAGCGCTTAGCAGCCAATAAAGTTTGCCATGTGTACTTTCACATGTGTAAAGGGGCATTACAGCCTGAAATCCGGGAGAATTTAGTGTTTGGGATTGTTTACTTATCTTATTGCAAACATTCCATTAAATGGGCCCTTTAAAGGGAATATACAACATTTAATTTTCTTGTAATTTTCAGAAATGGATGGATTTGGGGGATTAGTATTTTATAGCAAATATTGTTACACTGACTTGTTTTAAGTTTTGTGTTCGTAAATGCTACAAAAACCAAGAAAAACAATTATGTTCCTGTAGTCTGGTTCCCTGACCACACTTACTTGAATGGAGTAATTTATAGACGTCAGGAATTGTAAGGTCAGGGAACCAGTCTAGAAGGCTTGTATAGATGGGTAATCGATCGCAAAACAAAATTCAGACTAACTAAATCTGCTAAATTGGGGGCAGTATTAAAAACAAGCCAGTTTTTTTTCCCAAAAGCTTGTCGGCCAACCAGCATTGGGAAATTGATACAAAAATACCATTTTTCTTGAAAATGTCAGCACACCAGGTGCCATGATTTTACATGATGCTTTAGACTGTCATTCGCTGATGGTCCAGTAAGGTATTTCATAATAATTTGGTAGTTTTGTTTCTTGATGTTGGCAAATGTTGTATATTCCCTTTAACATCCACACCAGATACAGACCTGTCAAAAGTTTCCTTACCTTCCTTTTTAGCCAGTTTCTCACAGACCACATCCCTCTCACGGAAGTACTGCTGCAACAGGCTCCGCCCTTCCCCTTTCTTCGGGAGGCAGATGGAGGACTTCAGGCTGAGCAGGAAGCGAGATTTCTCCTGGTCCACCTCGGTGACTCGCGCCCTCAACGTCTGGCCTGGCTGGAATGCGTTGGAGCTGCTGATGAAGTCATCAGACATAGCCTAGCGTAGGAACGATAGAAAAAAATCAGCGCTTATAGGTACATTTATAATATACAATATTTGCTTTTACTGTAATTTTTCAGAAATGGACGGATTTCAGAGTTATTATTTGTATAGCAAATATTGTTGCCCTGTTTAAAGTTTTGTGTTCATGGATGCTGGGAAAAGATAGACTAGCTTACACCCGTTCACAGATGTGTAACCGATTGCAAACAAAATGTGGACAGTCGTCCGCACTGTCAACATCTTAATCTTTAAATCTGCATTTTGTCATCAATAAGGGTCCCAGATCTTTTGTTCAGTCTTGTCAGAAAGCTAAAAGTGCATGCATTTTGCAAAGAAACCTTTAAAGGAAGTGAAACTTTGCCAGATACTCAAATTTTTGAAATACTCATTTCAAAAGACAGACATGTACGTACAGCTTTCGGGGCCAGTCCGACGACATTATTGGGGAGTTCAATGAAGATTCCGTAGGGCATGACTCGCTTGACCGCTCCCACCACCAGAGTGCCTGACTGCACCTCAGTAAAGCCACTGATCAACTCATTATTCTGCCTGGCTTGTAACAGCACGGGTTTGTGCGTGACGACCTGTGTGTCTTGCTTGTCAAAGAAACTATGACATTTCACTGAAAATAGACGGATTGAGTTTGCTACAGCTGTAGGCATTCAATATAGAATATGCGACAACTTAAAGTGTATTCAGGCAGGGGCGGGGCATTGCTAGAGTGTGGGTGTGTAACAACACATTTGTAGGGAGACCGTTGCGCTGGAAGGTTGCCAGGAATTATTTTCTGGTCACCACAAAATATAATGGGGAAGGCAACGGGTGGGGGGGGGGGGGGGGAGCTATACAGAAGAAGGGGGGGGGGGCTAGACACTATCTGACTTTTGGGGACACTCTTCAAAACAGACGATCTTGGAGACAGACACATAATTTTGCTGACAAGACGATTTTGTCCCCCCCCCTTTCATACTCATAAGGTTGGTGTAATGGTACTTTCCTCGCCTTCCACCGCTGTGACCTGGATTTCAATCCCGCCTGCACCAAAATGTGGATTGGGTTTTCAGTCCCTGCCTGATTCCATGGGTTTCCTCAGAATATTATTCTGGGGTTTTCCTCCCACCTCTAAAACTGTAATTTCTTCTCATTGTCTCCTCTCTACAGGTTTCTCTGGGCTTGTGAGCTACAGTGCTTTTAGGGAATCCTTGGTTTCATTACCAGAAGTAAATAATAAAAGTTGCTTTAATGAATAGAATGCACAATGGGTTTCTTTATTGAAGAAGGCCTCGCAAGTGAACAATGATTATGTGCCTGGATACAAATGTATGTCTATAACAACTGATCTGTTTGTTGGTGGTCTCCCAATTGCCAATGTCTTTTTCAGGGGGACACTAGTCAGAAACTGTGAACCAAATGCCACACCACCAGGGATCACAGCCAAAGTTACATAAGTAAATCTTGCCCCCAAAAAAATCCAGCAAATTTTATATTTTGATGACAAAGGATACGGCACAATTTCTGGTGGAAGAGAACGACCAGTGCATGGCATCACTTATGGTGTCACCCTTCTCGTAACATGCAAGCATCAGGCCACAGTTTTCTAGAAAGTCTGACAGGTGCACCGTGGGAAGGAAAGCCGGCGTGCCCTCAGGAAGAACCGTGACCTCCAGCCCAAGGTCTCTGACCTTTGTCACTTTGACCTCTGCCAGCTACAATGAAAAAAAAAACCAATTTGATAACAATTTGAAAAGTAAAATTGAATATTCCAGTTTTTTGCACATAGCCAACATAGCCAGCTGTGGGCTATAGATCAACTTCTGGTTTAGAGAATGTCAACTGAATGATAAAATGACCAACCTGGCCCATATTTGGGTTCCGGTAGTCAGTTTCCTTAAGCTGTTTCTCCTCAGCCAACAGCCGGAGTGACAGTGTGATGCGTTTGGCTTCTGGCGGATAGGTCTTGATGACGCGGCACTTGACAACTTGACCCACGTAGTAAGCGTCGGCCGGTACTGGCTCTGGGCCAGAACAGAGCTCTGCTCGGGGAATCAGACCTGCAAATTGATGGGAAAAATTAAATGGAATATCATCACAGTGTAAGTGTGCTGGAGAGATATTCACTGTGTAATGAATTAGTTCTGAATTCAGAAATTACAGGGAACTAAATAATAATAAGGGAATAAATGTGTGCTCCGGAGGTTTTTATCACTCGTTTAATACCGCTTAGAGTCTGGGTGCTGATAATTACCCGAGCCGGAGGCGAGGGTAATTATCAGCACCCAGACTCTAAGCGGTATTAAACGAGTGATAAATACCGACCGAGCACATATTTATTCCCATTCATAAATACCTTATCCGTGAAAAAATTTCAAATAATTCGTTCAAAAAATCCCGATTTTGTTCAACAAGTTCACTTCATGCTTTTTGAAACATCCCTCTAGCAAAATAATGGAGTGTTCAGCTGGCGAGTAAGATGTAAACAACCCTTTTATGGAGATTGACGCGCGCGTAACATGTTCTGCGCGATGTCACGCAGAATGCACCTGGGGCGTTGCGTTTTGAATATAGAACTATAAAATTCTGACTCGCTTGTAGTGTTGCGCATGCCTACGTGAGGATTGTGAACGTTCAACCAATGAAACGGTAAGAGGCACTGGATTTTTAGGAGTCCACATTTTATTGTGACACTGGAAAAGTGTTTAAGACCAGCTAGCCATGTCTTTATCATCCGTTTAATACCGGCCACGTGACGGGCTCTCGACCAATAGGAATAGCTAAACTGTCTGAGGTATTTATGAATGTATATATAAGGCACATGTATCCACCAGTATTGGTGCTCAAGCCGCTGTATCATTATTACCGTGCTCATTGGGCCATTGGAACATACAAAAATCAATCAAAGCTCCCTGGGGAGTATACAGCTCAATGCAGCCATTTTGGCACAAAGCAGCTTCAATCAATCACACTATTGACCCTCCTATTTAAACAGTCAGTCAACATTCATAGTCACAGACATGTCAAGCAAGCACTGTGACTAGTCAAACTCAGTCAGTAGACCATGAACAGACAAAGCAGGCAAGTTGCGGGCACAGCTGGCTTATCAATTACCCACAGCCAAAACAAAACTGTATCTAGGTACATAAACAGTCACGGCCAGTCAATCTTGCTTTATGTAGGCTGGGAATTCTTAACTGTTGAAAACTGTCACTTGATTGATTTTGACTGAAAAGACTACTTGGTACAGAATGTATGTTTGCATACGAGGGTTCAACAATCTCTGCCCTCTCAGGTACCCATTTACTCCTGGGTGGGGAGAAGCAACGAGTGACAAAATGAGTGCCAAAAAAGTCCGAAAGACAAGGGCACCATTCATGACACCATTCAATCATGTCCATGATTCAACCACACAACTCTACTACTATTTGTACGTCAAGTAGGTGGAAAAAAATCGGGCATTATCATCTTTTTCTTCAAACAACTTCCAGTGAAATGTATCTAATATCTATAAGCTCTAGTATATCTAATACATATTAGCTGTACATTCCGGTTTTGTCTAGAAGAGTGATTCACGGCACAATTTGAAAATTTGAATTTTATTGCAAATTTTATTGCAAGACCAAACACACGAGGCTGATATTTAGAGCAATTGGCGTTCTTCTGCTTACCTGTGACGTCATTGTAGAAACGCACAAGATAACCGAAGTCCTTAATGGAGACGATAAATCCGTGTAGTATCATATCCTTGCGAGGCTGGTCATAGGAGGTTATGATAGGCAGTTCAGAGTGCACCAGACTATTCTTGTGTGTTAGCAAAAGGCGACGTCTGTCTGGGTCCACGTACATGACCTTGAGGAAAAAAAACCCCCAGAAATTACACAATCGAATTGCACGGCTGGGTACCAGTGAGAAACATGACTTCGCATGCACTTTTGGCCGATGATCTGTTAATGCTTGTAAGACAATACTTTCTGTCCTCAGCAAATTTCTGTTCTTGAAGTTTCCCAAAATTTGACCCAGGTGAAAAGTTTGAAGAAATCTATTTTCACAATCACACAGTTCTTGGTGTCTTCTGCCCAAAACTAAAAGATTTCAACTTAAAATCTTGAGCAAAGGCAGGTTATACAGGAGACTCGATCCATTTAATAGAAATAACATAGGGATAAAGTAAATATTACATGTAATGACTAGTAACTGTCATAATTTCATGTTATTATGTTCACAAGTCATGTCTATTTTAATACAAACATCACAAAACTCAGCTGTCCACCAATGATCATTTACCATTTAAATACAATGAAACAAGGGCATTTTCTTGCCTTCATGAATTAACATTAATTTGCACAGGATAATTGATATAAATCACCATCATTACTTCAGAAAAAAAATATTTCCATTCAAAACACAAATCTCACAGTAAAAATAATGTCTTAACAAATTTTGTAATAATCTCATTTGTATCTGAATGCCTGATGTGTGTAATCTCTGGTTCTCACTCAGCTCAATAGCTAAAAATAATGGCATTCAATGGACAGCTGTAAAAATGGATTCATTCAGTGAAATATGCAATCTTCTCTTAGCCAGGATCAATTTTAGTAATTCCTTTTTCCAAATGAGTGGAAGAACATGCGCCTTTATGCTTCATTGGTTCGTCAAATTTAATTGCTTTTTTTAAGGGGGAAAAAAGGCATTAATCCAGGTCACTTTCTTTTTAAATCACCCTGTACAACCCAAAAATTGAAGCAAACTCAATGTCACAAAAAATGTCCATTGAAATTCATCGGTGTTGACATGTGTTCAACATTTGCAATGATTTTCTAACTTCTCGTGAATTTACTTACCCTCAGTTCCAACAGTTCACCGACAGTGAATTTGCTTTGCGGTTTATGAATAATCACATCAGCCATGTGTGCGCTGGGTATGAACCCACTCACGTGATCGGATATCTTAATGCGTAGTCCCTTCTCCACAATAGCTGTTAACGTACCCTGTCGTGGGAAAACAAAATTGAAAAGAAAAATTAATATGTAACTGTTAAGTTGGCTATTAAAAATGTTAACCTATCGACATGATCAAGAAAAGACAGATCTATAGAGAGCAAATGAAAATAAAACCAACTGAAACATGTGAAAATATTTGAGAAGGAAACAAATAACGTGTTAGGTACTCAAACGCATATAAGAATTAATTTGTGTTACATCATGTCTCTGATACTGTCATTTCAAGAACATGTGTAGAAAGTACTGTAATTTTCTAGAAAGTAAAAAAATGGCCGATTATTATCTTATACATGTACATGTATATCCTTCGTTGCATACATTGCGGTTACGTGCAAGGTATTTAAATTTTTGCCATGTCCTTTTTTTGTACTGCGAGTTAATACCTATGACAACTTACTGCCAACCGACAGAATTTTATTTTGGGGCAGGGAAGAGGGGCTCCACATGCCCCAATAACAAAACAAAATGTCGTCCCCCCCCCCAGCTTGAAATTTGTTTGTCCTATGAGTGACCATGGTTAGAAGACTTAATTGAGCTTGACTGGGCACCCTACCAACCCCCCCCCCCCTCACTGTTACATCTAGCCCCTCCCCGCCATAGTGAGAACCCAGGCTAAACCGCTAAACATGGTGACATTAGTCCAATAAAAAAAGAATGATGGACACAAATGTGTCAATCACAATTGAATTTGCACTGTCACAAGCACTCAGAATGAACTAATGGTGCAAAATTTGTTTGATGATTAATGGTCGGTGAATATCCAATATTCAACCGTTATTCCAACCTTGGGGTATTTTGCTCTTCCCTACAATACGTATACAATGGAGTTCATTTTATTCATACTATTCGCTCTTTTCACACTCCGTCATTGGGTATGCACAGCCTCGATCTGGGAACTTTACACAATAGAAATAGCTGGTTCAGTGATCTGAACCCCGACACGGGATCACTGAACCGGCAATATTTATTGTGTAAAGTTGCCAGATCAAGGCTCTGCATGCCCATGGCGGAAGTGTGAAAAGTGCGAATTGCAGTATTCTACTGTTCTTGTGCAAGAACAGTATTCTTTTTCTTGAAGAAAAAAATAACTGGTTTACCTTCACCAGGGCACCAAGCTTGATGTCATGGTAACCGAGGAACGGTTGATCCAATACTGACTGCTTCATGGATACCATGGCGATCCTGTCCATCCAGTTGAAGTCTAGTACCCTACACGCCACCTTGTTGCTGACTTTGTATAGACTCTTGGCATTGGTCAACTTCTTGTCTGATATGTGCGGCAGCTGGTGTCAAAAAACAACCATAGCGAAAACAAAAATGCACATTTGTATTAATCATATTAATAGTATGGCAGATAGGTGATGGGATTGTGCCTTTGATGATGCAAGCATGGCATTTGGCACACAGTCAGAATATGTCATGGGAAAGATATTTGGCTATAGGGCCATCGCAGATTTATCCTTTGAAAATAATATAGGCAGAATAACAAGCAACGGCAGCCATTTTGAAAATTTTGAAAATTGCTTGTTATTCTACCTATATTCTTTCAAAGAACAAATCTGTGATGGCCCTATAGCCAAATATCTTTCTTAAGAGACACTCTGACTATGTGCCAAATTACATGCTTGTATCATCAAAGGCACAATTTCCCAAATATTTTCCCTATCTGTTCTACTATAAACTGAGATAACAAATCCTGGTACAGGCTTGGGCAAAAACCCGAATACGATCACCGTGTTTGGGTTTTGTCTTAAAAAGAGGGTTTTCACAGCATGTCCAGATTTTCAAAATTGATTCCATTTGATTCTGGTGTGACGCCTAACAGAAAGAAAGATTGAGGTTACATACTGATTAATTGGCTAGGCTATGTAAGCCAGTGAAGCCAGCAAGCTTCTTCCCATAGACACGAGCGTTACAGCTAGTCATAGCCAAATAATTTAATAACAGTCTCTCTTCGGTACTTACATAAACAAAGCCCCTGTCCCGTTCGTTCAGCTGCAGCAACATGCCGATGCTGGGGTCTATCCTGACAATCTTGGCTTTCTTGATGGTGTCACCGGCGCGTAGGCCCTGGAACAGAGGTTGCTCATCTGCCGTTGATTCAGTATGTGCTGGCATCAGGCTCAACCCCAGGGATTTACTGTTAAGGCACTGAAATATCACGCAGGCCCGGACCTGAGAACATGCAATTAACATCGAAACAATTCAAATATTCACTTTGACACAAAAAAATGTGATCATTATCAAATATTTTTGAGCAATTTGAGCTGTCAAAGCAGAAAGTCACACACCTTCACAGAATGCAAAATTTGACGAGACATATCTTTTAAAATTTTGTGTAAAGAATAAAAGTTTGTATGTGGTAACCAATTGATGCAAATGTCTCACCTTTTTAAAAATGACAATCACAAATATTTTCAGAACTATTTCACAAGATAATTGGCAAAACATTGATATTTGGGTTTCATTTTTAAAGTCTTGTTTCTCCTAAAAAAATAATCATTATGCAGCTAAACTCCATGATGTTTTGCTTCTTAAAGACCAATTGAATAAAAGTAAACCAGAGTGTGTAAATATACCTTACAAAGACATCTATTTGGCGAATAGATTAACTGAAGCGCTCTACATATCTATGACGTTTAAAGGTAGAGTAGATCATTTGCAGCTATCCCAAAAGTAACTGACGAAATTGTTATTGAACAGCTTACTTGGGTAAATTATTCTTTCTGGCATGCTGTCATTTTGAAGAAAAAATGAAAAAAAAAAGGCAATTTCCAAAGATGTGTCAAGTCAGGCATTTTTGGAAATTTCTGTTTTAGTTGGTTTGCAATTTGGCGAATGGGTTAAAGCATTGATACGACGCACACGCATGCACGGTTGCTATTATTCATCAGTTCAGTGCGTGACATCACGTAGCAGACTGCTGCAATCGGCTGAATGAGAACATGTTCCTGATGCTGATTTCAGGCGCAATTCACAACAGACTCGGCAACTTGTGAATTGAAACCGAGATCCTAAAAACATTTTTCTCTCGTAAAATACAGCATTCACAGAACTAAAACTTTATCAGGTTAGCCCCCAGTTCTGCCGCCAATGCATTTTTATTAGGTTCGCGCACTTCGCGAACTCAGCGGCTGTAGCATATTAGCATAGTTTTAGCATAACAAAGGCGCATTGTCATGCGATGCAAATGACCTGGAGAGCTCGATGTTTACTCCTAACTTGGGATCAAAATTAGTTTGCGAACCTTCGCTGACTTCGCGAACAGTCAATTTTGAAGCCTGCCCTTAGGAACATAGTATAAAACTGACCACTTGTTCTTTCTTGTACTGCGTGGGCGGTAAGCTGTTGTCTTCGAAGTGTAGTTGATCTATGCAGCCATTGTATGAGGACAGGAAGCCAACTTTGATACCGTCTGTGGAAATCTAGATTGAAACATGCAACAGAGAGTATATAAAAAGTACTATGTTGATTGTTCAGGGGTTACAAGCACAATGTAATTCAATTGAGTTTCATTATTTTATTTTGAAGCATGATGCACATTGTGAACTTCTGTAAAAAGTAGGGGGAAAAATAAACATCAATACAAATTGAAATAAAACTGTTCCAAAAATTTCACACAAAAAGTGATGTCCTCGCATTACGATACTTGAGTTTGATAAAGTTTGTTTTGATAAAATAATTTACAAAATTGCGTCACATAAGAAAATGTTCAGCCGCAGTTTCTGTCCAATTTTGTAGTATTTTGCGTAAGATATATTTTTTTCCAAACAAGTTACAAATGAGTTTTGCTAAAAAAAAGACTGCCGTTAATGGAATCATCAAATTCAAAGCTTGGCAAAAATATTTGAACAGAATCATTGTCAGGCTGCAAGTACTTCAAAGTTTGTTAAAGGGAAATACAACATTTGCAAACATCGAAAATTAAAACTACCAAGTTGTTACGATATACCTTACTAGGATGTTGGTAAATAACAGTCTAAAGCATCCTGTAAAATTATGGCACCCAGTGTGAAGTCATTTTCAAGAAAAATGGTACTTTTGTATACATTTCCAACGGTGGTTGGCCGACCACCGTTGGAAAAACCCAACTATTTTTCAACTACTGCTTCATATTTACCATTTTTTTTCCAGTCCAAATTTTGTTTGCTATTGGTTCCGTGCGTGTTCATGAACGGGTGCAGGCAGCTAGACTGGTTCCCTTACCTTACAATTTTCTGGCATTTTTGATCCATTTCATCTTTAGTGGAGTCAGGGAACCAGACTACTTGAACATTTTTGTTTTTCTTGGTTTTCCAGCATTTTCGAAAGCAAAACTTCAAACATGTCAGTGTAACAATATTTGATCTATTATACTAACTCCCCAAATAGTTCATTTCTGAAAATTACAGCAAAAGCCAATGATGTACATTCCCTTTAAGTAAATGATTTCATAACTAAACCTGGGCAGACTATTTTCGGTCGACATCTCATTCAAACGTGAATAATTCTGTTTTACTGGAAAATTTGCAATTTAGAAAAGGAATCTATTTTTGTCGTGATGAAACTCGAAAATATCACGGGGGATGCAAGTTTAATCAGTTCGCGCCAGAGACCATGCATACAGGCAAAAGTGTTGCGGTATTCGGAACAGACGATAGATAAACACGCAGGGAGCGAGGCCGGAAATATGAGTGTGCTGCCCAAAGGTGATGGCTTCAACCTGCCTGGCTGAGGTTGAGTGAAAAGAAATCACGCGCCTTGTTCCGTTCTTGTCAAACTAATTCCAGCGAGGAACTTGTTAAGTGAAAAGCTGTTGAAATAAACTGTGACAGAAGACGTTCGGGAGTAAATGTACATCCTGTGTTACCATGGTTACTGGTGACCCAAGCGTGTGATTGGCTCGATTACAACAATGCTTACTTTAGGATATTGATAAATCTGATTCATAAACATCCTCACATTTTGAACGGTGGCCTTGACCTTTGTGCCCGGCAGGAGCGAGGCAAAGCTGTCGTTGGAAGACGCCTTGGCCGTTGCCTTGGCAACCGAAGCAGGATTGGATGAGAGCACCAGAGACCTCCCGTCGGATTTCACATCCTTGATAAGGCATTTGATTGGCTGGGCGATGAGCAACGGTTGCCCTGGAAACAGAGATGAAAGGTTTTTTACTCCTTTTAGGGCCATGAGTAGACACAATTTTATTACGTCTGAGAAACCAATTCAATTTTTAGCACACATCCAATTTTTTTAATGAGGAAACTTCTACAATCTTGACAAATGAAAAATTTGATTGGCGGTGCGAACAATGGTTGCCCTGGAATCAGCGAACAAGGCTTTTACTCTGTATTGTGGGAGATGCATACCAACATTATAAATATTAGATTAGCAACATACCAGAAACAACATTTTTATCAAATTAACACTAGAACAGGTCACTCTGAACAAAACCTCCAAATTTTTGTGTGTGACCTCACCTTGATTGTGTGTCTTGACGAAGGTCTCAGCCAAAGCAGTACTGAGAAAGCTGTAGACCCCCGGTATGCCGACGTCAATGACGTAGCCATGATCCTCTATGCTGGATACACTGCCAGCTATCACCTGAAAGAATAACAGGTTACCTTCTATATTAAAAAAATAAACATACTATGGGTGCGTTTGAGTAGCTCACCTGGATCAAATCAAGTGAATGCAGACAGCTTTACAGCCACGAGAACCGGGCTAATCGAATGCTCAAATGTGGGCCATCATGATCCTTACTTGACGTCCGCAGACGAGGCCGTAACCATTGGCAAACCACTTTTTCAGAATGACTCTTACTTTCAGATTTACTGCTTTTCCGTCCATTGCATTTGCAAAATGGATCAAAGTCAGGGTGGAATAATAGCCTCTAAAGTCACAATGAGATCAATAAATATTTGTGTTTAGACTTGGAAAAAAATTATTTAGGGTCCACTTGAGCTTATCTGCTATCCGGCCGCCATAATTGTCAATTTCTTAGAATGAACAACGCATGCGTTACGTATTTCCACCACTGACTCTGTTCCATGAGCAGGGATGTGGTGGCTGACCCAGGTGAGCCCAAGAATGACGTTAGAGCTAATCAAACGGCACGGGGCTAACCCAAATTGACTCGGATGAGCCTATGGAAGGCACCCGTTATGTTTTTATACCATGGTATTAGATTGTGAAATTCACTGGTTGAAAACTGTTTATGTGATTTACTACAAACGTTCATGTATGACAACCTGATGAACTCCGCAGAGTACCTCACTTTGTGTTATCCGTGATTGTTCGCAAAAACTTTTCAGCATATTCATCCCTTCTGCTTTGTTCAACAAGCAAAAATCTTGAAACTCACCATTCCTGGTTTAAGCATGTTGGGGCTAAAATGAGAATGAATAGCCTGTGGGTCAAGGGTCAGGTGGATGCGTTGTCTCCCTGCTCCTGTTGACCCCACTGATTTAACCTTACAGATGACCTGATGGCCCTCCCTAAAGATGGTCTGCAGACTTGGTACATCCTGCAAGATCAGAGGGATTAACACTTACATATATGAGAAACGGAATTGCTGTGCAAAATAGAAGCAAGATACGGCAGAAATAATGCACACACGTGTAAAGCCGCCCTCAAGTTGACCTTGCAACGACACAGATCAGTCGGCGACAGACTAGACTTTTCAGGATCAAGCTGTGCCTGAGCTTACAACTGTCGGCAACATTTTAGTTGCCGGTTTATTTTGCGACCTGAGTGTAACTGCAACAATACCCGCTTATCATACCCGCGCATCTTCCGCTGACTCCATCAGCTCATCTCCCAGCCGCTCTAACAGCTTGGTATATGTTGACGACACGTCTGTGATCTGCACATAGCCGGTCATCATGTTGGGTAGGCTGACCACGATCTCGTACTCGTGCACTTCCTTCACTACTCCCAACAGCAACATGTCCGCTGAAATAGTCTGAAAATGGTCAATAGTCGGTGAATCAATCTGATTGATGTCAAAGTGCAGAAACTGTTTTTTCTTTAATAGTGGTGGGAGAAATCAGAGATTTCAAAATCCGGTTATTTGTTCAAACCGAATAACGGTTATCAGATTTCACCGGAAGTTGCTGTTCAGCTCACATTTCAGGCATGCCAACAAAAGGTATGAGTTAGGTGCTGCACGAAATGCCCTACACGATGATTTGGTGTATATATGTAGTTTGCGGGATTCAATGACCACTGGCATGACTGGGCCTTTAAAAAAACTCTGAGAGAGCTGTAATGTTGAAAAAAAATGGGTGGGAACTCTCTGATCAGACGAATGGACAGGTTATTCATGAACCAAGAAGACTCTTAGCGAGTGAATGAAGTTACAGTCAGGGACCATGGAGCCAATTGGGGGATGTTCCAGTTGTTTTCTTTGGCTTGTGCACTGCGGTGCTTCTAAGGCTTTGTAAATTAAAAACATGTAGGTTTGAAAACATTGTTAATTATTTGTGCCATGTTGTCTGTTAACTTAAAGGAAGATCATGTGAACGTGCATGTAGGCTCCTTTTTTTATAATTCGGATTTTGTTTAAACGTTTGGAAAATTTGTAAACTGATTTAGAATTTTGTGTTAAATTTTAAACGTATAAGCGTCACATCCTTACGCAGTTCCGAAACCAACCATAAAACACAGCCATAAACATTACCTTTTTTGTGAGTTGAGAGAACTTGGATGCTGTCTTGGACGCAGTCTTGGATGCGGTCCCCGACCCCTCCCCAAGACTCTCCATCAGTTCCTCTGCCTCCTCCTCACACTGAAACCGCTTAAGTGGAGACTCATCATCCTCTTCGTCCACCTTGGGTTTCTTGGATTTCTTCTCCTTTCTCTGTGTCACTTTGCCCTTTTTCCTCTCTGAAGCGCCATCATCCTGCGAGTAAAAGAGTATTTGTTGCACACTAATAAGACAAAATCTAAATCAGAGCTCGCAATTCCATCTATTTAGCTGACCTATTTCTAGATAAGGGGTGTGCATCGGAACCGGGTACCCGAGTACCCAAATGCTGGCGTCAGGAACTGGTTCCAGATGGAATCAGGTTCTCCTAACCAACTTTGCAAATTACAAAATTACTTCTCAGACATTGAAAAAGAAAGGTTTTGAATGCCATTTGTGGGGAACTTTCAAAATGAAAACCAGGCTAAATGTACATGAAAAATCAAAACAGATCTCATGTTGGTGTGCATTTTAACGAGCGACAGAGGATGCTCCCGAAAGTTGCAATTGACACCGTAACGCTATAGAGCCCCTCAAACAACTTCTGGAATTTAAATTTTGGGGTTGGGTTTCTTTTATCAGGTTTATGGGTACCCATGAATGGGTACATGGTTCCCGTACTACTAGATACAGTGAATTTAAGATTGGGTTTTGCCCTTTAACCCAAACTACATGTACCTAGGCCATTTTGCTTGGATGTAGCCTCAATCCTGCAAAATCCTCCAATTGGCCTCATGGAAAAATAGCACATAAAGCCTCATTCCTGCAAATTCCTCCATTATTTCTTGAATATGGTCCGTGGATGGGTGACCACTGCCTGATCCTGCAAAATCCTACGGCAGTGACTGTCAATATGTTGAGGCTTGGCCAGTGACATGCTGGAGCAGTACGGAGGAGTTCAAGCATAATCCAAGCCTATATTTATGCATGGCTGAGCAAAAACAACAAAAGGTCCAGCCCAAGACCTTGACAAAGTGCATCCTATGAAACGCACTTTTGCCATGTAACCTCAATCCTCCAAATTCCTCCACTTTGGCAAAGAGGATTTTGAAGGATTCAGGGTGGTTCCTTGATTCCTTGATGAAACCATGATAAAGCCATACAGGGCTTAAGCAGTTTGGGGCATACAGGGAGTAACAGGCAGGGTGGTTTCGGGGGAAAACTGGGAGTAACGGGTTACAAAATACAACAGAACACCTGTACTTCCACAGTCTATTAGAAACCAGCTGAAGTTTGTGAAGTGCATGTGTGCTTTGTCGATATGCAGACAGATTTCCCACACATTTTGCCAGAGCATGTTAGTCATGATACAGATAAATTACCTTGAACAGAACCTCCTGTTCACGCTTTCTCTTGAAAGATTTCTTCTGCAGCGACGAATCGGTCTTGCCTTTCTTGCCACGACCTCGGGGAAAGCTTTCCTCTTCCATAGTGCTGCGTTACAATGTTAGAAATTTAATATTTCATTTCCATTTTCTTGGGTTTGGATATGGGAATCTTTCCTTTTTTTTCTTAAAATAAACTCATGCTAGATGCAATTTTCAAAGGTATTCAAAGAAAATGTGACTTTCGAAAATGTGCCTATCAGCCAATCAGATTATTCCTTGATTATTTATGCTGAGTAGGACATCCAAAAGGAATAATCTTATTGGTTGATACTGCAAGCAGACAATAACCACAACACAGGCATGACAGTGTGGCACTGGACGGTTTTTCCGAAGAAGCCACCAAAACCATCAATATTTTTCATATTTTAAGTAACTTTTGTTCTGTTTCAAGTCGATTATTACATGCAGCTTCGTGAATGACTGCTGCATGGTTATGAGGTATGTACATGTACATGTAAATGGAATCTGGGTTGGAATTATAGAGGGAAATAGGACCATTTTGTAGAGGCCGTTTACTTTTACAACGTACATGTAGTTCTGTCTCCAGCGTTACATGTGAATTCCTGATGAGCACATTAGCTGGAGTTACCCAAGCTAGATATGAAGTTATCCTGAATCCATCAATATCCTGCAGCACTGCTAGGCTTCATGTCCTGAATCCATCAAAATCCCCCAACTTTTTCAATATGGAGGTATCCTGAATCCGCCAAAATCCCCCGAAACAGGGGTGGGTTTGGATGGATTCAGGTACGTTAGGGTTAAGGAAAAAAATTCTTAAAATACTTTACCTTTTTGTGTCATGGCCCATAGTGGCCATATACACACTTTAGGAAAAAATGTTGCAACCTGACGCCACTTTTTCCTTCATTTCATCTCAATGAAGGTCATTTGTCATGTTCGTTGCAAAAATGATGATGAGACATGAATCTGGGACTGAAAAACATTTCCAATTTGTTAGAAAATACTTAGACAATTTTCTTGACTCTCCATAGACTTAGTAATAGTACACAATCGCAGAAGTGGCGTCAGGTTGCAACTGTTTTGGCGATCGTGTGGTGTAGGGCCCGGTTCCTACATGTATATGGGGAACAAAATCTACTTTAAAATTAGAAAGTGGATATTTTGCCAGAGACGTCAAACCTTTAGTTTGCCAGATATGCACTGAATATGCGCAGTTACTATTTTTTTTGTACTTAGGACATTTTTCGGTGACAAATTTTAGTCTAGCTCCATGCCAACATTATCGTTGTAACTTCGTATTCACAAGATGGGAATCAGACCATTTTACAATTTTGGACTTTATTTCCCTTTAAAAAAAATCCTCCAGAGCCACAAATCTGAAAAAGAAAATGTAGTACTCTGCAATAAAATTTTTGAGACATGTTAAAATAATAAAAGAAGAATATTCTTATTTTTGGGGGATGGGGGGAAAAAACCTTAGAAATGTCGCTGGCGGGGATCGGGATCAAACCCGGGTCTTCCCACCCATGAAATCTGTTGCTTATCCACTAGGCCGAGCGTGCTACACAACCATTGGTGGTAATTTATTATATCTTATAATTCAGCCCTATCTTAGAGAGTACAGCGCCCTCTGTTGATATGGATTACCACTGGCAAACCTAGTAAACGTTAGCTTCCCGGCATTACCTTTGGCAATATATCCACCATCTTAAAATTATTAGACCATGTAGACCGACCAAACTAGTTGGCGACATTCACAATAAACAGGTACATGACATAGATAGAGGGCATGGAGGGCAGGGTTTTTATTTTTTGAGGGAAATTTGGGGGTAAAATGATGATGACAGTGCGGCGACAACACGCAAGCCGAAAATAAAGATGGTGAAACACCGCGCGATGTACCATGAGTACGCACAGTGCACTGAATCGCAAAGCACAAACTGAGCAGGAAAATTGTGATTTGGCAAATCACAAATTCTACCCCAACATTTGCCCAAGAAACTGTTCAAAATTGCAAAATGGGTGTCATTAGAATTGAGAAAAGTCTGCTTTTGATTGTAAAGGTGATTTTTGAGCAATAAAAAAAACATTTTTGACTCTAATTAATTTGATCAAAACAAAACAGGGGTCCTACAGTACATGATCGCCACATTTTTTTCCTTTTATAGCTCCATGCTAATATATATAGGAATGGGGTCCTACCCCCCCCCCCCCCCCCCCCAAAAAAGAAAAAAAGACACGGATTACCGGTTGCCGGCATGCCCCACCGCCACCGGTCACCATGCCTATGCACTAGTCATGCTAGTACTACATGCAGCAGGCATGCATTTGCATGGCACTCTCTCGACGGCGGTACGCGGTTTGGACAGCTTCTGTACTTATTTTGTGAACTAACCATTCACAAACACGAGTATTTAAGAAATGTTTACCTGTTTTTCAAAATGATGTAACTTTTAACGCAATCAGCTCACAGAAAGCAATCAAGAAACGTATTTCCAAGCACACACGCGGCTCGCCTCGCACGCACGCTTTACCACATGGAAGCCGCCATCTTTAAACTGCACTAGTCTAGTCTCGCGATAGCGCGAGAAAATAGCGGTTTCAGCGAGACTAATTTATGGAGTGCAAATACGTCAAAATTGTAGGGTAGACAAAAATGAGCATAATTAGGGCAAGGGGCGTGTCAGGTCGTTAAAATTATTTTTAGACCATGAAAATAGAATTATCCACCAGTACCATTTTCAATATAATGCCAACACCCCTATGTGGTATAGCGCCCCTGCCCCTTGGCTAAGGTTTTTGTTTTAGGGGCCATTCACTGGTCAATGTTTACAAATTCGGATCTTTTTCCCCAAAATTGTGGGCGGGTGGGTCAAAGCATGGAGGAAGGAATAGCCGATATCACTATATAGTGTCATAGAAAATTGGAAACAATTGTATCTGTGTGCATGGCAATTAATTTCCTCTTCTAGTTTCAACAATTCAAAGAGTTGCATGCTGGAAACCTGGGAAAGCCATTGAAAACTCCCAAGCTGGGAGAGCATTAATTGACCTAAAATATCTGCTTCGTTTAAAGCATTACTAATTTGTTCTTCAGTGTATGGGATATATTGAATTGTGAAATTTTGGGTGGGTGGGTTCAAAACAATTCTGAAAAAAAAAGATCAAACTTTTTAATACTATTCTCAACGGCTCCTTGAATTCATTAGTGAACTGAGAAAAAGAACTTAAAAAAAAATATATGCCGAACAGGTTCCAACGGGTAAATGGTATAGCTGGATCCTGTTGCATTCAGCAGGTTTATAGTTAAAGTTTCATAACCGTTCAATTTTTCACTTTTTCACTTTTAACAAATGGACACTTATCGCTAAGAGAAGGGGTTTGCCACGGTGTTTCTGGCAGTGGCTGCAATGTGCGCCGCAGTACCTTGTAAACCATTATAAGGTGCTACATAATGGGTCTCATATTTCTCATAAACTTTATTTACCTTTCTTTAATAATTGACATAATTTCCAGCGCCTTGAGTACCTAATTGTTGGTAGATACGTGCGCTATATAAGACTCCGTTATTATCATGTCGCGTTTTGAAAATAAATTCTTCAAATATTCATTATATAAAATCATGGCATTATGAAGAGAAGAAAATAAAATGTCGAGTGTGTAAATGTACATACGAGGAATAATTTGATAATTTGAAAGCTACTATAAAATGGACTTGGAACGGGCGAAAAATGAATTAAATTTATCCAGCAAGTTTTCGTAAGGATTTTGAATGGGATGATGTCTTTATACATCCCTCGGATTAATAAAATGTGACGACTTTTTAAGAGAAACTTATGGGAACTTTCAGGAGCTAGCTATTATAAAACTCAGTCGAGTGTTGCTAAAATTCGTGTTCTTGCCTTGGTGAAAAACTGCATTCCGTTATGTATATTGTCATCGTCTCTGCTGCTTACACGAAACAAGAGGAATCTGCAAAGATAAAAGAAATAGGCCCTTTATCTATTATATTACATATTTCACACTCGAAGCACAACCCAACTATCGGAGTGAAAAGATTGTCATAAAATGTTCGATATGCCACTTCCCGAAGACTAAGACAACAATAGAAAATGAGTAAGATTTGAGGCTTTGCATGGTGAAGATACTAAATAATGAAAGGTTTGCGGAAACACCATGTGCGAATAATTTCTCAACTAAGAGAATGGTTCTGAAAAGAACCAGAGGTATAAACTCGACGTTCCGGTCAGTATGCTCTGACCGTCTTCAGGAGAGTGCCTAAACTCTAAGAAAGTGAAAACTTAAGTAGCAAAAGGATTGATTTCGCCTTTTGCTACTTAAGTTTTCACTTTCTTAGAGTTTAGGCACTCTCCTGAAGACGGTCAGGGCATACTGACCGGAACGTCGAGTTTATACCTCTGGTTCTTTTCAGAACCATTCTCTTAGTTGAGAAATTATTCGCACATGGTGTTTCCGCAAACCTTTCATTATTTAATAGAAAATGAATAAATGAAAAATACATCTAAATCCCTTTTGCTAAATTACCTCAAGAATTGGTGAAGACTTGCTCTGCAAGCAGGTCATCAGTCCTTCCGTCGGTCCTCCTCCCTGCTTCCGGTTCCTTGGGATTCAGAAGTGATTGTATCTTCGTCCAGAATGACATCTCATCTTGCAGACCGTCATCTCTGCCAGAAGATTAGAAGGAACATATGTAAGAAAATTGTGTGCGGGACAATTATATGCCTGTTGCTCTTCTTTTGTGAAGTTGTTAAGTGATTATTAATTTCACATTAAATCTATTTCCTCTAGATTTATCGTATTAAAAAAAATAAGGTATCATTAATCGCAGACAAAATAATCAGAACAATTTGAAACACCCTAAGACATTGTTTTCGAAAGCAAAACAACATTAATATTTTTACCTGGGAAATCAGTAATGGGATGCCCGGCAAGCAGGGTCTTCAGTCATCCGGTGTTCCTCCTCCCTGCTTCCGGTTCCTCCGTGTCAGCAGCTCCTGACATGAGCACTCTGGCTTGCCGGTCCTCCTAATCTAATTGCAAGTTGCTGAAAATAAAAGAAGTCTTCCTAGCGGAGCTAGGTTTTGTAGCTACAATGTACAGTGGATTCCTGATCAAATTTGTGACCGGTGCTGTGGTATAAAGAGAAGGAAACGTATATTAGTAGTCCTTACCTGACCACTATAAAGATACAACCATAGAGAAAAAAAGGGAAACTTAGTTTAGGTCTACGCCACTTAGATCTCTAAGCCTAATTGGATGCAAAGTATCTTACATACAGACAGTGAAAATAATCAAATTAGTGGCCTTACCTGACCACTTTAATGGATTCAACCGTTGAGAATGAAAGCTTAGTTTATTCTAAATCGATAAATTGGCCTACTGGTCGCAAAGATGATATTCCAGTTTGCGCAAAGCATGGCAACGCGCATCCACTGACGCGCAACGCGGTTCAAAGGGAAACAACATTCACATTGCCGACCAGCTGTGATCGGACTTATCAGAATTCAAATGTACCATCGATCAAATCCTCCACTGGTGTTGTGGTTGTTAAATTAATTAATGCACATTGTTTCATCCTGTAAATTCAGGCTATACACTTTACAGAGCGATTACAAGGTGTATCCGACGCTACAGGTGTCATTACACCTGATTTACAAGAAACAAAATTGACACAATGGCCCTAACACAAAAGGCAATTCGATCGATCTTTGCGAATCGGATATTATGGAAGAACAAATCACAAACAATACTTCATGTCCATAAGACACGTTTCGACAAGGATCAGAGACTATTTCATGTCACAAAATAATCGTGGAATCGTTGAACCCATCATTCTGATTACGTTTCACGACCGCTACAGTTTCAATGAATCTGTAAGATCTGCACATGGTCTTATACATGAAGAGATTTTTAAACAATAGATTTCCAAGAATTTTTTTGTCACATGGACGAATAAAGTAGATTCTTAAACATGGCCCTATAGAGTATTTCACTCCATTAACCACGGTGAAGTTACAACAGGTGAGGAATATACAGAGTATACAAGAAAACGTAGATCCAACATTTGAGCTTTTTTTTAAGCTTCAAAATAGCTATCATGATACTTAACACATGACCCTAGAGTATATTGCACGATGATTCGCACTCAAGACGGGATGAATGCATTAAGCAGCTTTCAAGAAAATTGCAGAAATTTCTACAGAACGGAGGAATAAAAGATCTCTACACTACTTCACATGGCCCTAAATAATTTCGCAAAATAAATTGGAAAGATTTTTTACAAAAACAAAGAAAGACATGTTCACATGGCCCTGGACTCCTGTAAATAATCTGTCACATAATTACCGAAGATAACCCAAGAAAAATTGGGTTTGGCAGAAAACGGCGATGACAGTTTTGTACACATGGCCCTAGGATTTTTTTCACAATGACAATCAATATGGAACGACGAGAAAATGCATGATAGACGCAACTAGAATTTCAAAAAGTTTGATTCGTACACATGGCCCTAAATATCTAACACGAATTGTTACAAACGGAATACAATATTTCGTACAAACATTGACCCTACTACAGCTCACAATCATTGTCTTTAAATGTCAAGCAGTAGACGTGATAAAACAAAAATGTACAGATGGTGCAAATTGGAAGAGAAGCAGAACGATTTACTACACATGGCCCCATCATGATTTCGACATAAAAATCCTTCCTAGATAGCAGGTGCTATACGTAGTTTAGCAGTTGGCCCAATCATACACATGCATGGCCCAATCATAATTTCACATGGCCCTATCAATTATTCTGCAGACACTCTTTTCTTCCTATACACTAATCGGTCAAATGCTTGACAAATGCTGGACAAGATTTAATGATTGACGCTAACTTTGTTCGCACTCGAACTCAACACGAACTCGTAAATCGTGAATGAACGATACATTTTTTGTTTTATTCAATACCCGCAGGTTCATCGTCTTATTTTCTTTCTATACACAAATCGGTCAAATGATTGACAAATGCTTGACAAGATCTAATGATTGTCGCTAACTTTGTTTGCACTCGAACTCAACACGAACTCGTTAATCGTGAACGAACGATATATTTGTTGTTTTCAACCCATACCCGCAGGTCCATGTCTTGTTTTCTTGCGATTCACAAATCGAACAAATGATTGACAAAATCTAATGAGTGACGCTAACTTTGTTCGCGCTCAAACTCAACACGAACTCACTCGCAATCGTTACGAACGATACATTTGCTGTTTTAATATACCCGCAGGTCGATATCCATCGCCTACTCTTATCGAACAAAACAATTGACATTTAGGGGTGTTTTTTTTTCGATTTCACTTTTACGGTGCTAGAATTTCTCCTCATTGATTTATTTTTCATTTGAAGATTTTTGCCTTTTAATTTTATACGTTATCTTTTTTGAAAGACGTTTTCAATCGAACCGAGAGCACGCTAGTGCTCATTTCGAATACGTGATTATTTTCGGAATCGTACATTACTGACACCCAAAAACATTGGCATTAAGAAACAAATTATTTCAAATTTATTTGCACTCCATCCAAGCGGCGGGATTTTTATTCCTTTCCCATCTGGTGCTTGGTAAGATTGTGTCAGAACTATTAATCGTGCGGAGAGGTTCCTTGGAAAATATAATTATTATCTTTAATTTTCTGTCTTCTCTACAAAACATAATCTCTTACTGGTTTTTCAACTTTATACATTAATAATTCTCTACTGAATTAATTTGTTGGCAATGTAGCACCCATCAAGAGTGTTATATTTCCGATAAAAGTATCCATTAACAGTATCGTCTTTATCAATAGAATCACCCATCAAGAGTGTCGTATTTCTCAATAGAAGCACCCATCAAGGGTGAGGTCTTTCTCGATCACCCATCAAGGGTGTTGTGTTAATCAATAGTAGCACCCATCAAGGGTGTCGTGTTAATCAATACAGTAGTAGCACCCATCAAGGGTGTCGTTCGTCTCAATAGTAGCACCCATCAAGGGTGTTGCCTTAGTACCACCCATCAAGGGTGTCGTGTAGCACCCATCAAGGGTGTCGTTCTTCTCACTAGTAGCACCCGTCAAGGGTGTTGCCTTAGTACCATCCATCAAGTGTGTCGTGTTAATCAATACAGTACATGGTGTAGCACCCATCAAGGGTGTCGTTCTTCTCAATAGTAGCACCCATCAAGGGTGTCGTTCTTCTCAATAGTAGCACCCATCAAGGGTATCGTCCTTCTCAATAGTAGCACCCATCAAGGGTGTCGTCCTTCTCAATGGTAACATTAAGGGTGTTGTATTTCTCAAAAGTAGCACTCATCAAGGGTGAGATTATGGTAGCACCCATCAAGGGTGTCGCTTTTCTCAATAGTAGCACCCATCAAGAATGTCGTCTTTCTCAATCACATACTTTAACCTCTAGAGGGCGGTATTCCAATGGACATTATTCAACACAACAGTTTACAGACTTATTTCGCAAAAGTTTGAAAAAGAATGCATAATGAACATCTTTACACCATTATTTCTTCAAGGTAAGTCCTTCGGCCTTACACAAAAATTATCAGCAAACCTAATATGGTTGTGATGCGGCCGCAGGCAATGCCATTGACATTGATTTCTGTTGATATGATAACATCTCCGAGGGTCCGTCTTCATCGCTGATTCTTCAGTTTGTATTATTCAAATAAAATCTCAAACGTTAAAACTTAATTTTCGTTATACTTCAATTGGCGTTATTATTGGCAATGCACAAAGACATTGTCAGGATAACGTTGGTATAAATTAAATACGTTCGTTCCCTCCCCGATTCCCAAAGTTCCTAATTGTCTTGCAAGCTGCTATTTGCTCGCTTTTTGCAGCACGCTAAAGCTTCCTAAATTTTATTTATTGATGTATTATTATTTTATTTCCACCTGCTCTTTATGCACTTTAATTTTCACATTTTATTTGGCTACATATATAGCTTTGCTTTAATTTTTATTCATTGGTATCCCTCAAAACAGGAAACCTCATCGAGTTTTTCTGAACTTAAGATTTAAAACTTCGGACATACATTTTTATTTTATTTTCCAGTTAGTAAAGCTGTTTTAATGATTTTGATTCAGTAAAAGACTTTTTTTTTCCTATTTTTTTTTTTTTTACAATAATTATATTTTAAAGAGCTCCGTAGTAGCTATGAGTTGATAAAATCAATTTTTTTTTATCACGGAAGGTAGACATCTATCATCCGTTTCAATGAATCAATCAACTGATTTGGTATCGGAAAATATGAAAATTAAGATATCGTCAACCTGTGAATAATCTTCTCAGGAAGACGATATCCTACAAGATACCATCAACCCGAGAAATATTTCATTTTCTCGAGAAGATAACATCTCACCCAAAAGATATAGTCAACCCGAGAAATATTTTATTTCCTCGAGAAGACGACATCTCACCTAAAAGATATCACCAATCCGCGATGAAATATTATCTCGGAAAAACGATATCTAACCTACAAGACATCATCCACCGGAGATACATTTTGTTCTCGAGAAGATGACATCTGACCAACACGATATCTTCAACCCGAGAAATGTTTTCTTTCTTGGGAAGAGGATATTTCACCTACAAGATATCATCGACCAGAGATTTTATTCTCAAGAAGACAACATCTCACCCTACAAACAAGATATCACCTACCCGTGATGACATTATCTCGGGAAGACGATGTCTTATTTACAAGATATCATCAACCCGGGAAATAGTTTTTTTCTCGGGAAGACGGCATCTCACCTACAAGATATCACCAAGAACACTTTCTCGGGAAGACGATATCATACATACAATTATAACATTGCGAAAACTACCCCAACGATGTCCTCCTATTTTTTTTTGTTTAATGACGGATGCTCATCGATCCATGTAAGCTTAGAGCTCAGTAACGTCTCCTTATTTCAAAAACCAAAATTGATATTAAAAAGAAATTTTCTAATATTGATAACATTGTATTTTTGCATTACAATGCACTACCTCGATGCAGATTTTTAATTGACTACCCTTAATTGTTTTTTTAAGGATCAAGCTACGATTTGCCCGACGATTTTTACTGTGCCCCGAAAAGGTAATTTTTAAATTGTTTTGTTAAAGTATTTTTATAAGTTAATTTTTACACCATGGCTGTGCCAGGTCAAGCTCCCTTACGCTGCTGCTGGTGTGCTCGGCTGCCTACGCGCGCCATGTGCCTATACCCCAACCTACCCCGCCTTAATCCTACGCCTTAACCTGAACCGTAAGCATTCATTTAATACAATCTAAATTTGCCTTATTTGCCTTCTTCCAAACGTCGAATTTCGCTGGTCTCCATCGCAACAGCAGGTCTTCTCCAATTCATTTGAGTTTCAGATAATTCCGTCGGCTATCTGTTATAACATCTAAATTTATACAATCATAATTATAATAATTCAGCTCTCAATATTTTTTCTGTTGTCCTCTTGAACTTATAGTAGTATTTATAATATACAAGTTACCCTGAAGCTAATGGTGTAAAGTTAATTATTTTGAGCAATTCTATACAAATTTGAGATCCGAGGATACATTGTCCAAAAAAATTGATTTTGGTCCATTGGAATGCCGCCCTATATAATACTCAAAATATTGTGCTTACATTGAATAAATTCAGGTTTATGATAAAATCCGTTGGCTCCGTTGTTGACTCCTTTATGGTGTTCAGGTTTTTCATTTCATCTTTAAATAATTACATAAAAGTTCGAAACTATTTGTTCTGGTAAGTTTTAAATCCGTAATTTTAATACAATCATAATAAAAAAGCAATCCAAATTCCAAGGAACCCTCCAACGAAAATCTAAACGTGTTTACTCCAACTTTTGAGAAAATCCCTATATAAGCCCCTGCCTTGCTGGAATGTCTTTGAAAGTGTAGCAAAACGGTGCACCTGGTCGCATACCGCGCGCGCGGCCTTTCAACTTTTCAACCAATAAGAATCACCGGAATCTATAACCACGCCCACACTGCGCCGGCCACGAGCGGCTCACGTGCAGACTCGCACCACGAGCTAGCTTTTGACACAATGCGTGAAATGCGCAATGCACCAAAAGGCATGTGCATGTATGTTTTTGACAAACAAATTGGCAGGTATTCACATGCTAATAACTCTGAATCAAAAGGGCTTTCGCCTACAGGAATGGAATTTCAACGTACAATAGGTTATTCAGCAATGACAAAGACTAACTCAATGTAGGCTAAAATGGACGCGATTTCGTTGGCAACAAACACACATGATTATTTCGTGCTCGTCGATACTCCAATTTTCTTTAGCTAATTAAAGAGAATTGCAGAATTGTATTGCACAATATTCAACAATGCAAAATACAACGTCATGTACAGAATGCAATACATTATGCTTATTGCAGATAACATTACATATTTTACTTCAATGCGATTCAAGGATCAAAGTCAAAGAAAAGAATGAATATTTTCTGACTCCACCTTTCTTCGAAATGAAGTCTAAAATGTAGGCGGATATATCATATACCATATTGCTCAAAGTGCAGAATATTGGGACGCTTTTTCCTCTTTTGGTTCTGTGTGACGGGAGGAGAAGATAAATTTTCACTCACCTCGATAGTTCCTTAATTAAAGTTGGACTTACCCCGACGAACTCCAAAAGCTTGACTTCAGTATTTTCCAAAAACGTCATTCAGATCATTCGACAAAATTATGAGTTCACAAAAATTCCATGTGTCCATTCAGTTCAGTTCAGCACAAATGAGCATTCAAAGGAATGCTTCGCGAAGTCCAGTTCACTTCTATAAAACAAAAGTTATGACAAGTTCTGTAGGCCTACAGTTCAAGTCAGTCTTTCAATATGGGTGACAACGACGCAACATGTCTGCGTCGAAGCTTTGCAGTGACCCCGTACATGAGGCCGGTTTTCTGGTCGATTTGCAAGACTCCAAGCGTCCAAAATTGATGTTTTTTGCGCCCATGAAGACTCCAGGGTATGATGTACAAGTTTCCGCGTTTGAGGCTTGAAGCTGGACGGCAGACACGGAGGTTAAAGAAGCCAACAGAAGCCGACTTTGAATGTTTTCAGTTGCCTGCTGAGTACAACACATTGCAATCAGAAACATAGGAAATATGTATATTATTTTGTACCAGGGGTTTACTGCTCAATCCAACAGGCTCCAACGGGTAAATGGTATAGCTAGATCCTGTTGCATTCAGCAGGTTTAGGGTTAAAGTTTCATAACTGTTCACTTTTTCACTTTTATCAAATAGACATGTCGCGTTTTGAAAATAAACTCTTCAAATATTCATTGTATAAAATCATGGCATTATGAAGAGAAGAAAATAAAATGTCGAGTGTGTAAATGTACATACGAGGAATAATTTGATAATTTGAAAGTTACTATAAAATGGACTTGAAACGGACGAAAAATGAATTATCACATTTCCCCCCATTTGCGGGATTTAAATAACAACCCATAACCTATAAATTGGAAAATCTGATGATTTCCTTTCCGATCCTCTGTTTATCTATTTATTAATTTATTTATTACATTTGGGTACGCCTAAACAGTTTGAAACAGGTTTCCATTGGGGCCCTGCATTCAATTTTTTTTTAAAACTTACTCAAACTAAAATAACAAGGAAAAGTGCACATGTGAAAGTGTGCATGTTAAACATTCCAGTATAAGGCACGAATTGCTGATTACGGGATGGGCAAAAACCCCGCGAAACTGCTCATTTGGGGAAAAAACACGGGGAAATTCCCGATCCGGCTCCAAATTTCCGTGCATGGCAACCAAGTTTATAACTTAACTCCGTAGATCAGCGCATTTTTGAACTAGTGTGATATTGACAGAAATATCACCGATGACTAATACGTTGTACAAGGGATGCAAGATGGTAGATCACTAGAATAAATAATGAATAAAAGTGGATCGACCGCTAGCCTGCGGAACACCAACGTTTTCAATGGCAGTACCTTTGACATGTTGCCCTCGATATTCACAGACTGACTACGACCACTTAGGTAGGACTTAAACCTATTGATTAAATAAGTTGACATATTCAGCTTTTAAAATTTACCCAGCAGATTTTCGTAAGGATTTTGAATGGCATGGTGTCTTTATACATCCCTTGGATTAATAAAATGTGACAACTTTTTAAGAGAAACTTAAGGGAACTTTCAGGAGCTAGCTATTGTAAAACTCAGTCGAGTGTTGCTAAAATTCGTGTTCTTGCCTTGGTGAACAACTGCACTCCGTTATGTATATTGTCATCGTCTCTGCTGCTTACACGAAACAAGAGGAATCTGCAAAGATAAAAGAAATAGGCCCTTTATCTATTATATTACATATTTCACATTCGAAGCACAACCCAACTATCGGAGTGAAAAGATTGTCATAAAATGTTCGATATGCTACTTCCCGAAGACTAAGACTAAAATAGAAAATGAATAATTGAAAAATACATCTAAATCCCTTTTGCTAAATTACCTAGTGAATTGGTGAAGACTTGCTCTGCAAGCAGGTCATCAGTCCTTCCGTCGGTCCTCCTCCCTGCTTCCGGTTCCTTGGGATTCAGAAGTGATTGTATCTTCGTCCAGAATGACATCTCATTTTGCAGACCGTCATCTCTGCCAGAAGATTAGAAGGAACACATGTAAAAAATGTGTGCGGGACAATTATGTGCCTGTTGCTATTCTTTTGTGAAGTTGTTAAATGATTATTAATTTCACATTAAATATATTTTCCTCTAGATTTATTGTATTAAAAAAAATAAGGTATCATTAATCGCAGACAAAATAATCAGAACAATTTGAAACACCCTAAGACATTGTTTTCGAAAGCAAAACAACATTAATATTTTTACCTGGGAAATCAGTAATGGGATGCCCGGCAAGCAGGGTCTTCAGTCATCCGGTGTTCCTCCTCCCTGCTTCCGGTTCCTCCGTGTCAGCAGCTCCTGACATGAACACTCTGGCTTGCCGGTCCTCCTAATCTAATTGCAAGTTGCTGAAAATAAAAGAAGTCTTCCTAGCGGAGCTAGGTTTTGTAGCGATTACAAGGTGTATCCGACGCTACAGGTGTCATTACACCTGATTTACCATTAACAAAATTGACACAATGGCCCTAACACAAAAGCCAATTCGATCGATCTTTGCGAATCGGATATAATGGAAGAACAAATCACAAACAATACTTCATGTCCATAAGACACATTTCTACAAGGATCAGAGACTATTTCATGTCACAAAATAATCGTGGAATCGTTGAACCCATCATTCTGATTACGTTTCACGACCGCTACAGTTTCAATGAATCTGTAAGATCTGCACATGGCCCTAAACATGTAGAGCTTTTTTAAACGATAGATTTCCAAGAATTTTTTTGTCACATGGACAAATAAAGTAGATTCTTAAACATGACCCTATAGAGTATTTCACTCCATTAACCACGGTGAAGTTACAACAGATGAGAATATACAGAGTATACAAGAAAACTTAGATCCAACATTTGAGCTTTTTTTAAGCTTCAAAATACCTATGGATACTTAACACATGACCCTAGAGTATATAACACGATGATTCGCACTCAAGACAGGATGAATGCATAAGCAGATTTCAAGAAAATTGCAGAAATTTCTACAGAACGGAGGAATAGAATATCTCTACACTACTTCACATGGCCCTAAATAATTTTGCATAATAAATTGGACATATTTTTTACAAAAACAAAGTAGGACATGTTCACATGGCCCTGGACCCCTGTAAATAATCTGTCACATAAGTACAGAAGATAACGCAAGAAAAATTGGGTTTGGCAGAAAACGGTGATGACAGTTTTGTACACATGGCCCTAGGATTTTTTTCACAATGACAATCAATATGGAACGACAAGAAAATGCATGATAGACGCAACTAGAATTTCAAAAAGTTTGATTCGTACACATGGCCCTAAATATCCAACACGAATTGTTACAAACGGAAAAAAATATTTCGTACAAACTTTGACCCTACTACAGCTCACAATCATTGTCTTGTCAAGCAGTAGACATGATAACACAAAAATGTACAGATGGTGCAAATTGAAAGAGAAACAGAACGATTTACTACACATGGCCCCATCATGATTTCGACATAAAAATCCTTCCTCGATAGCAGGTGCTATATGTAGTTATATGCATGGCCCAATCATAATTTCACATGGCCCTATCAATTATTCTGCAGACACTCGTAGTCGTGTACATATTTCGTTCTTGTACGTTACTTGTACTCTTTTAACTTTGTTCGCACTCGAGCTCGAACACGAACTTGGTTCGCACTTAACTCAAACACGAACTCGTAATCAACGAACAATACATTTGTTGTTTTAATATACATGCAGGTCGATATAGGCCTACACCGTCTTATTTTCTTCCTATACACTAATCGGTCAAATGATTGACAAATGCATGACAAGATTTAATGATTGACGCTAATTTTGTTCGCACTCGAACTCAACACGAACTCGTAAATCGTGAACGAACGATACATTTTTTTGTTTTCAACCCATACCCGGCCGCAGGTCCATGTCTAAGTTATTTTCTTCCGATTCACAAATCGAACAAATGATTGACAAAATTTAATGATTGACGCTAACTTTGTTCGCGCTCAAACTCAACACGAACTCACTCGTAATCGTTAACGAACGATACATTTGCTGTTTTAATATACCCGCAGGTCGATATCCATCGTCTACTCTTATCGAACAAAACAATTGACATTTAGTTTTTTTTTTTTCGATTTCACTTTTACGCTGCTAGAATTTCTCCTCATTGATTTATTTTTCATTTGAAGATTTTTGCCTTTTAATTTTATACGTTATCTTCTTTGAAAGACGTTTTCAATCGAACCGAGAGCGCGCTAGTGCTCATTTCAAATACGTGATTATTTTTTGGAATCGTGCATTACTGACACCCAAAAGTGTTGGCATTAAGAAACAAATTATGATTTTTATTCTTTTCCCATCTGGTGCTTGGTAAGAATGTGTCTGATGAACTATTAATCGTGCGGAGAGGTTCCTTGGAAAATATAGTTATTATCTTTAACTCTCTTTGTCTTCTCTACAAAACAATCTCTTACTGGTTTTACAACTTTATACATTAATAATTCTATACTGAATTAATTTGTTGGCAATGTAGCATCCATCAAGGGTGTTATATTTCTCAATAAAAGTATCCACTAACAGTATTGTCTTTATCAATAGAATCACCCATCAAGGGTGTCGTATTTCTCAATAGAAGCACCCATCAAGGGTGAGGACTTTCTCGATCACCCATCAAGGGTGTTGTGTTAATCAATACAGTAGTTGCACCCATCAAGGGTGTCGTTCGTCTCAATAGTAGCACCCATCAAGGGTGTTGCCTTACCCATCAAGGGTGTCGTGTAGCACCCATCAAGGGTGTCGTTCTTCTCACTAGTAGCACCCGTCAAGGGTGTTGCCCATCAAGTGTGTCGTGTTAATCAATACAGTAAATGGTGTAGCACCCATCAAGGGTGTCGTCCTTCTCAATAATAGCACCCATCAAGGGTGTCGCCTTCTCAATAGTAGCACCCATCAAGGGTGTAATAGTAGCACCCATCAAGGGTGTTATAGTAGCACCCATCAAGGGTGTCCGTCCTTCTCAATGGTAACATTAAGGGTGTTGTATTTCTCAAAAGTAGCACTCATCAAGGGTGAGATTATGGTAGCACCCATCAAGGGTGTCGTCTTTCTCAATCATATATTTTAACCTCTAGAGGGCGGTATTCCAATGGACATTGAGTTTACAGACTTATTTCGCAAAAGTTTGAAAATGAATGCATAATGAACATCTTTACACCATTATTTCTTCAAGGTAAGTCCTTCGGCTTTACACAAAAATAATAAGCAAACTTAATATGGTTGTGATGCGGCCGCAGGCAAGGCCATTAACATTGATTTCTGTTGATATGATAACATCTCCGAGGGTCCGTCTTCATCGCTGATTCTTCAGTTTGTATTATTCAAATAAAATCTCAAACGTTAAAACTTAATTTTCTTCATACTTCAACTGGCGTTATTACTGCCAATGCACAAAGGCATTTTCAGGATAACGTTGGTATAAATTAAATACGTTCGTTCCCTCCCCGATTCCCAAAGTTCCTAATTGTCTTGCAAGCTGCTATTTGCTCGCTTTTTGCAGCACGCTAAAGCTTCCTAAATTTTATTTATTGATGTATTATTATTTCATTACAACCTGTTTTTTTATGCACTTTAATTTTTATATTTTATTTGGCTACATATATAGCTTTGCTTTAATTTTTATTCATTGGTATCCCTCAAAACAGGAAACCTCATCGAGTTTTTCTGAACTTAAGATTTAAAACTTCGGACATACATTTTTATTTTATTTTCCAGTTAGAAAAGCTGTTTTAATGATTTTGATTCAGTAAAAGACTTTTTTTTCTTTTCTTTTTTACAATAATTATATTTTAAAGAGCTCCGTAGTAGCTATGAGTTGATAAAATCATTTTTTTTTATCACGGAAGGTAGACATCTATCATCCGTTTTAATGAATCAATCAACTGATTTGGTATCGGAAAATATGAAAATTAAGATATCGTCAACCTGTGAATAATCTTCTCAGGAAGACGATATCCTACAAGATACCATCAACCCGAGAAATATTTCATTTTCTCGAGAAGATAACATCTCACCCAAAAGATATAGTCAACCCGAGAAATATTTTATTTCCTCGAGAAGACGACATCTCACCTAAAGGATATCACCAATCCGTGATGAAATATTATCTCGGAAAAACGATATCTAACCTACAAGACATCATCCACCGGAGATACATTTTGTTCTCGAGAAGATGACATCTGACCAACACGATATCTTCAACCCGGGAAATGTTTTCTTTCTTGGGAAGATGATATTTCACCTACAAGATATCATCGACCAGAGATTTTATTCTCGAGAAGACAACATCTCACCCTACAAACAAGATATCACCTACCCGTGATGACATTATCTCGGGAAGACGATGCCTTATTTACAAGATATCATCAACCCGGGAAATAGTTTTTTTCTCGGGAAGACGGCATCTCGCCTACAAGATATCACCAAGAACACTTTCTCGGGAAGACGATATCATACATACAATTTTAACATTGCGAAAACTACCCCAACGATGTCCTCCTATTTTTTTTTTAAATGACGGATGCTCATCAACCCATGTAAGCTTAGAGCTCAGTAACGTCTACTTATTTCAAAAACCAAAATTGATATTAAAAAGAAATTTTCTAATATTGATAACATTGTATTTTTGCATTACAATGCACTACCTCGATGCAGATTTTTAATTGACTACCCTTAATTGTTTTTTTAAGGATCAAGCTACGATTTGCCCGACGATTTTTACTGTGCCCCGAAAAGGTAATTTTTAAATTGTTTTGTTAATATATTTTTATAAGTTAATTTTTACACCATGGCTGTGCCAGGTCAAGCTCCCTTACGCTGCTGCTGGTGTGCTCGGCTGCCTACGCGCGGCATGTGCCTATACCCCAACCTACCCCGCCTTAATCCTATGCCTTAACCTGAACCGTAAGCATTCATTTAATACAATCATAACTTTGCCTTATTTGCCTTCTTCCAAACGTCGAATTTCGCTGGTCTCGATTGCAACAGCAGGTCTTCTCCAATTCATTTGAGTTTCAGATAATTCCGTCGGCTATCTGTTATAACATCTCTATTTATACAATCATAATCATAATAATTCAGCTCTCAATATTTTTCTTTTGCTGTCCTCTTGAACTTATAGTACTATTTATAATATACAAGTTACCCTGAAGTTAATGGTGTAAAGTTCATCATTTTGAGCAATTTATACAAATTTGAGATCCGTGGATACATTGTCCAAAAGAATTGATTTTGGTCCATTGGAATGCCGCCCTATAATACTCAAAATAGTGTGCTTACATTAAATAAATTCAGGTTTATGATAAAATCCGTTGGCTCCGTTGTTGACTCCTTTATGGTGTTCAGGTTTTTCATTTCATCTTTAAATAATACCATAAAAGTTCGAAACTATTTGTTCTGGTAAGTTTTAAACCTGTAATTTTAATACAATCATAACAAAAAGCAATCCAAATTCCAAGGAACCCTCCAACGAAAATCTAAACATGTTTACTCCAACTTTTGAGTAAATCCCTATAAGCCCCTGCCTTGCTGGAATGTCTTTGAAAGTGTAGCAAAAAATGGTGCACCTGGCCGCATACCGCGCGCGCGGCCTGTCCACTTTTCAACCAATAAAAATCACCGGAATCTATAACCACGCCCACACTGCGCCGGCCACGAGCGGCTCACGTGCAGACTCGCACCACGAGCTAGCTTTTGACACAATGCGTGAAATGCGCAATGCACCAAAAGGCATGTGCATGTATGATTTTGACAAACAAATTGGCAGGTATTCACATGCTAATAACTCTGAATCAAAAGGGCTTTCGCCTACAGGAATGGAATTTCAACGTACAATAGGTTATTCAGCAATGACAAAGACTAACTCAATGTAGGCTAAAATGGACGCGATTTCGTTGGCAACAAACACACATGATTATTTCGTGCTTGTCGATACTCCAATTTTCTTTAGCTAATTAAAGAGAATTGCAGAATTGTATCGCACAATATTCAACAATGCAAAATACAACGTCATGTACAGAATGCAATACATTATGCTTATTGCAGATAACATTACATTTTTTTTTTTTACATCAATGCGATTCAAGGATCAAAGTCAAAGAAAAGAATGAATATTTTCTGACTCCACCTTTCTTCGAAATGAAGTCTAAAATGCAGGCGGATATACCATATTGCTCAAAGTGCAGAATATTGGGACGCTTTTTCCTCTTTTGGTTCTGTGTGACGGGAGGAGAAGATAAATTTTCACTCACCTCGACAGTTCCTTAATTAAAGTTGGACTTACCCCGACGAACTCCAAAAGCTTGACTTCAGTATTTTCCAAAAACGTCATTCAGATCATTCAACAAAATTATAAGTTCACAAAAATTCCATGTGTCCATTCAGTTCAGTTCAGAACAAAATGAGCATTCAAAGGAATGCTTTGCGAAGTCCAGTTCAGTTCTATAAAACAAAAGTTATGACAAGTTCTGTAGGCCTACAGCAAAGTTCAAGTCAGTCTTTCAATATGGGTGACAACGACGCAACATGTCTGCGTCGAAGCTTTGCAGTGACCCCGTACATGAGGCCGGTTTTCCGGTCGATTTGCAAGACTCCAAGCGTCCAAATTTGATGTTTTTGCGCCCATGAAGACTCCAGGGTATGGTGTACACGTTTCAGCGTTGGTTGTTTGAAGCTGGACGGCAGACTCGGAGGTTAAAGTATCAAGTTGTGCTTGTGAAATTTGAGGCAATTTTTTGCGACTAACCAAAAATTGCGGGGAAGACATTGCGAGCTGCCTGCGCCAGTGCAGTGTCCGTTGACCCGGCCCCGTTCTCGGTAATTTTCCATGGCGTAATGATATGGAGGTGAAAAGTGTCATGTTTTATATCACTGGCTGTTGCTCCGTACTGGTCTTTGCGCTGCATTGGGCCAAAGTACTCAGTGTGTATTTCTACGCATTCTAAATTTCTCCACATATACATATAAAACATACTGCCAAAAATTTATCACGTATGGAAATTGTCAATTACAGAAAAAAGAAACAAATATGATGGAATAGTCTTCATTTCCAGATGGAGTAGCATCAGTTTCGGAAAACAAATGCCCTATTTTTTATAAGACGGGAGGGCGTTCCAGGAAATATCCGTGACGTAGCACGCGTGGCTCGCGTGGCCTGTCTCTCATTGGTCAGAAGTATGTTGGTGACGTCTTCTCATCAATCTAGCTAATTTGATTGGACGAGGGAGTCTGGTTAAAAAAAATTGAGCAGACGAAAATGGTGTACATTTTTTACCGCACAAGATAACGTTTTAACCGATTTTCGGCTAGACTTGACAGACTGCTTGAAAAACAAAGCGAATCCAGCAGAAAATCTATAGAGCATAAGGAAATTTGTACCAGATTGTTAGCAGAATTCTGTAAAATCGGTGATCCTATTAAAAAATATAGCAGATTTTGTTTTGAACATGCTTCAATCACTGTAAACAAACCCTTGAATACTATACTAGCGGGGATAGGCAGGCATGTTCCTAGCGTTGAGATTCCCTGACGTGTACGACTATAAAGTAACTCAATGGAAGCTAGGCTAGACACGCGGCCAATTTAAAAAAAAAAATAACCTACTCATTTTTTTTCAAAGAAAATTCTATAATATTTTTTTATATATATATATTTTTTACATTTTATTTCTTTTTTTCTTTTCAAAGAGAAAATCGAATAACATCTATATGCGAGTATAATTGTTTTTAATGTTTAGTGTAGGCTAATTCTGGGTGATTTAGCAGATTTTTGTTAGATCTAGCAGTAATTGTAATTATAAACTGTTGCACTGTGGGGCGTGGGGGGGGGGGGGGTGTGGCGCCCTGCCCCCTGATGCCGAAAGGGTTCGTTGAAAAACAGTATTAAAATGCACAGACATGTAGGAATAAACTGTGTATTTAAGACAAAATCTAATTTATTCAATACTAAATTCAATGGAATTTATTAACATTGAACAAATAATTATTTAAATTTGGTAGGCATTCATGGGACAATGACGTCACTAAATTTTTCGCAGCCATAATTCTCTTTGGCTGCTGTGAATATTCATATTACCAATTTCACTCTGACATTGCATTTGGTATATAATTTACAGGGTGAGTAAAAAACAAAACAAAAAGGAAACCCAAATGACACCCCCTCTTTTTAAAAGAAGTTCTGCATGTAGCGCCTTTCAGATCTAGGATGTAAAAGCCCAACTAATAAGCTTTATTTTAGTAAAAGAATCGTTCATGTACTTTTCAAGTTATGGATTTTTAAACACAGTTTTATAATTTTGTCCACGGATCACAATAAACTTAAAGGTAACTGACCCCCCCCCCAAAAAAAAATCAGAACACTCTCATAACCATGATAACTGGCTTTTATCATAACCTTTATTTAAACACCTTCTGCTTCCAATGTTTTATAATATTAAGAGTTTATAGTCTTGCCCTGCCTTCTACTTTGCAACCCGGAGAGTTATGGGATTATTCTGATAGCGTTTTCACGATATGACATGGTTTCATTTTAGTGAAATATCACGTACCTTTAAATGTGACCTGCTGACAAAATTTTAAAAGTGTGTTTTTTTTATGAACAAAATTCCATAACTCAAAAAGTACGCAAGTGATTTGAATGATTCTAAAAGAAAGCTTATTAATTGGGGCTTTAAAATCCTAGATCTCAAAAGTGCTACATGCAGAACTTCTTTTCAAACTGGGACACCATTTGGATTTCCTTCTTTTTTTTTTTACTCACTCTGTATTGTGCAGATTATTACAAATTTGAAACCTTCTCATATTACAAAAACACCTTCATTAGTTAAAATTAAAATCCATCTATTGAAGCAAGTATAAAAAATATATATTGCAGGAAATATAATGACACATTAAAAGCACTTTCTGAAATAGTACACACTTTCAAAATGGACTAGTAAATGACTAATCAATGCTGACACAATTGCAAAATTAACATGTTATCAAGTAAGAAAAAAATAAAAGAAATGGAACATCTTTTCTACATGCACCTTGAAAATGGGGAAAAAATGAAAAAATTCAATTGAACGAAAAATCAAATGAAAACGGCAACATTGTCCCTTTAAAAGGTTGTGCAGAGTCAGTTTCTGATCAGGTCCAAGGATCTTGGAACCCAACGAGGTTGGACATTTGGACACGATGGCTGATTTTCCCATTTTTTTTTCTATTTTCAAGGTTTCATTCTCGATGTGTTACCATGGTTACAGAAAAACAAGAAAAGATAATAAATTCGGACTTTCTGTGTAAACATTCAACAAGTTGAACAGCACACAATATCAGTCACAACTGTATTATCTCCTTCTACCTTAAGCCACATACTTATCATTCACCCCTCATACCTACAACTTTAAAGCATTTCTATATGATATTATATATATATTGACACATAAAAAATTAGCTTACGCTATTTTAGCCTGCCAACTTTGGCAGGTAGTACAGTGCTATTAGGAAAATATTTATGGAGTTGTGGGGAAAAATTAAATTGGCTTTGATCTCAATGATAAAATATCCCTACAAGTTGTGTTTGGTCCCCAAAAGTATGAAAAGTAGAAAAGACAACACTCAAAATTGTCTTAACCAGTTCACGCCAGGATTATTTTGACAAGAACGGGACGAGGCGCGGGATTACTTTTCACTAGACCTCAAGCCAGGCGGGTTGAAACCATCACCCTTGGGCAGCACACTCACATTTCCGGCCTCGCTCGCTGCGAGCGGGTCGCTGACAGATGTTTCCGGCCTCGCTCCCTACGTGTTTATTTATCATCCATTCCGAATACCCAACTTTTGCGTGTATACACGGCCTCCGGTGTGAACTGGTTAACAATTTAAAAAGCTATGGTGCGCAAAAGGATTCTTTCTTATGATTTCTCTTTCTGAAATTTGCTTAAACATTTTAATTTGGGTTCTTTCAATAACAATTCCAATTGTTTCATTTGCCTGAATCAGCAACTTGACAGCCAAAATTAAAGAACTGTTGGTAGTTAAAACTCCTACTCTTCAAGAATATTTTGGTGTAATGTTGGTTTTTCTAAAATGTTGCTTTTTCTAAATATAAACCATAAAAATATACTGCCTCTGCTGTAAAGTGCAAAAGCTTGGCATACCATAGTCACTATACCACAGACAAGTACCTGTTACAACATCTTATATAAAGAAAACAAATTTTGACATGAAGAAAGTAATTCTTGTTGGTAGCACATCATGCCTTTTCAAGATAAGTCGACGGTGCCCAGCCCTCTTCTCCAGCAATACGGACCAGCCACCAACCGGTGTCATTTTCTTCTATCACCTCCACTTGTACTCCTTCCTCAAAACTCAATCCGTCATCGTCGTCGACATTTTCGTAGGCGGCTGTCGTCACGTAGGCATTGGAGGGCCTCCGGTCCCTGACTCCACCGGAGCTTGGAGTCTTCAGGGATTTCAGCTGGTTTTGGAGATCGGCGATTTGCGAGGGTTGGACGTTGGAGCCAGGTGTCCCAATAGGACTTCCATTTGGTTGTGCCCCTGGCTTCTTCTGACGGTTGACCAGTGGCGGTTTAGACTGACTTCTGACTGGCTTGAGGTTGGCCTGGGCATTCTGGATGAGGTTCGATCCCCCTCCAGAACTGGGCCTGAATGGTTTGGGTTGCGTCTGGGGGGTTGGTTTTAAAGCCGGTGGGGCTGGTTTGAAAGCCGGGGTGACAGGCAATGGCCTGCCGTTGTTACTTGATGGCATGGATACCGGTCTGAAAGCGCTAGCTGCACCGCTACTCTTGGAGCCTCCTGGAGTGGATACCGGCCTGAACCCACCGGTACCACTGCTGCTGCTCGTGGCGCCGCCATTGCTGATCTTTCTACCAGTTGGTGGTGGGGGTCTAGGGGGGCGGGGACTAGATTCGCCGGTCTCCTCGTCGAGTGACTCCCTATTGGATGGTTGCGGTCTGGTCTCGGCCACTGTCTCCTCCTTGGCTTCCATGTAGGAGGACGGTGCCCAGCCTTCTTCGTCTCCTATCTTGACCAGCCACCAACCAGATTCAGTCTCTTGGATAATCTGCATCAAAACAGGTACGGGTGACAAGTGCATGTTTGAAGGAATTTTATAATAAGACTCCTATGTTAGCATGGGGAATATGCATACAGGAGCTATTCTTGTTTTCAAGTAAAATGCTTCCAAAATTGGCTGCATTAAAAATCTGAGAATCTGTTTGACTGTACCTGAACTTTCTGACCACTTTTAAAGCTGATGCTATCCCCAGCACTGTCTGAGAAGTCCGCCACGGTGTAGTACTCCAAGGTCTTCTTCGTAGCTGTTGGCCGCCTTTTCCGTGTCGCTCCTTTCCTGACAGTTCTCTACAAGCAAATCATCAAATAAAAACAACTAGGTAAATACAAAAAAATATATACAAATTTCAAATTAATATTAAAATTAACCGTCTTAGTGCTCTCTTTTGTTGAGAATTATAAAAGAAAAGGGGCACCAAAATGGCTCAGTTTTAATACTGAAAGCCTTGATTCAGCTTGACTGTTAGTATGATAAGTCAATTTGTAAACTGCACAAGATACACACAAATCCGGCGGCAGCCATTTTCTGCGGTGGCCAGGTTCGCGCGAGTCACGCTCAGGTAGTAAACACACACTCCGGGCTCCTTCCACCAATAGGAATACCAAAATGCGCGTGCATCTCGTCTTTAAGAACACGTGCAGGATGCGCGTGAGCGTGACACCACCAAAGTAAAAGCTTCTAATTCTGGTCACCGGATTCCACTATATGAAAAAAATGTTGTGATACGAGGAGAATGTTTTAAAGTGTAAATCTATAAATTTAAAGCCGCCCAGAGGTTGACCATGTGACAACACAGATCAGTTAGCGACTGACTTTTCAGGATCACGCTGCACCTGAGCAGTTGGGAACATGTCATTCGCAATTTTTTTTGCGACCTGAGTGTAACTGAGTTATGAAGTCAGCAAAAAAAAGAACTTCTGCGCCGCGACTCAACGCGTTCCCGACAGGCGGCAATCTAGTGCTCACATCCGGATCATCTTATTTCACTGTGCAGCCAATTAGCGTGCAGCAAAACAGAGTTTTGTAACAATCATGGCGGCCAAATAAAAAATATGTGGCCATGGAAGATCGTTTAATTGTTATCAACACGTGCAATGCCATTACAAAGAGATCACATGATCACCTCGAACCATAGTGGGTGACATGAGCGTGGTTGCAATGTGTCAAGATACCTTTGTTCCATAATAATCATGCCATTTCTCAGTTTTGTAACTTGAGCATGACTTGTGTGCTTGATGCCAACTGTTCCTTCGCGGCGCAAGCAAATCGCAGGCTGACCTGAGGGCGGCTTTACTTGGTAACTTTTACATGTAATTGATCACTGAGGATAGTGGACAACAGGGTTGATGATGAGCTGAAGTGTCAGTGACTGATTGGCATTCAAAGGTTTCTAATGCTGGAGGGATCATGAAGAAATGTAGAGTGCACATGACACAAGATGAAGGACTAAAACATTCTTGGGAAATGGAAAACTGAGGTGGGGGGGGGGGGGGGGGGGAGGAAGCCACACAGATGAAGACAAGTTTGAGGAATAAAAGCCTCTGGTCCTGGTGCAAGGACAATGCCGTATAGCCGTCTACACAGGTTACCCGGCCTTGCTGCTACCCGGCCGCCGTGGGTTGTACCACTTGGTACTTGGTACTCTCTCTAGATGTCAAACAAGCCACAAACAGAAACAGACTATAGGTATACTTTTTCCCACGGCGGTATGGTTGACATGGTTGATGGGTTGGTGGGTGGGATGGTTGGTTGGTTGGTGGACACTACTCGGCCATATATTGTATTCATGCAACTCAAGTATAACAGCTTTGCAAGTATTACAGCTTTGCATTCGAAGACCGGTTTTGCAAACACTGTTGCGCATGTATTGTTGTGCAATTGTAGTAAAGTGTCTTTCCCAAGAACACAAGCACCATGTTCACCATCAGGTTTCGAACCCACGTTCCACAGCACAAGTCAAACACTGTAACCACTGGACCACAGTGGCCCACGCACATTTTTTTTTTTCAATTACATGTAGCTAGGTCAGCATTTTCTATACTGTGGTTACTGCTTATGGTCTCTGATCAGCAGAAAATTGTGTGCTATAAGCAGCACCGTAAAATTAAACAAATTATGAAGAGCATGACTTTCATGTACGTATTTATATGGACTCAATAATGGATGAAGACTCCCTTTCATATTACTTTGGAAATGGTAATGCTACAATTGGGCTCAAAGCTTCAAGTTGCATGCCTTGTGCTCGTAAACAAATTGTTTTTTTTATTTTGATAAATGTTCAACTAGTATGTTTTATTCAAAACACAAAACCTAATTTATCCTATTTTGGCCATCTGCACCCTCAGAAAAAAAAGTTTAGGGCAGGAAGCAGTCTAACCGTGAGAATAAACAGAATAAACTGTAAAGTAAAAATTCAATAACTAAACATGGGCCGATTTTTCGGTCAAAGTTTCATTCAAAAGTGAACAACTTTTGTAAGGAATCTATTTTTTGTGGAATCTAATTTCAGGATGAAACTTGAAAACAGCATGCGGAACGCAACACTTATGAAAATGAAATTGATTTGTGCAAGTAGACCTATGTCTTCCAGATGGAGAATGCACATGTACATGTAACGTACTACTCATGATTTTTAAACACTTATGTACACACATACATGCACACCAGAAACACAGCACAGCATGACATGCAAAGATAAATATAGCCCACATACAAAAATGACATACAAACCTCATCGTCTGTCTTTTGGCCTGGCTGCGCTCAAAGCAATGACATTAGAAGTAGGAAAAGACAGTTTGCAAGGATTATTAACCAAGGTGCAAAATTGCAAAGCACAAGAGATGGTGATTGCCAACAAAAGATGGCAGTTTGGATATTAGGCCAATATTACAAGGAAGTATTGTTGGTTCCAAAAATGTGTGTGTCCCTAAAACCTACTACGGTAAATAGAATCAGTCCAGTGTCCACAAGGCTGGAGCATGTAATAAATCAACAACACATTTCATTTGACTTCAACGATAAATATTGCATGTCTAGAAGAAGCACCCCATAAGAACTGATCAGCATGTTTAGCATAAAAAGCAAGCAACAAAACAATGGGTAAGTAAGCCTGAAAGTGAAAGGTTAGTTTTAAAATTTATAAATTATTGAGCCTAGCTGCTATTGTGAAATATTTCCGTTCAAGTGGTGGATATTACAAAGTATAACAGGCAGCTAAAATTTATCTGGATCTGACGTGATGTTGTTTGGCCATTGCTCAACTGGAGCTCGTTTGCACTTGAACCCTCAGCTGCTGAGCTCCGAAACATTCATGCACATCCAAAAGAATTTTAAGCTTTTAGCAGACATTTACTTAGATAGGATGTAACAATGGAAATATGAGGAATTCACGATTGTTTTGATACTTTTTGCCTCGCTGTAATTTTTGGGATGTCCTTAAATATGAAATTTATTCTATTTAACCAATTCGCATCAGATGATGTGTATACATGCAAAAGTTTTGCGGTAATCGGAACGGATGACAGAGAAACACGCAACGAGCGAGGCAGGAAATATCTGTCAGCGATCGCTCACAGCGAGCGAGACCGGAAATATTAGGGTGTGCTACCCGCAGATGATGGCCTGAACCTGTCTGGCATCGAGATTTGTGAAAAACAATCCCGCGCCTGGGTCTGGTCACTGTTGAAATAATCCCAGCGCGAACTGATTAAATTATTTCTGCAGTTCGTACAAAGAAGCTGTTGAGTTCAGCCAACGGCAGCCACACACTGGAGGAACTTTTGGTGGGAATTTCTGGCAAATGACTAGACTCTGACAAGAACAATTCTGACAGCCGCAACTGCCTTGTGGACTGGAACAGGTCAAATGTTTCACTGTGCTTGTTACAACAAAATAAAGAAAAACAAAAACAAAACTCAAAAAAGAAAATCTGATAACAAAACGTGTTCCTGGCTTCACTATAGTAAGATACCGCATGTCATGAATCACATGTGCGGGGTCACAAAGTCACAGGTCACAGTGGTGACGTCTTTTCTTACCCTGACAGTGGTCCGTCTTGGTGGGGTGGGTTTAGCTTCTGTGCCATGACTATGAAGATTATCTGTAAAAAGAAAAAGCAACAAACAATAAATATAAATTCTATACTATCTCATTTCTGTCTGGAAAAAACCGAATCTCTTGCGATATAATGTAATTCAATGGATTTGGTTAAAATAATTTTTTTTAGAGTAGCCTGTAATTTTTCGATTTTGAAACTTTAACTTTTATTCTTAAAAATTATTCAAAAGAAATGACCTCAAACAATGTTGAACATTTCTAAAACGTCCATCTTGAAATCATCTTGAAATGTAAAGCCTAGTTTCCATATCGACGTTAAGCTTATGCAGACTGGGCAGACAGTGCACGAAATTGTCAGTAACAGGTTCAACTTTGCCGATCCTCTGAGAGATAGTTGTGTCTGTTTGGATTGTCCTTAACATTTGCGGATAAAATGTCTCCATACGTGTGAGTTGCAGTTTGGGTCTTGTTTATGCTGCTCTGTGCGTTTCTTACCTCGATATGGAAACTAGGCTTAAGCCCTCCCTTCAAACAAGAACTGTCCCTGTGTATATGTACATTTGCGTCAAGACGTTTCATCCTATTTTATAATGTGATACCTTATCATAATGTACCGACCTTTTCTTCCGAGCATGGGGCTGTTCTTTGACGAGTCCGCAGCCTGGCGCCTGCTGATGATGTCAGAAACACTCATCACATTACCAACACGCTGGGTCGGGGTGCTAGCCGTCACATCCGCGGGGCCGGTGTAGACCTGTAGAAAGGCCGCTGGTACCCACCCAATCTTCTCCTTGTACCTGCAGCATGAATTCAAGCAGTTACTACCGTATACAGGCATGACAGGGCAAGTAAAAAAACCCGCTATGACCCGGGTTCGATTCCTGCCCAGGCCACATATGGATTGTGTTTTCAGTCCCTGCCTGATTCCGTGGGTTTCCCCAGAACCTTCGTCTGTGGTTTTCTCCCATCTCCAAAACCGTTCTTTCTTCTCACTGTCTTTTCTCCTCAGGTTTCTTCAGGCTTGTGAGCTTAAAGTGCCTTGGGCGCTTTTGAGGATTCCTTGGTTTCATTACCAGAAATAAATAATAATAATAATTGTAACCATATTACTGGAATGCTTCCACACCCATCATGCCCATGGGAAAATCAGAAAAATTTCAAATCATTCTATGCATGTGAAACTTACAAAGTCTAGAAATGGATGGTGGATTGGTTTTACAACAGGTTGCATTTTAATCTGCACGGATATATTCGTCCCTGGCCTTAGTTGGCCCCCTACGTACTGACCTGACTTTCCACCATCCATCCAGACTCTTCTGCATCACAATCAAGACCACGCCCGTTTCAAAGCTGACCTCATCCTCCTGCTGTGCCTTGTAAGAATTGTTGCTGATATAACGCTCCTCTGAAAAAAACCACAAAGACATATGATTTCATTTCAAACTGCCGTGCGTTCAATTCAAGAATTAAAAAACGCTGCCAACATTTGCGATCTGTTTTTTTTTTGCATAGCCAATAAACATGATAGACTTTTCTCACGGTACGCCATCTTGAAAATCAAAGCAAGGCAAACAAACATGGCGGCCTAAAAAGTGCACCACCGTGAATGAGTGACTCTTGCAAAGTTACAGCAGAATGACAATCTTAGAAATGGATGCATAGCTCAAATATCCCCAAAATATCAATCTATATTCTAAGTAGGTCATGTCTCATTGCATTTTAAAGAAGGATCGGATTTATAAAGCCTAAAATCGGTGGCCAAACTGAAATGAACATAGTAGCATACCCGTACCACCCCCAGCGAGGCCGTCTTCATCATCCCCTCCATCTGCTCTGCTCAGAAATGTCGCCGGTGCCCAACCCTGAGAGTCATTGGAGCTAACAAACCACCAACCTGCATACAATACAATCAAGGTACATTATGTATATATCCTAAAGAGAGCGGGAATCCATAATTTAGCATAAGTTTCACACATCCTTTAACCCTAAAGGGGCCGGGGGGGGGGGGGGGCGGAATCCGCCCCCCCCTCAACATTTTTCGCGATAGCCTCTAAAAAATTTTTTTTCGCGACCCGAGCTGTTATGACTTTTTAGCCTCGAGCTTTGCGCATCTTTTGATACCAAAAACATAAAAATCGGACCACAGGTTGGCACGTAGCGAAACATTTTCCGGCGCTATGCGCCGTGAAAACTGAATTTTCCCATATACGTCATGTACACCGAGCAGAATTGCCATTCATACATATGAATAATTAATTAGCCATAATTCCAAAACCCTTTGACCTATAGTCATGAAATTTCTTGGGCATGTTGAGGAAGAGTTGCTCTATGTATGTGCTGAGTTTCAAAATTTTTCGTCACTCGATGGCCGAGATCTTAGGGGGGGGGGGGGCGGAATCCGCCCCCCCCCCCCGGCTGAGAGATGGTCAAAATAACCCGGCCCCTTTAGGGTTAAAGGGATATCAGTACTACGTTTTGGAATGCACCCAATTGAGCAACAAAACACACCCCCCCCTTTGCTATATGCTCCGCATGGAAAGTTATTCAATTCATAACATACTTTGCGAAATTTCAGAGTTTGAAAATGCAAATGTGACTGACCATTATCGTTTTTCTCAAAGACTTCCACATTATCCCCAGTGTGTAGATCCACCTCGTTCTTCTGTTGCTTCTTGTAGTCTGCTATCACAATGTACGGGTCTGGCTGGATGGGATCCGAGATCACATCGATCTCTGCCAAACATGACCAAAAATGTCAAAAATATTCCATCAAGTATAAAAGGAGCGACACAGAAAAAATTCATTTGTTTTGAAGGTAATATACATTTCCTAACATCAAAAAACAAAACTACCAATCTATTATGAAATACCTTTCTTGACTGTATGTGAATAATAGTCTCAAGCATCCTGTGAAATCACGGCACCTTGTGTGCTGTCATTAAGAAGAGTGGAATTTTTGTATCCATTTCCAACGATGGAGAAAACTGACTTTTTTTTCCAAATAGGCCCTATTAACCCCAGTTTACCAAATTTAGTTTGATTACAATCAGTTACAGATCTGCATCTAAACTACATCCGCATACATGGTTGTTTAGCGACCTCTACGATACGTTTAGTTTTTTCCCCCATGTTTTGGCGAGCAGTGCGATAGCTCAGTCAATACAGGGTCATGGTTTTGCACTGCGAGGTTGCGGGTTCGAATCATCGTTTTGCATCCAATTTATTTTTTACTTTTCTAACCTGAGGCTTCGGAGAATTGTTTCTAAAAGGGAAATAATGTCCGAATTTCATTACGTTCGAATTCGCTTTTTTCTTCTTCTAATTTTATATTTTCTTCTCATGTTTTTAGGAAAGTCAAGTCCAAAACGCCATAGCGTACACCCATATGCAGTCCTTCTGTTTTGAGGCGTGCGATCACACCCCCACGCCATCACACGCCTAAATGCTTCCTGAGAAGTGTGAATAATCGCACGCCTGAATCCCTCAGTACGGCACACCTCGGCATACATTTACGGCATAATTATACTTCATAATTTGTGAAAAATAAAGTACGTCTGTGAAGAGAATATGGCTTTATTGTAAACCAAGATGAATATTTTGAAAAACAATACCAGATTGGTCAGTCCCAGCTTGGACCACAGAATCACACGCCTAGAAAAATCACATGCCTAGAAAAATCCAGGTGTGCGTTTTTCCACACACCTGTGATTTTCAAATCAGAAGGACTGCATATGCGGATGTCATTTGGGAGAAAAAAAATTTGCGACCTGGCCTTGACCTTATGTGAGGCAGAAAATTGTCCCTCTTCTATTTGCAATTTAGCTCACCTTTTGCACCTTTCTTTATCACACCCCTGTCAAAAAAAAGAAAGCAATGTTAAATTATTTCAGTCCAATTATCATTAAGTTTTAAAGGTACATTAAAATTGCTATAGGTTGTGCAATAACTAACCTTTTAAATTTGAGCTCACATGACTTTACATTTTGAGAAAATAGAGAACACATTTGTGCAACTTTTGGAGGGTCTGGTAATTGGATTCAATTGGCAAAACACATAAAAAAAACACCTTCTGTGATTGTTATATTTTGGTAAAAACAAAAATTGGCAGAATGAGGCCCAGCCATGCCAGCCCTATCCTTATGTGAGCAAGTTTTTTTGCAATACAGTATGTAGGTGCATTTTGGTGTGTTACAGGGAAGACACAACATTTGCAAACATCAAAAAACTAAAATGATCAAATTATCACAAAATACCTTACTGGATTGTTAGGGAATGACAGCCTAAGCATCCTGTAAAGTTGAGAGTCCTGGTGTACTGACATTTTCAAGAAAAACTGTATTTTTCCAACACTGGTCAGCCGACCAGCGTTGGAGAAAACTGGCTTTTTTTCAAAGAGAGCTCCTCACATTTCATATTTAGTTCGTCTGCATTTTCTTTGCAATTGATTACACACCTGTAAAGAGGTGCCTGCTAGACTGATTCTCTGATCTTACAATTCACCAAAGACTATAAATTGCTCCGCTTCATTAAAGTGGGCTCAGGAAACCAGACTACAAGAACATGATCAGTTTTCTTGGTTTTTCCAGCATCTACGAACCCAAAACGTGAAACAAGTCAGTGTAACAATATTTGCTATAACATACTAATCCTCCAAATTTCTGAAAATTGCAGCAAAAGCAAATGTTGTACATTCCCTTTATTTGATACATGTACAAGCCTTTCACTTTCTTGTATCAATTGAAATAAAACTGATCTATCCATATTGTGCATGTTATGTACACATCATTTAGTGGTGACGTCACGACTATTAACTTGTGTTTTGTCATCCGATCGTTATGGACCGTGGCTGCCACAAGTCAATGCGGTACGAGATCCCATGTGCACTGTGCACAGTGAACCGTCACACAACTGATCTATGTAGAAGGGTTATTTGTTTACATTACAAATTTGCTATGGGCTCTGCACACAATTATACCCCCTAGAATCAAAGGGAGACTCGACCACTTTGGGAGACGTGTTGCTGAAGACGCCCGACGCTCAAATTTAGACCCCATGGGTTTGTGCACATTCAGCCAACAAGTACACGCACGCTGTAAATCCGTCCCAGCGGCTCTCAAATGTTGGTGGAAAAGCACCCTAAATGTTCTTGTTCGTACACGTATTTATAATTCAAATTTCCAAAAACATTTAAATTTGCATGTGAGTTGTTCACTGATACGATTAGACGGCATACACATGACTTACTCAGCATGTATGGGCATACCCTCACAACACATACACTGTGCCATAAAATTTGCATTTGAATTTCAAACTTTCAAACACCTAACTCTTAATATTCTACTACATATAGTTTAGATCTCTGATTTTTTGGGGAATTTCAAAAACAATTATTTCTTGAAAAATAATAATGATGATCACACCAGAAAAAACATCTCAGTCAAGCACCAGACACAAGAGAATTGTTTACATTTGAATGGGTTCTACGAACACACTCGACTTCCTTCTCAAAACAAATGCTCCATATCGCTTCCTGAATTTGAGCTTTACACAGTGCAGTCGTGAACTATTGTGGATTTAATCCTTGGATTAATGAGGATCAAATCTTGGGGCAGGCTGCTTGCATGGCTTAATCATGTTAATGGTGCATGTGCCAACACAGACAGGGTCATAAGATGAGGAAACTTGAACAAAACATCATGATACGGTACTAGCTTTAATAGGCATGGCCGCTGATCTGGCAAAATAAGATGGGATTGGGCACGTGCCATCCTAAAAAAAATTGAAGGAAAACTGAATGAGAGTGAATTTTTTTTGATTTTAAGATTTATTCATATTCGTAACCTTTGATATACATGTATGTCCCTCTGCCACACATACATTAAAGATATACCGTAATTTTCGGAATATAAGCCGCGCGGCGTATAAGCCGCAGCACGGTAGTATAAAATATGTAGAGTCAAAGGGCGGCTTCAAAGTATTTCTACGGGCGGAATGAGGAGTTAGCATAATGATAGAAGATTATCTGTGAGTTGAGTGTGTACCGTGAGCTGTGTGCCTTTTCTAATCTTGAAAAAGGGGTGTGGAAGATTGCGATAAAAGAAACACCTTTATTAAAAGTAAGTTCTAAGTTTCTATTTTCTACAAAGGTTATTTGAACTATACCATTCTATCCCAAAATGTGTACATAAGTCCCATATAGAAAGTGAATGTCCAATAAAGAATGTGTCTACGCATTGTTCTATCATACAATGAATCCAGCATGTGACCACGTGCATCAATGCACTTACCCTGTGGTAGGATCTTCTTCAAAGGTGTCGCTATAATTGACGTACAAAAATTATGATTTACTTTGTAAAAACCTGCTTTTAAAATTCCATGTGTGCATGCGGGGTCCACCAACAAGACAAACAATGTACATAAATGCCAGCGTTGGTGGCGTGTTTCCATCAGACCCCTCCACAGCTGTATCTCAAACTCCAAAATTGTTATTTTGTATTTTTGATTTATGATTATTGTAATTTTTTTTTTTACTAATGCATGGTTTGACCTCAAAGATGCTCTACAGACAAATCTGGCAGTAGCCATTTTCTGCAGTTGAGCAAGGCTCGTGCGAGTCTCGCTCAGGTAGTACAGATGTACGCCAGGCTCCTTCAACTAATTGGCATGATAGGAATACCAAAATGTGCGTGCGCCTCGTCTTTAAGAATGCGTGCAGCATGCGCGTGAGCGCGACACCACTGCAGCAAATGCACCTATTTCTGGTTGCTGGATTCAATATATCACAAGAATATAACAGATACTTGTCTGACCTTTCTGTTACTGGGTTAATATCTTCAGCAGTAGGAGTGAAAAACTGCAGTACTTCATCGCTTTCGGAAATCTTGGGGGGCAGTCTCACCAACAACTGTGACAAAAGAAAGAAAAACTTATAAAATGGTTGTACGATACTGACATTTAAAGGCCCATGTAAAGGAGAAATGGGGGAGACCTAGACTGGTTCGAATGAAGATAAATTTGAACGCATTCAAATGCATTAAAAAACTGACGACGCCTGACGCTCACACGAGACTCTGTGGCTATGCCTTGGAACATTCAGGAAGTTGTGTGTACTTAGCACGCGAACCAGTACCGTACAGTACGCACGTACACACTGTGTGTCCCGTGCATGGGGCTCTCAAAAGCGGTAAAAAGACGCCCTCTTTTGTTGACGCATGGAGCCCATTATATGCCCCATTTGTTTTTATTTTCAATCCTTGAAATTCTTGAAATCTATATTCATGACAAAAGCTCTGATGAAATTGTTGGCGGATTATTAAACATCAGTGTTACAGCTGTTTTAGCATCAATTTCAAGCTTCCTATAATTTTTGGGGCTTTGCCACAGTAAATTATTTTGGGGTTTGGTGATACATTGTTGTATCAATACATGAACAAAAAGTTCGTTAACAAAATCAATGCACAAATGTTTATCAGTAACCAAGCATATTTGTTCCACAATTCGACTTAAAAAAAAAAATCGCTAATCTGGGGAGTGTGTTCCTAAAGTGACATCACAGAAACAGCGCCCTCAGTTGTCAGAAAATGCATGGAAAATTGTAAATGTTAAAAAAAAACAAGGACTTTAAAAATAAAATTTACCCCAAAAAGGATTTCTCATAGAGTTTACACATGTTGGGGGAGTGCACACACAAAAGTTCCAGTGTGGACTTAATGCCGTGAACCCTTTAATGACTGGCCATACAAGGGCAATGCATCTTTGTGAGTAGGGTGCATTCACACAGAATGTACATGTATGGTACCAAAAATGCTTTTTGTTTCCTGTAAAATATTTTGTGTGTGTGTGGGTGTTTTATTTGGAATGAATCAGCCATCTCCAGTGTCCTTGAGTAGAGTGATAGGTACACAGTGTATACAGAAGCCTATGGCATGTATGCAGCCAACACCTACTTGACAATATTCATTCAGTTGACCCAGTCTCCTGGAAGCTACCTCCCTGGTCTGACTCCGTCCAAACAGCTTCTTGCCTGCAAACACAAAAAGTAACAAAAGAAATAAAGCATATGGGCAATTCAGTGGTAACTCATATTATATCTAAAGGGAGTCTTTCATCAACCTTTTCAAAGCATTGACAATGTAGGGCGGAGAATTGTCTCATAATCCCTTGAAGTTTCAATGACTAAACTACACAAACAAGAGGGCAACAAAATAAATTTCTGTTGCAAGAAGCAACCATGCACTTTTTAAAACTACATGTATACAAAGGCCTGCAAATGCGAAGAAGCAAATTTATTTGTTACAGGACTTTCTTTAAATTTCGTTAGGAAAATAAAATCAAAAATTAAAAAAAAAACATGTACATACCTAATTTAATTTAATGCTCTATCCAATTAATATAATTTCGTTTCAAATGCATTGTGTGGCCCAATTGACATATCGTGTTAGAATCGCGTCAACGCAGCTTGTGAAATTACATGTTTTGTAATTGTCCAATTAGGCCTACATGTTTCACAAATGGACCCGGGACGCGCACAATCTGAGACAACAAAACTAGTGTACAAAAACTCCATAGGGTTGTCTAAGGGGCGTGGCTAACTCGCAAAAGACGATAGGTCAATTGGGCGCATTCTACGCTGTAATGTCCCTTTACTTGCAACAAGTTGGGGGAAAACAAGTGCGAACTCGTGCACAGTAAGACTCTGAAAGTCTTGCATGACTAGAATTCAATCAAAAGGATCCCTGCCAGAGCTTAAAAATGTGACACCGAAAAAATGTGATGCCGATGGCACGTATGGAACACCATTCTTTTGGTCCATTTTGGGGGACAGACAGACAGACCAACTGACCGACCACCATGTAGAAGCTTCTGCCAGAGTTTTAAAACATGCTGCAAAAGCAGGTTTTTTTTTGTTTTTTTTTAAATTTTATAACACTGTCTGAATGAAACATGCATGAAATGAGAAAAATCTGCTGATTCATGAAAACTTCAGTGAACTTCAGTTTTCCACTTGATGAACTTTGTAGAGTTTTTCGTTTGAATGCACATGCATGCAGCCGAATTGGGTGGGCTGGTCTAAATTGTTTTTAAATCAGCTAACAGGAAACTGTCACATGTCAGGCAGCACATATTGAACAGTGACAAGGAAGTTGAATGTTCACAAAAGACATGTAAACACTGTGTAGACTGTAGAAGACGTGTTTGGATTCTTGCTGGTCACTTAAAAGGGCTTCCCTTATAAATTAACACAGAGATCATTTTGTCAGGGTCTACAGGGTGGTGCAAAAAGAAGGAATTTTCACCTACTTGTTGAGCATAGTTCAAACATTCAATTTAATGGTATTAAAATATTGATCTTTAAACATGTGTATAAATGACGAAAACATTATTGCAAATGCATATTTTGTCTCTGAGATGTGGTAGTTTAAAACTTTCATGTGCCAAACCTGTTTGTCCACGGACGGCTTTATTCCATCCGCTTGACTGAGCTCCGGAGCTTGATTTGAAGACCAAAAACACCATTATTACACTAGACTTACATGACTTACACGTGCACAACAGTGATTTTGGTGACTTGTATTTAAAAAAAAGCATAATAACACTAGTCTTGCGATTTTTTTAAAGATTTTTTCACCACGTATGGTGGAAGAGCTATACTTCACTGCATTATTTTTTTTTAAAAAGTTCAAATAAGTTAAAGTAAGTACCTAGTTAAAATTCCTGTCAAAAGTTTCCTTCTTTTTGCACCACCCTGTAAACGTACTTGTAGCCTTGTAGGATTCTGAAGGATCTGGCAGAAATAAGCAACCATACCAACGTGATGTGCCCCACAATGTAACTGAACAATCATACATCATACATGTAGTTCACAATTTTCATTTGGTACAGGTTTCAAAGACTGAACATAAGTTTTGGAAAGTCATTTTCACTTTCAATTTCCTTTTCTTTTAGAAGAGAAAGTAAATAATATGTACCGGTACATTTTTAATACAATGTACGCATGTTTGACCTCTTGGCTACTCAAATTCTAGTAACAAGCTGAACATCATCCGGCATGACAACTGTAAACAGGAGCGCCAACTCACCAGGCAGGAAAGGGATCATTCGCTGGGTAGGGTTCCTAGCACCGGCTTCCTCAGGAAATATACTCAGCAGTTTCATCTGAAAAATAAACAAAACAAATCACGGCTGTATAGGCATCTGTTGTTTAGGCATGCAACTGGGAAATCACCCAAAAAAAAAGAGGAAATTCAAATTTTTCCCAGACTTTGTACAGTATTTTTCTATTTTCAATGGCACACATGGGAAGTAAACAAAGAGGAAATCAGCTGATCCGAGGAAAAGTAATTGCATGCCTGGTTTTTAACAGAACAATTCGATAAACATACATTTTACAACGTTTTGACTGCAATTTCTACTTCTTGAAGTTGTGTACTAAACAGCTAAGCATACATTGTAAGTTGAAAAAATACATATTTGGAGAGTTCAGATTTTCAGTACCTGAAAGTCAAAGAATTTGCTGTATCTGCGATAGACAACATTGACTGAGCCATCCGACCATGAAACGTGAATAACGTATTCCTGCCAAAAAAAATTAAATACAAAAAGATGTTATTAGGAGGTTGTATCACCATGATCGCCGATGTAAATTGCATGATCGGTCGTTTGTGTAAGAAACCTCAGACTTAACTCACCTTTCGGAAAACAATCCTTGAAACGGTGATCGACCAACGGCATTACATGTATCCCATATGTCAAAGAGTTAATATTTATAAACTACAGGGTGAGTCCAAAAAAAGCGGAACCCAAACCCCAAAAATTATATTTCATATCTAAGCAAATATGTAGCAATAAAAATAATAATGACTGGAAAGCCAATTTCATAAGATTACTGAAATTAGTCAATCCATTCACAAAATATCACCATTTAAACGCAATGACTCTAAAACCTGTCTCGTCCAAAAAAATGCGATTTCAACAATTGTCGTCACACTTGTCTTCAAACATCACCAGCGATGAAATCTTAGTTTAAACGTTAACAATATGCAACAAAGTCCTTTTGAAGGCCCGTCTGTTAAAAAAGTAGATTTTATAAATCATATTGTTTGCCTAACCAGGGTTAACTTGTTAATCAAAATATTGTGTGCTACGGTTGGTGACAGCTGTTGAAACAAGTATTCTGTGTCATTTTCTTTGTTGTTCCAAACAGTCAAAACACCCAAAAAATTGAGCAATTTTGGTATTTTTTTTTTTATCTAAAAGTAGCTTTTGAAATTGTCTTTCCAGTCATTATTATTTTTGGTGCTACATGTTTTTTTTAAATATGAAATACATTTTTGGGGGTTTGGGTTCTGCTTTTTTTGACTCACCCTGTACATGTACCCTGAAAAACTCATTCAAGAGTGATTGAGAAACAGTTCAAACATGCCAAACTTTGTTGAAATAGCTAAGTAAACAAGTTACAAATTCAGTGAAACTACATTTACATGTACATGTAGGGGCCTACATGTACTATCAGTGCAACAGTTCCAGATCAATATACATGTACATGTAAAATGCTGTACACCCGCTCATGTTCGGGGTTCCGTGTCTGAGTGATTTCATTTCATAGTAAAATTCCTCCTCTTTAAGTTAAAACCAAATGTGTTGACACAGTCTCAACTTAAAGGGAAATGATCACGCTTTTGTACAGGACTCAACCCGACAGTTGCGGGTCACTTTCGAAAGTTCAGGTTCACGCCCACTGCGCTACCTGGTACATGTACAAATTCATCATTTACTGCGCGCTCAGCAAGCACGCAACACGCCTTCATCATCTTAATTGCACACAAAACTGCATCATGTGCATGGGTGATCTGCAACTGTCGCACACGGGCATAAAAATCTTTCGACGAATACGGCAGTTCAGTTAATTCAAATGCCTAAATCATTATTACTCAGTGACATTTGAGAATATTTTTCTTTACAAGAAAATATATTGAAGGAAAAAAAACACGTTTTGCCTTGTAATAGGCGCTTCATTCACAGGCCAGTTACAAAACAAGCAGATATTTCGCTGAACTTGATTGTGGGTAATGTTAAGTGATTTCCAAATTTTTTACCCGACAATTTGCAAAATGATAGACCTTCAAATCACAAAAAGTTTGGTTACACTTGAATTAATTTCTATTTAATCAAGTGATCTGGAAGGCCTACATGATGTAGGCCTATAGTTTTTTTTTACCAAAATGCCATTTCACAATCTGTCTTTTGACATTTTGTAATATAAGTATGCACATTTATTTTATTTGTCTCCCCAATCTAACCTTTTAAACTTCCCACTGTTTGAACAGTCACAGTCATGCACAGGTACCTCTGTAAATAATGTCACACTTGGAATATAGACACAAAATAGACGGGTACATGTTCCAAGTGTGGCCTTTATTTATGGAGGTAACGTTAGTCCATTAAATTGGCCACATTGGTTGGGGCTAGATTAGGGCTAGTAACAAGCCACTTCACCATTCCAATCGCGCATGTGCGTTACCTGCTTGACGACCAGTTCGTGAGAGATAAACAAAGCAGTTGAATGCACACAAGTCTATGGGGGATGTGGCAACCGAATCCGCATTTGGCAATTTTTTTAGCTAGTAGTAAAACAGAAGATGGAAACTTTTGTTCGCACAAAAGTTGGAGCATATAAAACATCAAACCATGGTGCCATTAACAACAATTAACTTCAAAACAATATCGTTTCTCTGATTTTGTTGGAACCTTGCTATGATTTTGCACGCGCGTGGTGAACTGTTTATCTCTCGAAATTGAATCTGATGTGCACAGGCGCAGTTGAAATAGCGAAATAATGACAACAAAGGTACATCATAGCTTGAGTAACTCCAGCTGACATGCTCATATGTAGACCCGTGAACGTGGCTTGTTGTATACAACGTCCACGTTCACGGGTCTAGCTCATATGATGTGAATGAATATGAGCATGTCAGCTGGAGTTACATGTACTCAAGCTCAAGCTATAAACTTACATAATGTTTTGTAGGATACTTCCTTTTCTGGATGTCATCCACAATGGCGTCTTGCACTGTCCTCCTTCCCATCTTCTCGAATTTAATTCACGTCCACTAAATATATTCCTTTGAGTTTTAATACAGGCTGCGGCAACGTCACGAACGGTTTACCTTAATAAACAGAACGGTTGACCGTACAATTTACAAAGTACAAATGTTATTGATCACTGCATGAGTGTGCATATAACAGTGATTAATATTTAACTAATTCCGAGCCTACTAGACAGTGTTTTTCACGATGTACATGTAAACATGTCCATTGTACACTAATTACTATACAAAGTACGTACGGATGACGGATGCCTTCGGAAGATTTTTGAATGTGGTGTGGCGATGTGTGTTTTCATCTGTTCATCGTGATCGTACTGCGAGCATGCAGTACGTGCGTGTTTACTTCCGCATGTCAGCGCGCCATAACCAAATAATCTCGAGAGAGGGCGCTCTTGTGGGCCACCAGCTTTAATTTTGGTCTCCAGTGCTGATCTTTCTTGACGTCTTCGTCAGATTTTGTAGTCTAGTTTCATACTAAATAAATGATAAATAAAACATCAATTGAAGGTAGCTATTGAAACCCAGAGGTAGGTATTATATCTGATTTTCATCTTGCGGGGTTTCATGTGGTTGTTATTAGTTATTATTGGTTTTTCACATGGGTTTTTTACCTCTCGTCTGTGATTATTGGTTCGTCATTTTGTTGTTCAACACGCACTCAGCTCCCTCAGCTAGTCCTACATTTTTTATACTCGCAGTCGCACTGTGTACTTTTGGGAAACCCAACACTGGCTCATGACATGATAAGCTGGGGGAATGGGGCTCTTCGCCATCATATAGGGACAAAATGTTGAGGAAAACATGTTGCAACCTTATAATTATGCAACTTCACTGAGCGGTTGTGCACAAATAATGCCAACTGGCCAATGGAGAGTCGAGAAGATTTTCTAATCCTAACAAAATTGGAAATTATGTTTCTCAGTCCCAGATTCATGTGACATGTCATCATTTTTGCAATGACTGACCTTCATTGACATGATATATGAAGGAAAAAGGGAAATAATGTTGCAACCTGACGCTACTTCAGCAGTTGTGTACAAAGTCTATGGAGAGTCAAGAAACTTGTCTAAGTTAGTATTTCCTAACGAAATTGAAAATGTTTTTCAGTCCCAGATTCATGTCTTATTGTCATTTTTGCAATGACTGACCTTCATTCATTATTGAGATGATATATGAAGAAAAAAGTGGCGTCAGGTTGCAACATTTTTTCCCAGCTTTTTTAACATCTTTTTGAGGTGTTTCCACAGCTCTTTTAGCGGTCATACTAAAAAGCGTCAACACAGCGTCAACACACTCCAAAGCGTCAACACAGCGTCAACACAGCGTCAACACACCCAAAATGCATTAAAAGTGACAAAAGCAGTATGTAGCCCATATAGTATGGTCAGAAACAAGATTTAGGCTTAAAATTAATAGGTTAAACGTCTGAAAATTGCGATTTTCAGTTCAAGAAAATTGGCTCTCCGTGCCGCTCCGAAATCGGCTGCCATGTTGCCTCAGTGGCAGTGCGGACCATACCATTATGCTAAAGGGTGATAGCGTTGTACAATAAACCAACTGAGAGGGCGCAGCCGGCCAATAACAAAAGATGTCCATTTCAATAAAGTAAAAGAAGCATTAACACAATTCACAAAATAATGATCCACCACTCCGATCCTCAGTCCTCACCATCTGGTATCCCTCTGTTGTTTATGACAAGATATGTCATTACCTACACACCCCTACTTGAAATGGTGTAGTCCAAGCTTTGTGCGAAGTCAAGATGGCGGCAACGGCCGTGCGAGTGAAAGGTCATTTTTTTCGCGTGAAAATACTATATTTTTAACAACGAAATGGAAACCCAAACCAATGGAAATTCTCTTTTGTTCTATGCTTTACAATTATATACCATTTTTGTTAATTCAGAATGTGTTTTGGATGTGTTGACGGTGTGTTGACGCTTCTGTCATGTGTTGACGCTGTGTTGACGCTTTTTAGTGCGACCCCTCTTTTAGTGGTCACTCACACCCCTGAATCAAGGACAAGGAAACACTTGCCAACCCCCCCCCCCCCCACCATTTTGGCGATCGTGTAGTGTAGGGCCCCTGTTTTGTTTCGATCAAATTAGAATCAAAAATTTATTTTGTTCCTTTGACATTGTCCTGTTCTATACATTTCATTGAAGGATTTTACTCGTCTGTAATGTTTGAATAATTTTATTTATGTATGTATTTGTTTTGACAACACCGAAACGAAAAAGCTCCGCATGTACACCATTTTCACACATAGTCCGAAAATTTGGGACTCTCAATACTGTGTATGAGAGTCCCAAAACTTAAGGCATCCATATCGTGCAAAAGTTCGTGCTGCATAATAAAACCAGTGTGAATCAAATTTGCAAGCTTCTTACTCACTACAGTTTCCTCAATAATCCCTGAAACTTCTGCCTCGCAAAGTTGCTGTTGTGAGCATTGCATCACCAAAAATTCAGCTTTTAATTCTAATTTTGCAGAGAGTTATCGAAATCCAAACGTGAGACATCACGTTGATGTGTACTGCAATGCATTGTGCAAAAAAACTCCCTAGCTAGAACATTTTCATCGTGTAGATAAAACAGCGCCCTCTTGTTGATCTGAGTGAATGTAGAATGTTTCATTTTTTAACAGAGGGCGCTATGTTCATTTGGCCATCGATTAAAAAACAAGTGAGCTGCAAGGCTCTTCCTACACCTACCCAGAATACATTGGGAATCACACAACCATTTCCAGAGCATGGAGATTGACGTGGATGGTTTTTGAACTGCCAAAAACTTGCCTTACAGTTGGATTTAAGGTCTCAAATTTCGCAGGTGACATGCTTGCAACTATAGCATTTTGATGTATGTGTTGTGTTGGCATTAATTAGCCTGATGGTGAGTAAAAAAACGTCAGTAGTAATTTTGCACGTTTTTATGCACTCACGGTCCCAGTCTGGTTCACACACAACTGTGATGTTATTTTATTGTAAAGTTTCACGCTTTATTGTCAGGTGCCACTTTTTTGTCAACGGTAACAATTTTTTTGTCGACGGTAATTTTTTTGGTCAATGCCAGTTCATTGTCCCATACTTAACTTTTAGTACATGTAGGTTAATAGCCCTTGATAGTTACACAATACCTACAGCAAAACAGTCTACCGGCCCATAGGGACAAAAATGACTGATTGCTTCATGCAACTGTGCGTGCAACTTTTGACCGATACGGCACGTAGTTGCAGGTGACAGTTTCGAATATCCGAACATTCGGTTGAACTCAGTTTTAAGTAATCGAATACTAAATTATTCTTAAAATGAATAGCCCTAAAGTTTACTAAATTTTTTTTTTTTTTTTCATTTTTTTAACAGTGATTTATTACAAGAGATTGCTGCAATTGCAGCTCCTCGCCAAGTATGGATGAAACGGACCTGTACTCACTGAACGCAGTCAGTGACTACATCACAGAAAACCTAGATGCAAAGTACATCTCGGACCAGCTCATCGAGAAGGAGGTCTTGGATGTCGACCACGACGAAGAAATTCAAGCAGAGAAAACAGCAAAGGTACAATAAAGACCATGGTACTGACTGATTTTGCAAGTTGATCTGATGCAAATTTTCATTTTATATATTTTTCTCTCTTGAAGTTGTGGTAGTTTCACCGTAGACGACGAGCATTTTTTCCATTTATTAACCCTAACTCCCTAGGCATTTTTGCTAGGATGCAACCTCAATCCTGCAAAATCATCCGACTGCCTCCATGTAAAAATTGCACACAGCCTCAATCCTCCAAAATCCTCTATTAGTTCTTGAATGTGGTCCTTGGAGGGGTGACCACTGCCTCAAACCTGCAAAATCCTCCAGCAATCACTGCCAATATGTTGAGGCAGAGCCAGTGACATCCTGGAGCAGTGCGGAGGATTTCAAGTATAATCTAGGCATAAATTTGTGCACGGCTTAACATAAACAACACAAGGTCCGGCCTGAGACCTTGACACAGTGCATCCTCCAAAATCAGCCACACATTTTTGCCATGTAGCCTCAATCCTGCAAAATCTTCCATTTTGCAAAGAGGAGGATTTTTGAGGATTTGGAAAGGTTAGGGTTAACCCAATAGCCCTTGAACCAGACTTGTATTTGAGTCACCAGGCATCGAGTCCGAGTTTGAACCTAGTACACCAGGAACAAAAATACGTCTTCTTGATGTCAAAGTTTCATTTCTATTAATTCCACAGCGGAGGACAGAAAGACTCCTTGAGATTCTACCCAACACTCGACAGGATGCCTTAAAACTTTTCAAGGAGGCCTTGGAGAAAGACTACCCGCACATCGTGAAGAAACTTGATGAGGTCCAGGTTCCTGTTCAGAGAACAGGAACCAAACCCGGTAAGGGTAAGTCGAATGACCTTTGAAACTTTGGCCAGTGGACTTTATGCACAAGTTCATGTGTACCCCCTTTACCTGTTCGTGCCGGAGGCCGTGATAATTCACACACACTGGAGGCACGGCTGACGGATTAAGATGTCATGATTGCCTTGACTCGCCTCCGGGTGACGTCTAAACATGCTAATTCCTCGTGCCTTTTGTACACACACAAAAGTCCATGTAGTCTGTGGAGGCGGACCGTCGTGTTGGCCGTTCAAATTCAACACGAAAGTACCGGTACATGTATGTTCACCCCAACAAATGCATTTGTTGCTTCCGTAGGGGGATTGTGTACAGCAGCTGCAGCAACATCAGCTACAGCAACATCAGCTACTAAAGTAGCATCCAGCACAGACAGAGGCGTCACCACAACCACTGCAACTCAGAATAAGATCACGTCCCGAACCACCAATATCAAAGGAAACAACAACATGGTCATCATCGGAGGATGCAACACAACAATCAACCACTATCGTTAGGCATCAAGCCTGATACCAGGGTTTTTTTTTTTTTTTTTTTTAAAGGAACTCACTTGTGTCTGATTTTTTAAAGAGTTTTCTCATTCTGGTAGCGCTTCGCTAGTATTTCTTGGGGGGGGGGGGGCAAGCACATTGTTTCGCCAAATCCTTGTACTTTCTCTAGAATATTTTCAATTTATCAATTTTTTGAGTGTCGGTGGGGGGGAGGCCCATGTTGTTGAATGTGCATTAAATTAACAGCAATATGACTTCGCCCCTCGTTATTATACCAGGGGGTGGGGGAGGGGGTGTTAAATGCTCCCCTTGCACCCCCCCCCTCCCCACCCAAATCCAGAATTGTGCAGTAGGCTTGTAACTTGCATGTAAAGTGGGATGTAATGCCACTTGTACTCATGCTTTTATAAATATTTTAGTCTTGCTCACAAGAGCACAATAAGACTTTGGCCATAATATAACTTGCTGAAATCATTATTTGTTATTAAAAAAATAACACAGGGGTAAACATTCGTACTGGACTGAGTATTAACAACACAAAGTTACCCCAATGTAAATGTTCATGTAGTTGTAATTTCTTTCTTGTTACCATTGAGGGCAGTGTTTTTATAGTTGAGACCTTTCTCATTTTTATCAGTTAGTTAAATTTTCGTTGAAACATTTTCAGTACGAACTCCCTGTGTGAAGACTTACACGCACGTGTGCCGTATGCACGTGTGCTGTATGTCTTCACACGGGGAGTTCGTACTAAAAATGTTTTAGAATTTTTTTCCCTATGGCAGCAGATGTTCATACCCTGGACTAGGAAAGGTCTGAACTATAACACTGAGGGCGTAGTTGTGAGGGACATACTGCATATGTGTTTGTAGAAGGTATTGCCAAGTGCAATGGAAGTCACGTTTGTGAGTGTAAAGTGTAAATAATGGACGCGGTTGCTGAGAAGGGAATGAAAGGTGTTGATGAAAAGTTATTTAAGGAATTGTTTCGGGGGGTTTTGGTGGGGGTATTGGGTACATGTGCCACCTAAGAATGATCTGTCGTGGACTAATCATTGAAGAAAAATCATAAATAATATTGCTTTTAACAAAATGTGTGATAATGATATAAAGTTAGTTTTTATTTTTAGTACTACAATGCTTGTATTTTTCTGTTGGCAAGATTCAAAATTTTTTGTTAAGAATTAAAAGTTCTTTGTTGATTTGCCAAATTATGCGGCCTTTCCGGACATTATAGAAAAGGCTTTTTAATACACGATAGTCATGAACTGTTTTAATATTAAGTACTAAAAAATCCAAACAAATTGAGACGACAGCTGTTTTTGATCATGTTTTTAATTATACAATCGCCATGTATCAGTACATTTTTGATTTTAAAATAAAGTAACATCAGCTTTTCAAATGTTCTTGTGATTCTATTGTCTTTCAACTCATCAGAGCAGACTGGCCTGGTACACCTTTATAACTGAGCCTTCCCTTTGCGGTTTACTGAATTAATAACAGACTGATACAAAAAGCTGTATCCCCTTAGAGTGACCGTCAATTGACACTTTCCGGATTTGCAGCAATGCGTAGTTTTGCAAGCTTTGCAACTTGTGATCCCTAGCTCCACAGTAATGTTGAGCAAACCCGACCCGAAGGTAAAACCGGGTCGGTTTAGGCTTTGCATTTGTGATGTTTGGGTCAGGTCGGCTAAGCCATCTTGTTAAAACCCCCAAATAAACCCAAGAAAAACGAAACAGTTGGACTTTCACACAATAATTATTATTGCAGAGTTTAACCCTGGTACAACTGTAAACTCAACGCATGAATGTGCTTGTGGTCTATTACGCACAGTCTCTCTACTACATGTAGGCCCATCAGTATGTAACGTTCACCGTATTGTACGCTATGATTCTTTACTGAGAGACGACGACTTCACGCGATGCGGGCAAGTTCAGGCACAAAAAACGAACAGAGTTGCTCAAGCCATGAATTCGGGTTTGTTTGGTTTGGTTTCAGGTCGGATTAGGGGAGTTTAGATCGGTTCTGATTCGGTTTATATCGGTAATGATTCGGGTTGGTTTTGCATGGTCAACCCGACCCGATGCACAACATTACCACACAGTGTGTATGGATTTGTCCATACTAGCCCTACTGGATTGTAGACTTCAACAAAAATTGGGAAAGTGCTAACACAGGGAGATGGTTTAGGATTATAGAGATTGCGTGTTCACCCCAGACGAAACCAAGGGTGCCATGTGTCCTCCACAGAGTGTAAAAAAAAAAAGGTCAACATCTCAGCAGTCAACAATTGTTTGGTTGTATCGTGCAAATTCGCTTAATATAACAAAAAATGCAACTTCTCTAAAAATTTAAAATCGTCACATTCTAACCTTCGATTACTGTTAACTTTCATGCAAGACTTGAAAACACTGTCCCGAGGGCGCCCTGCACGTTCGCATTCTGTGCCATGACCCGCACTTTTGTGATGCAAATGATGTTTCAGACAGCATTTGGATGACGTATTATAAAAATGATGTCACAGTTATTCTTGCAAACTTAACATGTCAACAGTGTTCAAAACTTGATATGACAATGGCCTTGCATGGACCCTTCCAATTTTGCTATTAAGCCACACCCACCTTTGGTTTGTGCACATAATGTCAGAGAGCTTGTGACTGAGTTTGACATCGCTAATGTGGTCACATGACCAAAAGCCATGAACTGACTGGTCAATGCGCACTTTGATTGACAGGCACAAAGGGAGTTGGTTGGGTGTAATTTCTTTGCCTTTAATTCTTATGGCACATGATTAGTCGCTAACTCATAGTTCCAACTGTATGAAGTCTCATTTTCATTTTTTCTTCTTTTTCTTCCTGCCTCCCCCTCCTCCTTTATTCCCCTTGACTCCGCCCATGCCAGAGCTCCTCCACTCTCTGTGCAACTGATCTAGCACGTCTTCCGACAGCAGTCCTTGCTTGATGAGTTCTTTGCTCAGTCGTCCTGACACTGAGCCGAGTTTCCCCTGGTCAAGTTTGTCGCCGTTTGTCTCCTCGTCGGAACTTCCATCGGATTGGGCTTGGTTCCTTGTGCCAGATGCCTTGCTTTTGCTTTTGTTCTTCAAGTCTGTCAGAAAGTTCAGAAAACATTTCTTTAAAGAATGAGGTCATATTGGACGCTAGGCCAAGGAAGCAAATGTGGCCTGTGATTGAAAAAATCTCAATTTAGTTAATAGAACTGCATCACAACGTAAGAAAGCTAATCTGTAGTTGCTATAAAATAATAACCCCCAAATCCACTCATTTCTGAAAATGACAGCAAAAGCAAACATTGTATATTTATACCTTTAAAAATCAATTTTAAGCCTTCAAGATCCAAATCAAAGGGAAACATTTTCATCATATTACAAGATTTAATATTCCCAAAGTAGCACATAGACCCATTTTGAGCCAGAGTCCCCCAGGCCCCGGGTCTTAAACTTGGTTTTTGAAGCCCTTTTTGGACGGGGCTCATACACACCTGCAGACTTGCCCGTGCGTTTCTTTCTCTCTATCTCGTCGTCCGGCAGCGACGCCACGCCATTGGGCGACCGACTCTCAGTGGCTCGGATCAGCTTGGTTATGTTGACCACACCTTCCTGTATGATGTCGTCCAGTTCCCGCTGTATGCCGTGAACGATGGCCGTGTCCGGGAACATGTCCATAAATCGGTAACTGGAAAAAAAATGAAAAACAAAAGAGCTTGAGGATTTGCGATATTCATTGGATATTTCAAGGGTTATGGGCTTACAGTATATTATTTTTTTTCTGATCTGCATATGTATCCCGTGTGCATACCATTTTTAATTGTTCCAACATTACCTCATCCAGAGATACAGATCCATGACGTCATGCACTGCCTCTAGATGCATCAAGTCTCGGATGTTCTTGGGTACAGAGAGCGGCCAGCCGATCTGCCTACAGAACCAGTCGTACGTCATGGGCTCATTGCGACTGTACTGCCTGGCAAACTGCAACAAATAAACAAACTAAAATCTTTGATTTAGTCTGTACACAGCATCATTATCGTTCCCTCATATACATGTTTAGAGTCTGAGAATAGTCAGTGAATCTGGCACTACCCTGAATCCGCAAAAATTAACGTCGGTTTCAGCAGCATCTTAAACGATTTGGAACAGCACAGCCAAGCCACTTTATGAGCCTTTATTCCTTGATGTCCCAATATACACAACTTAAAAGAATACGCCTGAGGTTAACTGCACAGCATGGGAATTTGGCAGCTTAGGCAAAAAGTACACGAGACTTAAGGATTAACCCTTGCTCATTGAGCGTAATTTTTTACCAGTCAGTCAGGTTTTTCCTCATCTCCTCACAACCGCTCACATTTTTCAAATGTTTGAGTTGAGAAAAATGTGATTTGGATGTTTGTTTGATGATCATCGAATATTCAAATTTTGATATATTGGACAAAGCCGTAGTGGCTTTCCACCCTTGTAGAAACTTCCATGCAATAAACATGCACCAATCTCGTTAATCAAATATTGAAGTGTTTCGGAGGATCTTGTAAAGCAAACGTCAATAAGAAAAGAAACTTTCTTGGACCTTTAGGAACATGGTACAGATGAAGGGATGCTTCTTGTTGATGGGTGCACAGCAGAAGACGTACCGGGCCCTCAGGTGAAGCGGAATGTGCTGGATCATGTCCGCCAGAAACTTGAAGTCGTCCACATTGCAAACAAAGTAGTTGTTGTCCACTTTGGACAGATTGACAAAGATATCCTGAAGAAAAAGAAGAAAGGGGTCGTTTAATAACCCTAATGAAATGATTAGGAGGGTGCTCATTGGCTAGGTAGGGTAGATCATTTGTTATTTGTGCATTTTTTTCGGTTGAAGCAACAAAAGTGATCCAAATCTAAAGACAATTGCTTAACAACTAACCTGATGAAGTGTTAGCTAAGTGAATGCTGTACATTCCAAGAAAACAATATTCTAAGATCTCGATTTCAATTCAAAACTTGCAGAGTCATCTTTTGAATTGCGCCCGAAATCAGCATCCGGGACACGTTCTTACTCGGCCGATTGCAGCTACGCGATGTCACGCACAGAACCGACGAATAATAGCAACTGCGCACGCGTCCCGTCAATGCTTTCGCACACCCGTTCACCGCGGATTCGCTGAATTACAAACGAACTTCTAACAGAAATTTCCAAAAATGCATCAATTGACGTAGCTTTGGAAATTGCCTTCTTTTGTTGTTTTCTCCAAAATGGCATCATGCCAGAAAGAGTAATTTCACAGGGAGTTTAATGCCAGTACGGGGAGTTTATTGCCAGTATATCTTTAAACCAAGTATAAAGCTTTTCAACAATAATTTTGTCAGTAACTTTTTGGATAGCTGCGAATGATCTACTCTACCTCTGAGGACCCTTTGCCAAAGAATATAGACTTCATGCATGAACAAGAGATGGCACTTATCGACTACTTTTGAGAGCCCCTAGTGGGGGCAACACACCGCATGTGCGTGCTGGTTTGCGTGGTCATGGCGCAAAGACCAAGACTTGTTTTCATTATTTATTATTTACTCTGAATGTTCATGTCTTTGTGTCAGCATCCGGCATGTGAGTGGCAGTGGTCTCCCCAACTCTCTAGTTGTAAAAGTATTTTCTTCTACGCTTAGCAACTTTTTTGTGCTAAGCAGCTTCCGTGACAAATAAGACCTGCAGATGCCATTACGTACTATGAGGTTAGACAGGGTAGCTTCAGGGAGATGGTAAGCGAAGAGCTCAATCTGCTCCGCCGTGGGATGCAGTCCGCCAGCCTCGATATTGTCCACCGAGCAGGCCAGGATCTCCTTGAGCATGGGCAAGTCGCTGGCCAGGAACGTGGTCACCTCGCCTTCCTCAAACTGGGTCCCAAACCGCCCAGCCCGACCTGCAATCTGCAGCGCCTGTGGTATATAGATTACAAGAGGTCAAGTTAGATGTGAACACTGTTAGTCCTTTTTTACCTTTCCCCAATATCACACATCTATATCGACTGTTCATAAACTGTAAAAGAACAGCAGGATTTTTAATTGCCATTTTTTTTCTCAAAAATTGGATTCACAACTTCAATTTAGTTGGCGGTCTATACATGTGTTTCTGTTATTGAACTCAGTACCCCTAAATGGTTTATACCATTGGAGAGCTCTTGTTCTGCAGAATCCAGATATATAAATATCTCAATTCATGCTTAAGCTCATTTTGTGACGACAGGTCACTTATTATAATCACCAATAAGTGTAAACTTCCTTTCATTTTTGAAAGGTACTTTGTCAATTGAGTGCAAGATGAGACAGGACTGATGAACCATTTGAGGAGATTGCATGCCGAGAAAGAAGTGGGGTGCTTTGGTCCAATAGTTACGACGTTCGACTCGTGTGCCGTGGTACATGGGTTCGAACCCTGACAGGGAACATGGTGCTTGTGCACTTCACTACGATTGCCTCTCTCCATCTAGGAGTATAAATGGGTACCTGTGAAGGTAGAGACCATATTGTGCGGATCTGGAGCTGCTGCAGGGTCTCATTCCTTATTGTGATGCGCATTTGATCATATTCTTATGGAATTTGTGCAATATAAATGTACAAATTATTAAGTACAAGTGGGTCCAGATGTTTGCGTTATGGCCCGTCTTATTGGTGAGTTAAGCAGTTGCTAATGAAACTTTCCCCGGAACATGTCCGGGACACAAGCAGAGCTTCTCCCGGACAAACTGAATGATTCTACCCGTAACTTGTTCCAAATATGAATTGAGACAGGCCCTGACCTGAGATGTGGAGAGTCTGTCCATCTCCTTCTCGCCTTTCTCGTTGATGATTGGTCGAATCAGCGAGTTAAATATGACCCGTTTGATGCTCCTGCCAAGACAAAAATGTTGAAGTAAAAATAATCCAGGCCAATTCTGCTCCAACAAAATTATTGATTATTAACCCTTCAGTGGCTGTATAGCAGATATGAAGTACATTCCGAACGACACAATTTATCTATCTTTAAGGGTTCCATTTGTGAACTCTTTACAAGGTTTTATCAAAGATTTTTTAGCCAGTTTTTGCTGAAGAACATTCCACTGGAAGTTCTGCTTGTTCAATTTCTCCTTCTTTAAACCCACTAGTCCCTGTACTACCCCAAAGCGCCCTGCCTGTTATTCCTTATACCACTCAAAACTTCCTCAGTAAATACAGTGTATACAATGTAATACAAGTGTTGAAGGGTTAAACTTTTAATTTCATTTCAAACTTGTGCTCAAGAGTCACGCTGAACCAAACTGTTCCCAAGATTATAATTAATATCTGATGTTTGCAACAATTTAGAAGCAACAACACAAGTCCTTTAAAAAAAAACTGCAAGAGTCCAGTTACTTGAACATTTATAATATCACCTGTCGGAAACCAAAATCTATTTGGGTCCTCATATAAAACATAACGAATGCTTACGAGTGCAATGGTAAGAATACTTTCATGAGGTAAAAGCTGGAATGTTTCATTCCACGAGGCAAAGCCGAGTGGAATGGAACATTCCATCTGACACCGAATTCAATTATTCTATCCATTGCAAGAATGTGAAACGTTCATTATTTGTTTTTATACAATGCCTGAATAAATCCTCGTAATCTGATTGGTAATTTGTAAAGTTATCAGAGCTGTGTGGAAGTGCAACCAATAGTGTGACCGTGCAATGGAAGTTCTATTTTCCGTGGAATGGATCTTTTGTAGTTTTGTAGTGCAGCCGCGCCGTGCACTTGGACGAATAATTCAATGACACGTGATCCACAATCAACCAATCAGATGACGGGGATTTACTCAGGCATTGTACAATACTATTTGGTTTGGCACAACTCTGGATTGCCATTTTGAAACCAATGTAACATATACTCACAAATTCAGTCCCATGCCTATAGCATCGGTGGCTACCATGATCTTGCAGGGGTCATCAGGGTCATTGAACTTTCTAGCTTGACCTAGTTTGGTGCCTGTTGAAAAATAATGACAGTAAATAATTCAATTTTGTTTGTTTCAAGTTTCTTGAAAATGTCCAGAATACAAACGTGATGGATGAAAGTTGTTCGACAAAAATGTAACATATGCTTTGTCACCATCAGATGTACTTATATTTTTTTCCCGCTATTTTTGTTGATAGTTGGTCCTCTCTGCACTATGCTATGACAAAGGCTATTGATAACCAGCTATAAATCATGGCGCGACCAGCTGCGGTGACTGGTTCTGAATAGTTGACTAGACTAGTCCAACCATCGTCGACAAGCGTGGAGTCGATCAGAGTTAGTCGAACTATGGTTAACTATGGTCCTTGATCGAACTTGTCCCTGTGATTCCTCTTGTACATGATTGTTAAGGTAAGTGACCATACTACGTTGTATAAAGGAAAAGCAAGATGGCTTACCGGGCGGCAGACTACCGTATATAACAGCACATTCTTTCCCCATGGCTTCCAACTGACGGCTTATTGAATACAGGTCGTTTTTATTGAAGGCTACTATGCAGTCGCCAGGCCGAACATTCTCAAGACATCCTACAAAATAATCAGTGATAAGCAAGACGTTAAAAACAAATAGCACATTACAGTCACTTTCATCAGATGTACTTTGTATACTGTGTTCAAACATCCTTCTAAAATAGCAATAAACCTTTTCACACTATCATCTCCCCTACACGTATTAAAATCAACGCGGGCAAAGTGGAACAGGGTCCGTCCAACGTGGGTAGGGACTGCGTACCATTCACACTTACACCGGGTGTACACGGGTCGGCTGTAGATTTTGGATTTTCAACCCATGTAGAGGTCTTAACCCTCCTGCTATTTAAACAGTCACAGACAGCTAAAAATGTCCATCCAAATCTCCTACTATATTTTAACACAGGCTAGTCACCAGCAGTCAGATCATATGTCAAGCAAGCACTGTGGCAAGTCAAACTCAGACAACAGACCGTGAAAAGACAAAACAGGCAAGTTGTGGGCACAGCTACATTATCGATTACCCACAGCCAAAGCAAAGCAGTATCAAGTGACATAAACAGTCCCAGCCAGTCAATCCTGCTTTGTGTAGACTGGGAGCTCTTAACTGTTAAAAACAGTCACTGGATTGGTTTTGACTGAAAGGACTACTTGGCACAGAATGTATGTTTGCACCGGAGGGTTAAAACTCTGGTCCTGACCAGGGTTAGATTGTACCCGTGTCGAGCGCCTGGCTAGTGAAAAAGCCATGTTGGATTCTCACAAGTGGGAAAGGGGTGTGGGTCCAACGTAACAGATCTTGGAAAGTGTCAATTGAAAACGTCCCTTAGTTGACCAATCGTTTTCAGCAATGCATTGTTGCAAGAAATATGAGGTGCCGAATAACAATAGCAGCACCAGAAATGTTATCAGCAGGGAGCCACTTCCAGGCTCTGCTAACCAAGAAATAGTGCACTACAAGCACCATTCTGATCAGTGCTCACAGAACTGAGAAAAATTCTGAAAAAACAAATAATAATAATTACGGAGTGATTACCTAATGGCTCGTCCAGTATCTTGAGTGAAGTCAGGCGTTTGTAGCGTCTGACCTCCATCTCATCACCAGTGGATTCTGCCAGCTGTTGGACCAGCTTCACAGCGGCCTCCTCACCGCATAGATGGATTTCCTCCGCGGCCACTCCTGTCAATCATGGGAAAAATAGAATAGGGCTCAGGCTGGATACAATACCAGGGTGAGAGAGAGGGTAGTGGTGGGCGCGTACTGCTAGACACTCTGGGGACGAGGTTGATAGGTCAACCTGGAATGCAATGCTGGCATGGTTGCAGACTGTATTACGGCCTAGTCTAGATCCCGCCTCCCCAATGCTACTAACATTCTATTAAGTCGTAGCGCTGAGCTTTTTGCAGTTTCTGATATAATTAATTGGGATATCAAGATCACCGGGAGTTCATCACCAGTGGAAAAAAAAGCAGCATTGTGCCATGTGGAAGTTGTGTCAAAAGAGAATCTCAAAGATTTATTCACTTGCTTATTTATTTTTATATTTATTGATCTATTTATTTTTGTCTTGTTTTTGGTATTGGGCTCAGACTCGGACTTGGACCTATGTACTCAGACTCATACTCGGTGCTTTGGACTCATCACAGTGTACTTGGACTAGGCCCTGGACTTGGCCCCTAAAGTACTCAGAGTACTCTGTACTTGAATTTGAAGGCTAGACTCCAACACTGGAGAATAGTTTGAACCCATTTTTAATGCTACTTGAGCAGCAAATTAAACTGTTCTGAGGTAACAGGGACAGGAAAAATATCACACTTTGGACCCTAAACTTACATGTATATGGACCCATATTGGCTTACCTAAGAAGGCTCTAGTCCAGGCCCAGCCACGACTTGGATCTCTCAACATCTGAATCTCGTCAATAATTGCCACTTCATCTAAAAACAAATGAATAGACAAAATTGCATCAACTATAACAGTGTTTTTCCTGAAACTTACAGCAAGAGTAAGTGTTGTATATAACCTTTAAGCTTACAATAAAATACCAGTGTGTGACATAAGATGTGTCTTTATGTGTACTTCATGGAATGCAACTATTTTTTACACATGTTAGCCTTGTTGCTTACATGGTTGATTGACGTTGGTCATCTCTACGGTACAAGCAACGTGACTGGCTGGGATCCCCTCTGGGTTGGCGTAACGTCTCTCCTCCCCGGTCACAAGATCACACATGATGCCCTGAAACAACACACAAAGAGAGCATTGCAGAAAAATCATGGAAGAATGAGAAAATCACTTTATTGCAGTTACATAAATATTTATGAACGTTATGAATAAAAACGATATGCGCAGGTCCATGCTAACAAAATGGTACGAGTTCGCACAAAGTTGGCAGAGTCAGGTTGGCGTACCGGTACTTTCCTCGCCTTCCTCCGCTGTGACCCATGTTCTAATCCTACCTGGGCCAACATGTGATTGGGTTTTCAGTCCCTACCTGATTCCGGGAGTTTTCCCCAGAATATTCTTCTGGAGTTTTCCTTCCACCTCTAAAACTGTACTTTCTTCTCATTGTCTCCTCTCTACAGGTTTCTTGAGGCTTGCAACCTACTGTGCTTAGGGCGCTTTTGAGGAATCTTTGGTTTCATAACAGAAATAAATAATAATAATAATAATAATAATAATAATAATAACAAACAAGTTTCAACTGAAAATGCACAAACCCCTAGCATCTTCATGTTGAAATTTATGCTAACAGATGATTACCGCACAAAACATATTCAATGCTTATTTCCAAACAAAAGAAAGGTCAGTACCTTATCATTGGTCTTCATGTGAACCTCGTTTGCGAGTAGTTTCAAGGGTCCACAGTACACACCAGACTTGGCAGTGCAGAACCGCTCCAGCGCATGGTAAGTTTTCCCGCTGTTGGTCGGGCCGGCATGGAAGATTATTTTCCGCTTGACGGCTCTTGCATCTGGATACCTGATAATAAAAACGACAAATGTTATAACCAGGGGTGAGACCGGGAGAAAATGAAAAATCCTCCCCTCTCCCCCCCCAAAAAAATCCTGAATTCAGGAAAAATACTAACCAAAAAAAAAAAAATTCTGACAACTCTCATGAAAATTATACCCCCACGTTTTCTACAGAATATCCAAAAATTGGGGCTATAATTTGTTTGTTTGGTTTCTACGGTAGCTCATCTCAAAGTGGGCATACTTTTTGCAAAATGTGATACTCCTGTACATACACATTGCAGGGACTAAAAATCCCTGCTATAAATCCACTAGTACATTGCATAGGAATATCACAGTTTGCAACATATGTTTAAAATTGGCAGCCACGCCAATTTTGACCAAAATGGCCAAAAAAAAATGCAGGTGACTAAAACTGAAAGCTTCAGGTTTTTTAGCCTAAATTACCCCATACACTAAATATGAACCAATTTGAAGGGGGTGGGGTTTAAACTTTCAATATTTCAGGGTGATTTAACACCGAGTGACCCAATGATCTAAATACTTGAAATTTGCAGATCATCAAGTCAGGGAACAAGACTATACATTTGTACATACCATTGGGCAGGGTCAGTCAGGTCGCTGATCTTCCGCAGGTCGTCCATGCAGTCCAGCGCTGGGAAGACCTGTCTGGCGTGACGCATGAAGTACGGGAAAATATCGTCCACGTGTCCGGCCCCGACCAAGATGTCACTCAGTATGATGTGCAAGTCTGGCTCCAGACTCTCCACTTCTACAATGTATTTGCGGAAGCTCACAAACGCCTGGTGGAATAGCAGCTCTGAATCAAAGTTTCAAAATACCTGGTCAATTTAAAATGAGCATTTTTTGAGGGGGGGGGGGGGGAATGGGGAGAGGAATGGGGGGGGGGGTCATAGCGGACAGTTTTAACTTGCCAAATGTTACATTTATTAACCCATTTGTGCTAGGATGCAACTTCAATTCTGCAAAATCTGTCTCCGTGCAAAAATTGCATACAGCCTCAATCCTGCAAAATCCTCCGTTATTTCTTGAATGTGGTCCTTGGAGGGGTGACCACTGCCTCAATCCTGCAAAATCCTCCGGCAATCACTGTCGATATTTTGAGGCAGAGCCAGTGACATCCTGCAGCAGTGCGGAGGATTTCAAGTACATGTATAATCTAAGCTCATATTTATGCACGGCTGAGCATAAACAATACAAGGTCTGGCCCAAGACCTTGACACAGTGCATCTTCCAAAATCAGCCACACATTTCTACCATATAGCTTCAATCCTGCAAAAGCCTCCATTTTGCAAAGAGAATTTTGCAGGATTTGGGAAGGTTAGGGTTAAGCTCAAGTGTTAAATGCTCAGCCGTTCATAAATTTAGTCCTGTATTATACTTGAAATCCTCTACACATTGGCTCTGCCTCAACATATTGACAGTGATTGCCGGAGGATTTTGCAGGATTGAGCCATGGGCACCCCTCCAAGGACCACATTCAAGAAATAATGGAGCATTTTGCAGAATTGAGGATGTATGCTATTTTTACATGGAGGCAGTTGGAGGATTTTGCAGGATTGAGATAAATGTAACATCCTAGCAAACATTCCTAGGGAATTAGGGTGAATGAAACTTTAAAAAATGTAACCAAAAAAATATTCCTCTTACCATCCAATCCATTTTCTGCAGCCAATCTCTGTATTTCTTTCCTTCTGTAGAATGAATTCAAGACCTTCAACAGCTCAGCTACAATAGAAATTAAAAAAATTCCAACTGAAAACTTTTTTTGGATGATGAATGTAGGGGAAAAAAACAACTTTTCTTGTTGCAAGCTTCATACGTTATTAGTTAGTAGTAGTATGTTCTAGTAGCCTATTTAATAACAAATTTCACAAGAGAGCAATAAAGTTTCATAATTTTTCAATTTTGCTGCACTTTTGAGTTCTTGTATCTCCTACATTGTACCATACCATAGGCAGTACTGTACCAGCCCCAATGTTCTCAATTTTTTTCCATGCCTATTTTTGCTAATGACATATTTATGGGAAAATTTCCTTCAAACAAATTGATTGTTGTATTAATTATTATTATGAAGTTCCCACGAACTTTAGTTACTAACATCACATGTTTTTTTCGCCTAACTTTCTGTGTTTGTCCCTCCTTATCTTTTGGCAGTGGGTATGGCTGGGGGGGGGGGGACATTGTGAATTTTGGTCCCTGCTGTAGTGCAGACTGGTGTACCTGTTGGACCATTCTTTAATGAACTTGAAGTAATGTAATTAGGGGCAAAGATAATGATGCGACAGTTACACGTTCAACCGTTTAAATGAAAGAAAAAAATCTAAATTCATTTATAAAGTTTCCAAAATATTTAAATGAAACCAGATTTTTTTAAAAAGGGACCAACGCGATCTTCCTGAGAGTTATTCATACATAACACAAATAATTAGGTTGTTTCTAAACCTGTTTAATTTACAAAACCTTAGAAATATTAAAAGCACTGCAGTGCTTGATGACATTTGGGGTACACATGCTTGTTTTACTTTTTCAATGACTTCCTGCTATTTATCATGTCAATCATTTTTTATTTATCATGTTAATCACACCAATCTGCAAACATAATGGATTGCGTCAGCCTTTGTGAAATGGCAAAACGTTTTAATACGTTTAAACGGTTCTTGAACTACATTGTATTTGCTAAAATGTTTACAAAATTAAACGCAAAGTCGCATCCTTATTAGGCAAAGATGAAGGGCCAACCTTGTGCCCTACCATGTTGGGAGTGAACCTGTTGACATTTGACTGAGTGTTGATTAGTCAATGCGAAAAAAGAAATTTGGGGCTGACTATAATAAGTATTGAAAATAAAATATTATTAAAAATTACATTTGTCATGTTAGTTAAAGCTTCATAGTGACGATGGCTGTATAGTGTATGAATGTTTTTCCCTTTTTTCAGTTAAAGCATTCTTTCTGAATAGACATTATTTAGAGCTTTTAGGCCTACCTTTCTTGTCCTTAAGACTGGCCCCCAACTCCTCCCCAATGTTGATATCATCGGGGTTGAACGTCGTTTTGACGGGTACCGGGATGAACAGCGTGGAAATATTCTTCTCACCATTTCCATTATTAGTATTACTGTCCGAGTCAGAGTAATGCCTACTAGTATGTCTCCTGAGTGGACAAGTGAGGGACGGATACAAACGATTCGGTGAGCTATGAGGTACAATCCCATACCGGTGTCTCGACCACGAGTGAGTGGACCGTTTACTGCACGGCTCGTTGTTGCCGGGTACTCGTTGCAGTCCGTCCTGTCCGTACGCATGCGACGAGAAGACGTGGGCCCACCACAATCTAGAACACAGCGATTCCTGAAGCTTAAACCTATCTACAAGAAAGCGAAATGTTCTCTTTTGAATGGCATTCATTATTGTTTTTATTTTTAATTGCTGTCACTCTTACGATCCTGATAAGACTGATTTTTTGGCCATTTTTTTCTTAGGGCGCGTGTTACTGTCACCATCACATGGACAGCGCCATCTTGAATAATTAAGCGGGTCACAAACGTTGAGGGCGTAAATCTTGTCACTGATAATATTTCAAATGACTTAAGTTAATTTTTGTATATGACTGTGACGTTGCGTACAATTTAGTTTCTGCATGGAGCTATCTCCATGGTTTCTGTATCAATCTTTTTCTTGTGTCAAGAGGTAAAGTTTACTCTTAACACGTCCCTGCCTTAAAATAAACGTCAGCCCGTTATTTGCGAAAGCAATAATTGTCATTTCGAAGTGATAATTTTTCCTCTCTTTAAATTGTAGGGGACTCGACTGTCCGTGCTTCCGTGGAGTTTAGTCAACCCCAATATGACAAATTTGTATTTTCTTTAATTGCTGATTTTTTCGTAAAACAAAAGTTATTCCCTTTTGAATGAGACGTCGAAAGACTGAAGAAAAACAATCGGCCCATATTATAATTTCTATTGCTGCACGGTTTAAACACCCGAGAAGGACTCCGACGTTCTATACCAGGTGTAGGCCTACAACAGCGGTGTCTGGCATTACTTTAATTCCTCTGAATTCCTGTGCATGGCAAAACTCACCTAGAAGGTCTCCTGTTGTGACCATACATTGGATTAACTTTATTGCATATAGATAGGTTGGCATGGGTGGCTATATAGTGCGTACTAAGGCGCTCGCCGCGTGGCCCTGGTTCGATTCCCGGCTGCGGACCATGTGAGTATAGAGTTAATTGTGTGTTGGTTCTCTCCTGTGCCACCAGGATTTTTCTCTGGGCCCTCCAGAGTTTTTCTCCCTCCCCCACCCCCCCAAAAATCAAACACTTTCGATCTCAGGCTGTGCTCCGGCCGTGGTCATGGGTCATAATAGCTCAGCTGCCACAGGCGCCTTTACATGCCTAGCCTGCGGCTCGACCACATTGTAGCCGCGTCCTTCGCAATTCAGCTTCTCAGCTGCGAGTAAGAATGATGAGCCTCCCAAATTATGATCATTTAATTATTATAATATAATTATACACTTCAGGGATTAAGAACCAAGTAGATTGCAGCCTCCATTCTAGTGGATTAGAGCCCCGAGTTCCTGAGTCCATCGTTTGTTCATAGTTACTGATATACTTTCTGTAGTAGCTTACGTTTTGTTATCAAAGATTTCCTTGTGTTTAGCTCCTTCACATGGGCGTCGCCAGGATGGGGTGAGGGGGGGGCGGAAAAGCCACACACACACAAAAAGGAGAAGAAAAAATACAGAAAGATAAAAAAGAGGCGTGAAGTCATATTTGCTATAAATTTAATACACATTTAACAAAATGGCCGTCTGCAGGGGTGTCAATGGGGGTGGGGTGGGCAAAATAATGTCCCCCGCCCACCTTCGAAAAAAATGATAACTTGGGAATATGCTAGAGAAAGTACAAGCATTTTCGGGGAAAATGTGCTCCCTCCCCCTTAGAAAAAAATTGAGTAATTGAGTGCCAGTAGGTCTGCACTGCTGTGGCTGAATCAGAAAACATGTAAGTTTCTGTAGTCTCATTTAGCTCCCATGCGACTGCTATTTACTTTTTTTAATTATTGGGTATCATTATTTTTAGTTTCTAGTTCCACTTTTTTTGGTTGTCCAAAAATGAGACGCCGTTGTAATACATTTAAGACTGTCAAAAGTTAATAGTAAAACCAATAATTCTTTGCATTAAATTCCAGTTTTTGCATAAGTAATAAATCGGCTAATTATATTAACTTATCCCCAAAACAAAACTACCAAACACATTACCTACATGGAACACAAGACACTATACGATAATTAGGCGTTAAATGGGACCAGAACAAGGTTTGTATAAAAACAATTCAATTATAGAACCATCAATATTGGGGAAGCTCTTACCCAATGTTCTACATCATGTGCTTAAAAGAAATTATTTCAGTTTCCTTGGAAAAGAATTATGTGTAGTGTGCGTGACAGATATACCCTTAAAATCATTCAAAAGCATGTCAGATTAGTATTTGATATTGATGATTGATGTAGAAATTACCCTTGGATGCACCACGAGTGACAGTTAAGCCTATAAGTATAGTCAAACCTTGTCATGTTCATCATTTTTTTAGAAAGACATAGGCCAATCTTTATAATCTCGCCAGTCTCATTTTGAGTATAGGCCTAGACCTGTATAGGCCTATCTGTTTTATATTAAAAGATCGGTGCATAACAGGGGGCCCAAGATCAGTATCTAAACAAATTCCTCTTCGTATGTCGAGAGAGACGAATATTCCGCGACATTTGAAGGGGATAAACCCCTTCATCCGGTAGAAAATGTCAAAGACCGTCTCTTCAATTGAAAAGGGCTTTCCTGGCTGAACCGGTGTGGCAGGTAATTCTGTCCCCCCTGGTAAATGTGTCCCCCCGGACAGATTTACCGGGTCGTGACCCGGTAAATCTGTCCGGGGGGACACTTTTACCTAGGTAAACCTGTCCCCCTCTAGGTAAATCTGTCCCCCTGCACGACGTTAAATGTGTCCCCCCTGGTAAATGTGTCCACGTGCAACGTCACAAGTCTAGCACCCAGACTGTATATTAGTAAAGTTATTAACTGTTTTTGCGCGGCGCCTTGCTAAATTCGGGAATGGCGCTTACGTCAAAGCACAACTCCCGTTTTGATGACGACTTCGGGAGCGAGCGATTTGCATGGTGGGCGTGCGCGCGAGTGTACCGCACCTACGGAGGGCGTGCGGGCGCTAGCGATAGGTTGAGTATTACTACGCGTGCCTTTTCTGCTTTCTTGCAGAAACATAGATCGGTTGATTAACATCTAAACGTTAATTTCATTTTGATAATCATTGATGAAGGGTGGACAAATCTAAAAATGTATACCCTGTGCGCTGAATTCATTATAACAACATCAATATAACAGCTTATGCGTGCAAAACCAGGGGGGACAGAATTAACTGGAGGGGACAGAATTACCTGAAGGGGGACAGAATTAACGGGACGGGGGGGGGGGGGGGACACTTTTACCTAGGTAATTCTGTCCCCCCGGACACTTTTAACGGGGGACAGAATTACCGTCCACACCGGCGCCCGTCCGTCTAAACACCATGCCCGCTGTCGGATTAAGACGCATTGACTGCTTCGAATGAATTTCATAAGGATGGATGAATTTCAAAATTCGTCTCTTCGTACAGGCGAAACGGGGGGTCAAGGCGTGCTTCAACCCTCTGAAACAAAGTGTTTTGTTTTTAGGCACGTATATCTCCTTTTTGCGAGCAGACATGGTCCCTGTTCGATCCGTATTTTATAATGTCGAATGTGGGTCGGGAACCATCCTACCCCGCGATAACGGATTTGTTGTCTGGCAGCCAGGGTCGTAAATCCCGGGGGATGGGGGTAGACCCTCACACGCACACACTTTTTGACCGGGGAGCTGTTGGATCATCTCCCACAATTTTTCGTGGTGAGAAACAAAAAAAAACCGGATTTTGAGTTATTTTTCGCATTTCCCAACAACCAAAATGTATTCAATATAGTACTGAAAAAGAGAGAAAAGCTACAAAAGCTTTAAATGCGCCGTTTTGATGTAAGGTTAGGGAGCGTAAGTATACATAAGATGTACATCTGTATCATGCCCCCTAAAGTGTCATGTAGTGTCCAGAACCCCCCCCCCCCCACCCCATCCCCCTCCCCCTTGCTTTTCAAATTTTCACAGCCGGGAACTTTTTTTTATTTTGGTCATCCCCCACCCCATCCCCCGGCAGTCAATGCTTCGAAATTGTACAGTGTAATAATTCAACTATATAAACATGGGCAGATTTAAGTTACAGTCGATGTCTCTTTCGAAAGGGACTAACTTTGGTATTGCTAGCGAAATAGCTATTTAGAAAAGGAATGTATGTTTTTCGGGATGAAACTCGACAATATAGCACGGGAACGCAACTTTTAAATGTGTAAGATCAAGAAACCTCTCTGGGTTTTTCCCGTCCCCACACCCACCCCGACTTCTTTACTGTGAACATGGGCTTAGATCCAGGGAATTTGAAGGATGTACACCATTTTATCCCCGGCGTTTTCTACCGGGGAATGGGCGGGTAGGCCCTGAATACTGACAATTCCGTTCATAACGCGTAGATAACGTGACGAAGCGAAGATGGATTATTAAGCAAAAAGGTGGAAATACAGAAACGAAGAGTACAGCACCCAGCTGTAGTGGCACTGTAGTAGCAGGTTCATGTTATTTTGAATAAAAATCCCCGGATATTTCGGCATTAAGTCTCTAATGTCAGACATTGTCCCGTCCCCTCACATAACAATGTTTTGTCTGTCATAATCGTTTCAATGTCATAAATGTTTCACTGGATTCCAATAAAAAATTAGGCAGGGCCTAGTACTCAATATTTAATGTTTTTTTATGGAACGAAACTGGGAGTACTTAGCGTAGCGTTCGCGCATCCAAGGCGCCAAATCCGCGGGATGTCAGCTTGCATTGCATTTGCCTTTGTTTTTCAAGGGGGGGGGGGGGGTTCCGGGGGGAGGGGCAACGGGGGGGGGGGGGGGATGGCCCCCGTTGCCCCCCAAAACGAACCCTTTTTTTAAAGTGACATCGCAATAAAGGCAGGCACCTGCGTACCCCATGCACCATCTTTTCCTAAAAAAAAAATAGTCAAAGTAGGCAGAAATTGTTTCAGATCGCACCACAGAGCATCTAGAATCCATAAATATTTCGGGGTCCTTAAGTGGGCCCCTTACCCCACGCCGCAATTTTTTTTACCCACTTTTTTGGGGGACCGCAATGTTTTTTCTCTCATTTTTTTTGCCCCCCCCCCTCCACGCACGCACAAAACAAATCAGGAAATATTTGGGATTAAGTTGAGGCATGGCCTGTCCAAATATTTTCGCAGCTGATTTTTTTTTTGCCCGCTTCTTTCTTTATATAGCTAGTGGAAATTGACGCTCAGGTGTCCTAGATACAAATCCTCAGGGACCATTTTGACCGTTGTCATGGTTTCAGCCGGTTCGGACACTTCCCTATTTCTTCTCCACTTACGGATGC